AGGCCTCATGATGGAAAATGCTATCCACATCCAAAGAAGGAACTATGGAGTTTGAATGCAGATCAAAGCATACCATTTGTTATTTTTTTTCCTTCTGTTGTGTTTTGTTTCCTCTTTCTGGTGGTTCCTCCTATTGGTTTTAATTCTTACTTACAACATCGCTAATGTGAAAATATGTTTAATAGGAATGTATTTGTGTAGCCTATATAAAACTCAAAAGCTTATGGAAGTGTTTGTTGATAAATCAAAATAAATTAATTAAAAATTAAAAAAAACAAAAAAACAACAAAAAAAAACAAATCCAGGAACCATATGAAGAAAATTATGAAAAGACCTTTTCATGCAAATAAAATCAGATTTAAATAATTGGAAAAATATTAATTGGTCACAGGTAGGCCAATATAATAAAAATGATGACTTCACTCTAATTTATATATTTAATGCTGTCCCAATTAAATTAACAAAAATAATTTACTGAATACTGAATTTTAAATCTGAATTACTGAAAAAAATAACAAAATTCTTTTGGAAAAAATAAAAAGTCAAGAATATCAAAGAAACTAATGAAAAAAATGTAAAGGAAGGAGATTTAGCAGATCTTAAACCATATTATAAGGTAGTAATTATCAAAACTCTCTGATATTGGCCAAGAAATAGAAAGGTAGAGCAGTGGAATAGAGTAGACATACAATTTACAATAGCAAATAAACATAATCTTGTATTTGATAAATATAAAGACTTAAGATTCTGTGATAAGCATTCATTATTTGATAAAAAAAATTGTTGGGAAAACTGGAAAGCAATAAGGCAGAAACTGGGCATGGACCAATATCTCATACCATTTCTGAAGATAATGTCAAAATGGATACATGGGGGCAGGTAGGTGGTACAATGGATAGAGGACCAACCCTGGATTCAGGAGGACCTGAGTTCAAATCTGGTCTCAGACATATAACACTTACTAGTGTGACCTTGGGCAAGTCACTTAACCCCATTGCCTAACACCCCCCCCAAAAAAAAGCAAAATGAATACATACATAGGTAAAAAGAGAAATTTTACAAGAAAAGTAGGACATAGAACATATTACTTCTCAGGCTTATCGACAGGTGAACAATTTATGAATAAACAAGAGATAGAGAGCTGAATGAGGTATAAAATTGATAATTTCAATTACATTAAATTAAAATGTTTTTGTACAAATAAAGCAAATGTAGCCAAAATCAGAAGGAAAGCAAAAAATTGGGAAAAATATTTTATAGACAATTTCTCAGATAAAGGTTTCATATCTCAAGTATATAAAGAACTTTGTCAAATCTAAAAGAATATGAGTCATTTCCCAATTGATAAATGGTCAAAGGATGTGAACAGACAGTTTTCCAATGAAGAAATCAAAACAATTTGTAGTTATATGAAAAAATGCTCTAAATCATTATTGATTAGAGAAATGCAAATTAAAACAACCTTTAGATGTCATTTTACACTACCAGATTGGCTAAAATTCTCTCTAATTTATCCTGTCTATATCTCATCTGTGTATACTTATTTACCTCTTGTCACCCCCTTAGACTGTGAGCTCCTAGACGAGGATTGTTTTTGCTTTTTTTTTTTGAATTCCCAGCACTTTCACTGTGCGTGGCACATAGTTGGTGTTTAATAAATGCTTCTTGCCTTGCCTTGCTTTTCCTTAACCTATAGGTATCTATCTCTTTCTAGTTCTTCCCCCTTTTCCCCCAGAGTAATATATTTCATTGCTTGTGTTTTCATTAGCTGCAGTGACAGATTTAAACACCAGTTGTATTTTCTCTTGTCTGGCTTGTTTACAAAACAAACAATCTGCTCCTGTCTGTTATTATTGCTGTTGTTGTAAAGCTTCGATTTTTTTTTTTTTATTGAACGTTCATCTTTTTTTCCGCTGAGGTTTAAGCTCAAGTTTCAGGATAGGTCACCTTGGATTGTTGCTTGAATTTCTTTGCTCTTTGGACTCAACTTATTAATGAATAACTTAAACAATTATCAATACATTAATAATGAATCGATGATGGATAATTATTAATAAGATTAATTCCTTCCCCTTTCTGAAGTTTCTGATGGATGCAAAAATTTTCTGTTTTTCAAATTGATTTTACTTTATATTTGAAAGTCTTTCTCCCGGCTGATTGCAGAATTTATTGTTTCTTGTTGGAATTATTGAATTTCACTGTTATGTGCCAGAGTTTTCAGCATAGGCTTGTTTGGTTTTTTTCCTTTCTGGAGGTGAACTGTGGATTCTTCTATTGGCATTTGATTTTCTGTCTTCACATTTGGGCCTTTTTGTTGTATTCTTTCTTGCATGACCATACCCAGGTTTTTTTGACTTACTGTTTTCTTCTGGGAGTTCTGTGATCCTCAAGTTCTCTCTACGTATCCTGTCTTTGGGATCAATATGTTTTCCTCCTCTTTTCACCCTTCATTCAGTGCTCGTATCTTGTTTCTATCCCTACAGCATTTTTCACCTCTGGCCCCTTCTCTTTGTTCAGATAGCCACCCTTCATATTCTCATCACCTTCACCAGGACTATTGGCACGACCCCATAGCTGGTGTTGTTGCATCGTCTCTCCCATTCTAGCTCATTTCCCACACAGCGACAAAAGCTTTCTCAAATACAGGTTTGCTTGTGTTGATCTCCCCACCTGAGACACTCCAGTGGCCCCTTACCTTTGTCTAAGATCAAATATAAACTTCTCAGCTTATGTTTAAAGCTCTGTCTAGTAGCTAGCCTCAGTCTCTCTTTCCAGGCTTATTCCATATCGCTCCCCTTCATGTACACTATGGTTTAGCCAAGATGTCCTTTTGACTTTTTCTCCTACATGCCTGTCCAATTTCCCTGTCTGTGACTTTGCCCAAGATCGCCCTCCTCCTGGCCTGGAATTCACTAACTCCTCACCTCTGCATCTTAGAATCTCTGCTTTTCTTCAAGTCTCAGCTCAGGCATTACCTTCTCTCTATGAAGACATTTCTCATCATCCCCAGCTGCTAATGTCTTCCTCCCAAAATTATTGTATTCTATAACATTTTGTTTTATACTCTCATATGCTCATGTGGTTTCCTCCATTAGGATGTAGTTCCTTGTTGTCTTTGGGACCGTATTCCCAGAGACTGGAACTTGCTGATTGATAATCATTTTCAAAAATACTGCTCAGCAGTGTACTTATTCTCCACTAGCATTGCATTGTATTGTATGATCTTCAACCAGTCGATGCCTAAGAATTGTTTTAATTTGCAACTTCTAATTATTAAACAGTTTGAAATTTTTTTCAGGTGGTTATTGATAATATTTTGAGAATTGCTTATTCATCAATTGATCAGTATGGCATTTATTAGGTCTCTAATATGTGACTGGCAGCTAGGTGATGCAGTGGATAGAGTCCTGGACTTGGAGTCATCTTCATGAGTCCAATCTAGCCTCAGACACTTACAAGTTGTGTGACCCTGGACAAGTCACTTAACCATGTTTGCCTCGGTTTCCTCAACTGTAAAATGAGCTGAAGAAGGAAATGGCAAACCACAAACCCAAAATGGGGTCATGAAGAGTTGGCCATGACTGACAAAATGACTGAACAACGATAACAACATCAATAACAATATGTGATAGGCATGATAGCACCGTACTGTACTGGTGACAAAAAAGAATAAATGAAGCCAACCCTGACTTTAAGAAGTTTATAGTCAGTAGAGAGAGGCAACACACATACTATAAGCATATATGAAACATAAAATAAATACAAGTTTGTGTGTGTATTGAGGCAAAGCAGCTGGGGGATTAGAAAAGGCTTTATGTAAGAGGTGGAATTAGAGCTCAGCTTTGAAGGAGGCTAGGGATTTGAAGAGGCAGACTTTTGCACAGGCTGGCAGATGTGCCTGGAATGCATCGACCTCTCATGAGAAGCTCCTTTGACCCAGCTGTGGAGAGTGTGAAGGAGAGTAATGTAGAATAAGGCTAGAAAGGTAGGTTAGAGCCAGATTGTGAGGGGCAGAGGACTTTTTATTTCATCCTAATGAACTGCTACAACTTATTCAATAGGGAAGTGATGAGGTCAGACCTGAACTTTAGGCAAGTCACTTTGGCAGCTGGATGGAGAATGGATTGGAGAAGAGAAAGACTTGAAGCAAGGAGGTAGATTAGGAGGCTATTCAATGAATCAATAATAACCATTTATGAAGTGCTTGTCAATCACTGTGGGAGGCACTGGGCACGTGAAAAAAAGACTAAAACTATCCCTGCCCACATAGCTCTTACTCTTTAGACCTCCAGTGCACACAGAGGTATATTCAAAGTAAATATGAAATACTTTGTGATGAGGAGGTGCTAACAGCTGTGGTGGGAGGTGGGGAGGGTGGATTCAGGAAAAATGTCATTCAAGTAGATGGTGGCAATTTAGCTGAGTCTTGAAGGAGACTTGGGATTCTTAGAGCTGGAAATGAGAAGGACCAGGTGGTTTGGAGGGCTATGTGAGTGGAAGAAAATGGGGTGAGGTAGGACAGATGCTGTGGAGAGAGTATCAACCAGACTCGGCCACTGATTAGAGATGGGCAGAGAGGGAGAGTGAGGAGTAGAGAATGATTCTAGGTGTCTAAGCTTGGTTAATGGAAGTATTATGGTACCTTTGACAGACATAGGAGAGTTTTGAGTAGGAGTGGATTTGGGGGAAGAAAATGAGTGCTGTTTTAGATATATTGGTGCCTCGGTTACACCCAACTGAAAATGTCCATTAACCATTGAGTGAGCTCAAACTTTTGACTATTTTGAGCATTTATCAAATGATCATAATCAGTCTTACTTTCACAAGTTTGTATCAGTGCTTTATAGATTTTGGATGTAAGATTTTCATCAGAAATAATATGTACAAAATTCTTTTCCCAATTTGTTTCTTTTCTTTTGATTCTGGAGGCATTGCATGTTGAGGGCAGATGTTTCATTTCACCTTTGAATCCTCAGTACATCATTTCTCTTTATCACAAGGATACAGATAGAAGAAAAGATGGCCTGCCCTGTGATCTTCCCAGATGCTCGCAACTTCCACCTCTTCACTCCCGATTCCCTGGCTATGATTGAGAAACTGATTGCTGCAGAGAAACTGAAGAAGAGTGCCCAAGACTCATCAGTTTTTGAAGCCTCTCCTCGGCCTCAGCTTGACTTGAAAGTATCTAGGAAGCTGCCCAAGATTTATGGGGACATTCCTCCTGAGGTTGTGGGGAAGCCTCTGGAAGACCTCGACCCTTTCTATGTGAACCACAAGGTATGCCCAGGGAGGGCGCTAGGGGTAAAGGGGTTGGGGTATAGTTCCTAACTGTGTTTTTATGGCTGTGGAGTCAGTGGCCTTGGGGTTCTCACCCTCATCTTCCTAGTTCCAGACCGTGCCCCTCTTTTCAGGGTGTTTCTTAGAGTGGAAATCTGGGCTAGTAACAGAGGGATAAAGCAGGATAGAGAAGCAAAAATTTTACTAGTTTTGGTGAACAGAGAATTAAATTGCGAGTCATAAGACTGAGGTTCTTAGTTTGACTTCATGTCTTTCTTTTCTGAATTAAAAAATTAATTAAAGGTGAGAAAACACAGTAAGAAAAACAGCAGAACCTTTAACTGAATTAAAAGGAAAGAAAAAAGATTGTAAAGGCTCAAGGCCTGTCTCCTTACTATAAAATGGGGCTAATAATACCTGTCTTGTCTCTTTCACAGTTTTATTCAATCAGTTAAACAAAATATTTGTTAAGTTTTTACTATGTGCCAAACACTGACACAGAGAAAAATGGAAAACATTCTAATGGGGGAATCAACATGTACATATACATATAATTTATATATATTATATTATGTCATATATTATATATATATATATATATATATATATATATATATATAATTTAGTCTGCATTTGCAGGCTAAAATTAACTTTAGTGGAGATGGCCCTGGCAGCTGGGAGGGGAGGGTTGGGAGAAGTCTCCTGAAGGAAGTATCATTTGAACTGTGACTTGAAGGAAGCCAGGGATTTGGAGAGGCAGATGTAAGGAGGGAGAATATTTTATGTATAGGATATGGCCAATACAAAAGTCTGGAGACATCTAAAAGATGGAGTATAATATATGACAAAAAGAAAAGTGTATTGCAAATGATAAAAGCTATAGAAATATGAGCTATTTTCAGCCATTGAGATTTTTAAAACTCAGTTTTCTTTTTATTTTCAGTTCCAAATTCTCTCCCTCCACTCAATCCCCTCTCCTACTCATCGAGAAGGCAAGAAATGCAATAACCATTATACATATGAAGTCATACAATCATATTTCTGCATTAACCACAATTTTTAAAAAACCAAGGAAAAAAGAGCAAAATATATGCTTTAGTTTGTACTCTATCTATCTGGAGGTGGACAGCAGCATTTTTTACCATGAGTTCTTTGGAATTATAAGGGATCAGAATTGTGAGGGTCAGAATTACTAAGTCTCATAATGGATTAGCTTTCAAATATTGTTATTACTGTGTAAGTTGTTCTCCTGGTTCTGCTTATTTCACTTTGCATCAGTTCATATAAGTATTCCTAGATTTTGACCATTTATCACTTGGAGAATGGCTCTTAGTCTTACAAATTTAGCTCAGCTATTACATATTTGAGAAATTAGACCTTTACCAGAGAAACTGCAGATATTACCCCTTAGTTTCCTCTTTTTCTTCTAATTTTGACTATATTAGCTTTATTTGTGCAAAAATTTTAAATTTTATGTAATCAGAGGGAATGGTTTTAGAGGAAAGATAATGAGTTCCTTTTTGGACATATTGAGTTATTGAAGGAAATATTATTAGCAATAACCATAAAATAACATCCTCACCTTTTTTTTTTTTGGCTAGGCAATGGGGTTAAGTGACTTGCTAGTCACACAGCTGTTGTTATGTTGCTAGTCACACACACACTGCACCACCTAGCTGCCCCATCCTCACCTTTTTCAAAGTAGAAATAGATGGTTACCAGAAGTATTTAGGTTAGACTGAAAGGGACATGTTCTCTCAGCAGGAGTTAGTGTTTGGTGCGGGTTGTTAAATGAGATCTTAAAGCTACTTCCCTTAAAAATTTCAAGAACAGAATAGATAAGTAGACAGTTCTAGGGTAGTTCTCTTTAGAATTTGGAGCTGGAACACATGATCTCTCAAGATGCTTTCCTGCTTCTATGATTCAAAAAACTGATCAAAGAACTGATTATCCTTCATACAAAAGCTAATGCTTCCTTGGAATCACATCTTTAGGTTGGATAGTCAAGAAATGAAATTATGCCCAATCTTGGTTTCCGTTGTAATCATGTGTTCTTACTGCCTAGTTCTAAGCAGGTTTTTGATGCTTCCTTTAATTTTCTTTACTCCTGCATCATTAAATATATTCCCTGTTGTTTGTGCCTTTCAGACGTTCATGGTGTTGAACAAAAAGAGGATCATCCACCGCTTCAGTGCCAAGCCAGCCTTATTTATTCTCGGACCTTTTAATCCAATCAGGAGATTGGCTGTTGGCATCTCAGTCCATTCATATCCTTTCATTAACCTTCTTTCTCCCCTTGCTTCCATTACCAGTCAGACACCATCCTTGATTTACTGAATGGGTGGCCATGTGCCATCATCAGGAGCTCCATAGGAGTGGGTAATTGAGAATTCACATGCAGAGTATGAATTTTCAAAGTCAAGTAAGTGATGTGATTGCATGTAACGTTATGGAGACTAAGGTCAGTAACTTTCGTAATGGTAGCCTTGCACCAATATCCAGGCATGCTTTAAATGACATCTGAAAACACCTTTCAAAGATATCAGGCGTTAGCGTCGTTGGTGTTGATGAGGACTCTCCCACCTGACTTCTTGGTGTAAGGACAACAAAAAGGTCTGTTTGTTTTTTTCTTGAATTGATATTGGGGAAGATGGGAGTAATCAGAGACTGCGACCACTGTCGGGGGTGAGACAATGATAACACTTAACAGTGAGAAGGCAGATTTATTCAGGTTTTATACATTTGCACGGAAAAGCACATCATCATCACTGTCATCATAGCTAGCATTTATGTGGCACTCTATATGTGTTATCTCATTTTGATTCTCCCAACAACCGTAAGGTAGGTATTATTGTTATCCCTATTTTATGTAACAAATAAGGAATGAGTTGAACCCCCAGGGAAGAAAGGAGAGATTAAGAAAACACTTTGTAAACCCAGATGAATTCCAAGTCACCAGAGCCTGATGACCAAGATAGTGTTTGTGCACTGAAAGAGCTCACAATGGACTGACTGAGCTACCAACAGTGATCTTTGAAAGGCTGAGCCAAATGGCAGATGTAGCATAGGTTGTAAAAGGGGCAAATGTTTCTGATTTTCACAAAGTGCAATAAGAATGGTCCAATCTCACAGAGTTTTAAAGGCGATGGTTATAGAATATCTAGGAAAAAATAGGTGATTATCACAAAGATTCCATATAACTTCATCAAAAACAAGTCATGCCAGATTGATGTCATTTCCTTTTTTGGCAATATTAGCAAATTGCCTTATGTCAGGGAAATGCCATAGATATAATTACCTAGATTTTAGTGAAATGTTTGGCAAAGTCTCTTAACTTTTCTTGTGGAGGAGATGTGAACAAGATGATATTACATTCTGGCAAAGTCAAAATTGATTGAATGGCTAGATCCCAAAAGTATGCATTAATGATTTGATGTTGGCTTGCAAACAGGTCTCTACTGGAATATCCCAAGGATCTGTCTTTAGCACTGTGCTAGTTAACATTTAATCAGCAGCTTGGAGAAAGGTATTGATGGCGTGCTTATCAAATTTGCAGATGATGCAAAATTATGATGCATCACTAATGGGTCCAAAAAGATCATGACAATTCAGAATGTTGGGCTAAACCTGATAAAAGAACTATAAATATAAAATCTTACACTTGGGGTTAAAATTGAACTTCACAACTATAAGATTACTTTCATCTAAGTGCTTTCTGAGAGAGAGAGAGAGAGAGAGAGAAGAGAGAGAGAGAGAGAGAGAGAGAGAGAGATTGAGAGAGAGTATTTATTGCATTTATTAAGCTCTTACTACGTGCCAGACACTGGGCTAAGCATGGGGGGTTAACAGTATAAGCAAGCAAGACCATGTGTATCCTCAAGGAGCTTATATTCTCATGGGGAAGACAACAGAGAGCAGAAGGAATCTATGTGGTGGCAAGGCAGTTGGTGAGGAGGAGACAGCTTTGAAGAAGTCTGGAGGGGAGTTGTATGCCTGGGGCCACTCCCCAAAATAGTGGTCTAGAGCAGTGGTGCCAAACTCAAATACAAACAGATCCATGCAGCTGCAAATTGACTTAGAAAGCCACAAGTTAACATTTAATCTGTGTTGTATTTTATTTATTTTGTTAAACATTTCCCAATTATATTTTAATCTGGTTCTGGCTATACCTGGGAATTTTGAGTGGCCTCTGGTCTAATGTATTAGTTGCCTCTGGCTATTTTTGTTCTGTTTTTTCCCTCTTCCAACAGTCATTCCCCTTGGCTTAGAAAATAGAAACAAAATAATATTGAGAAGCTCTGCCTTTTCTGTCAGTTGTCCTTGTCCCATCCATCTGAGCAGTGGGTCCCATCCTTTCCTTGATTTTTTCTTCACCAGAAAGAATGACTTATTCTTTTTTTTGGCTTGCTTTTTGCTTTTCAGCTTTAGATCATTCTAGACATTAACACTTCTAACACTATTCTTACAGAGCCCCGCCATGCATACATGACATGTATTCTTCCTCGGTTACCTGTCCTTGTTTCTACTTCCTGTACCCATCTGTAAGAAACTGAAGTTGCTTGGTCAGTTCCCTATATGTCTGCGTTGGGGGTCTTTGGACATTGATTTTTCTTTATCAGAATTGCTTCTTTTTATGTATTCAAAATTTCATTCTAGGTTGACTTTCCCTGTAGAATTTTAGCCCATAGGATCCTCCTTATCTTTCCAAATGAGTTTTTGGGAGTCATTGGGTTTTTTTTTTGACTTAGGAAGATTATTATTTTTTAGAAATTAGATTCTTTTATTCCAAGGAGAGACAAAGTTTGATGAGGAGAAGGGGGATTAGGTTGGTGGGAAGGATGAGAGAAGAAAGTACAGGCAGATGGGGCTTTCATTGTTTCAGGGGAGGAAAGTCAGTTGTGAGATTGCTGGGCAAGAGAGAGAGGTGGGCATACTGCAATGGGAAAGAATTAGTGGAGTTGACTTTGCCATTAGGCAATGCCACAAACAAGTGATGTCCTGTGTGACATGATGAATGGGTAACAACATGATGAATGTTACAGGTTGACGTTTGTAGGATGCCAGCAAGATGGACATGGTACTCAGAACCAGGAACCAGCCAAAGAATTTTGTAGAAGAAGATTTTGTGGGAAGTCATTAATGAACCAATAGATTCGTAGAGTGTCCCTCTGTGTGTCCAGTCTTGTGATAAGCACTGTGGGGGGAGGCAAGAGAAGAGGACAGGATTCCTTCCTCTGCAGATTATAAAGCCTATAGACTAGCACACATGGGATCTTAAGAATGATATATGACCGGAGCTGAATTGTGTGGTCCGTGCCACATTTGCTGTAGAAGGCTGGGAAGAGATAAGGATGAGACGAGGTTGGAGTAGTTAGCTTCAAAGAATAGCTAGGACGTGAGCTTGAATATAAATATTGGAAAGTGTTATTGTTGGACCAAGTGGACAATGACAAGTAGCATGGTGCAGTGGATTTGGAGTTTGGTCAACCTGGATTCAATTTCTAGGTTTGGCATGTATTTTCTTATGTGATCCTAGGCAAATCACATTACATTTTAGTGTCTCAAGCAACTTTCTATGATTATAAATTACAGAATATTTGACAATCTGTCTTGATTAAGGGAATTTCTTCTCCAGGAGTTCAGGGATTGATAGAAAAATCCAATGGCAGTGAATCCTCAAGGACAGTCCTAGAGAAAAGCAAGAAGACAGCAAAGAAGATGAGGGTCTGGCACAATTTTTTCAAGTGATAAGAATTATTCACTAGCAATTGTTGCCTCAGTTGAATAGAAGCTTCTGGGCTAAAACTAGGGTAGGCCAATCAGAGCTTTGCCCTAGGGTATCAGATTTAGAGGGTAATGAATAAACTTTCAGTGTCCACTAGACAGTTTGATAAGGTACAAGGAATCACCACATTCCTATGGTGTTAGCCTAGCCCTAGGCCCTTTCCAGTATTGGCTTTCCATCACTCATTCTTCTTAGCTTACTGGTCAAGGCCAGGAAGTTGGAATACTTCTCCCCATTGCCACTTTCTGTCACTCAGTAATCTCTCCTGTTTTGAGGTTTGTGCAGTCCATATCTACCATCCAACCAAAATCCTGGTAGTCTGTTTACAGACCTCTAGGTCCCTCCTCTTCCTGTCTCAATGGAGTTAGTACTTGGCTCAGAATTTTTCTCCCCTCTCCAGCTCCTGCCCTCTGAAACCCTATAACTATCATTTTCTCAGCCTACTAATTTCCTCTAATGTATGACGTTCCCTCCACCTCAGCCACATTAAAAAATAGTCGACCATGACACAAATGCATGACCTCTACGTTCAAGAATTCTGAGATCCCCTTATCCAACCTTATCCATTAGCCTTTTCTCTCTCCCTCTTCCTTCCCTTATCAAACCCTACTCTTCATCTGTGCCATGACCCACAATCCCTTAGTCCCTCTCCCATGCTGTCTTCTCTGCACTAGCCAGTGCCTCCTCTTTTCCTCATTTGACCCCCTTGGTGGATCAGTTAAACTATACAGTGCTCCTCTACTGAATCCCTAGCCCCCTCACCATGTCACTAATTATGCTCTGCCGACTCTCAGCCTTGGATCACTCCCACCATCCACCACCTGTCCTCCTACACATGCCTGCTGAACAAAGGTGGAGGAAATCATGCAACCATTTTGACCAGGCCCACACAACCTCAGTTGGGCCCTCTTTGTTGCTAAGCAATCCTGCTGCACCTGCCTTATCAGCTCACTTCCCCACTCTCCACAGTGACTCTTCTAAACTTCTAAACTCTGAGCTGAGAACCTTGAGGCCATTCACCTTGACCTCCCCTTCTCCCCTCTTCTCACCTCCTATGCCTTCTGCCACTATGTCCTCCTTTACCCCTATCTTCCATGCAGAGGTAGTGCTGATCCTTACCCAGACAAGCCCCTCTGCCTACACAAATGATACCCTTCCATCCCCTTCTTCTCCAGTGGATTGCCCCCTCTATCACCCTTACTCTATTACTTATCTTTGATCTCTCCCTGTCTGCTAATTTCCTTCACATCTGCTTCCATTGGAAATTCACATGTCTCCCCCATCCTGAAAGAACCCTCACTTCATCCTTCCATCCTCAATAACTATCAACTTATATCTCTTCTGCCATTTGTGTCTCAAATTCCTTGAGAAGGCCATCTGCAAAAAGGGCCGCCATTTTTTCTCCTCTCACTCTTTTCTTAACCCCTTACAATCTGGCTTTTGATTTTCATTTCAGCCAAACTGCTCTCTCCAAAGTGACCAATGACCTCTTCATTGCCATATCCAGTGCCCTTTTGTCAAACCTCTTTCTCCTCGACCTCTCTGCAGCCACTGATACTGTTGACCACCCTCTCCTCCTTTATATTCTCTTCTATCTCCTTGTTTCTCTCTTGGTTCGCCTTCCTATCTGACTGCTTCTTCCCAGTTTCCTTTGCTGGATCCTCATACAGATTGTGATTTTTAACCATGGGTGTCTCACAGGGTTCTGATCTAGGCCCTCTTCTTTTCTCCCTCTATACTACTTCACTTGGTGATGTCATTGGCTCCCAGATTCAATTGATATCTCTATACTGATAATTCTCAAATCTACCTTTCCTGCCCTAACCTCTCTGCTGACCTCCAGTCTCACATCTCCATACGACAACTTCAATTGTACATCCAGTAGACATTTTAAACTTAACATGTTGAAAATGGAATTCATTATTCCTCCCCAGACCTTCCTCCTCCCTAATTTCCCCATTACTGTTGAAGGAATCACTATCTTCCCAGTCTCCCATACTCACAGCTTAGATGTTGTCTTCACTAGCTCTCATTCTCTTTCTCTATCTTGTCACCAAAGTTTTTTTTAAATTTGTCCCTTGCACCATCTCTTTAAAAAATTTTTTTTATGCACCATCTCTTGACTATGCCCTCTTTTCTCCTCTGACACTCCCCCCACTGTGGTGCAGACCCCCATAATCTCATGCCTAGGCTACCACAACAGCTGCTGATGGGTCTGCCTGCCTCAAGTCTTGCCCCACTCCAATACATCTTCCATTCAGAGATCAAGGTGATTTTCCTAAAGCACAAGATTGATGATGTCACCCTCCTCAATAAACTCCAGTGGTTTCCTATCACCTCCAAGATCAAATGCAAAATCCTTTGTTTGGCATTCAAATCCCTTTATACCTACCTACCCCCATAGTCTTCTTAAGCCTTATTTCCTGCCACTTAGTCTTCAATACAGTGACATGGAACTGGCTGTTACATGAGCAAGACCCTCTGACTCTGGGCTCTGGGAATTTTCTCTAGCTTTTCCCCAAGCCTGGAGTGCTCTACCTCCCCATCTCAGCCTCTTGGCTTCCCTGGCTTCTTTCAAATCATGACTAAAGTCCATCTTCCCCAAGCCTTCCCCAGCCCTTCTTAATTCTAACGCATTCTTTCTGTTAGTTATTTTCTTTTTAATACGGCATATAGCTCGTTTGTACATATTGGCTTGTGCCAGTATGTATCCCATTAGATTGGAGCCTCCTTAAGGGAAGGGTTTTTTGCCTCTTTTCATGTCCTCAGAACTTAGCATGGTGCCTGGTGCATAGTAGGCACCTAATAAATGCTTATTGACTGACTAATGGTATACGGACATTAACAAGGCTGCCAGACCTTGGAGCACACTCCTCTGCCTAGGGGTTGCAGTGGATAGAATGTTGGGCCTAGAGTCAGGAAGACCAACTTCAAATCCAGCCTCAGACACTTAACTTACTAGCTGCGTGACACCGGGCAAGACATTTAACCTCTGTTTGCTTTCTTTTTCCCAACTATAAAATGTGGATATGAATAGTAGCTTCTTCCCACGGTTATTGTGAGGATTAAATGAGATAATATTTATAAAGTGCATATCACCGTGTCTAGTACAAAGCAGGTGCTTAATAAATGTTTGTTTCCCTCCATCTCTCCTCTTTTCCTTCCTTCCTCCCTCCCTCTATTTTTTCCTTTCTTCCTCCCTTTTCCTCCCTTTTTCCTTCCTCCATTTCTTCCTTCTTTCCTCCCTCCCTTTTCCTCCCTTTTCTCCTTCCTTCCTTCCACCCTTCCTTTTTCCTTCCTTCCTCCCTCCCTCTATTTTTTCCTTTCTTCCTCCCTTTTCCTCCCTTTTTCCTTCCTCCATTTCTTCCTTCTTTCCTCCCTCCCTTTTTCCTCCCTTTTCTCCTTCCTTCCTTCCACCCGTCCTTCTTTCCTTCCTCCTCCCTCCCTCTATTTTTTCCTTCCTTCCTCCCTCCCTCTATTTTTTCCTTTCTTCCTCCCTTTTCCTCCCTTTTTCCTTCCTCCATTTCTTCCTTCTTTCCTCCCTCCCTTTTTCCTCCCTTTTCTCCTTCCTTCCTTCCTTTCTTCCTTGCACTTGTACCTCATATTTGTGTATGTGGATGAGCCTTGGTACCCAACTCTCTCTTTTTATGCTGATTGCAGGTGAGACCTGACCCCCAGATGAAGAGTGAGAGACTTTGGATCAAGGGGTGGAGAACCTGCAGCCTTGAGGCCACATGTGGCCTTCTAGGTCCTTGGGTGTAGCCTCTTGATTGAGTCCAAGTTTTACAGAACAAATCCTTTTATTAAGGAGGCTTGTTCTGTGAAGTTTGGATTTAGTCAAAGGGCCACACTTGAGGACCTAGCGGGCCATATGTGGCCTTGAGGCCACAAGTTCCCAACCCCTGGTCTGGACCCTCTTTCCAAGCACAAAAAGCATTGGGAACAGTGTTTACAGGAGCAATACCAAGCCAGGCAGGCTGCGTTGACACCCTCCTTGGCATAAGCTTACAATGAGCCTTACAGCTACAATGAGCCTCCAGGAAGACCTTGGATGGGTAGAGAGCAGCGAGAACTGAAGAGAGCTACATTGGCTATGTTCCTGTTTCTTTGTTCTTTACATGTTTTCTTGTGTCTTCCTTAACTGTACTGTTCATGTTATTCAGCATGTTCATCATATGCACTGTTATTGTCAACTGTGTCTTCATGGCTGCTGTGAAAGATGGCACTGTTAATAAATATGCTGAGTAAGTGTCTCCCCTGGATCCCTCTCCTCCAGGCGCTTACCCTTGCTTTCTTCTGTTTTTGTTTCCATAGTTTACTGAGAAAAGGCTAAGAGAGGAGAAACTGGATATTATTTTCCTCTAGGACACATTTGGATGTGATTTTTGGAAGATTTTTTATCTCCCAGGCCTCAGGGAGTGAATGTGACCACAGATGAATTTAAATCTCCTGAAACAACTTAGATGAAATGAAGTTTTCAGAAAATGTCTGAGTCTTTGCTGAATTGTTTCTTTAAAACAATTTGAGCTTTGAGGAAAACTATGGTTTTAAACATTTATTATGCACTTGCTATACATAGTTCATTGTAGACAATGAGTGAAAAGATAAAGTTTAGACAAAACACTGAGCAGTGTTCTGTCCTTTAGGGTTATACAGCCTCCCTTTGTATCCCCTCTCTCCTTCCCCTCTGACCCAGAGTTGTCTGAGGATGCACAGAATCAGGCATCCAGTCAACATCATCTATTCGGCTTTGGCTGTCCCTCATCTCTGAAATGCACTTTCTTTCCATCTTTACCTCTTAGAATCTCTTGTTTCCTTGATGTCTTAGTTCAAATGCACTTTCTACATGAAGCCTTTCTTGATCTACCCACCTGCTAATTAATTTCCTCCTCAAGCCATCTGATATCCATGCTGTGTTATTATGGATAGACTTGATTACGTACATTATGTCTCCCTCATTGAACAAAAGGGGTTTTCCCTTTTATCTTTGTAGCCCCAAACACCTAGCATGTTTCTGGGCACATAATAAGTGCTTCATAAATGCCTGTGGATGATTTGATTGATGTGAAAACTGAGAATCAGGGTTATGTGACTTATTCAAGGTCACATATGTGGTAAGTAGCAGAGTTAGGATTCAAACCATAGTCATTTAACACAGAATGTGGTTGTGAATACCATGTAATTCTTTGGAGAATTTTTGGTTCATATCCTTACACTACTTATCTGTAGGGGATGGCTATTAGTCATACCTATGATTAATATATAACTATATATAAAACTGTCTATGTAACTATATATGTATTCATGCATATATATACATATAAGCACATACATACATGTATGCATATGTATGCATATATGTGTATATATACATATACATAGACATATATTTATCAGTAAATATATTATTTGCAGATCTTAGATACTGAAGCTTTCTCAGAAAAATTGAATACAAAGATTTTCCGTCCATTCATTCACTTCCTTCTTATCCTAGATGCCTTAATGTTGCCTGTGCAGAAACTTTTCAGTTTCATGTGATCAAAGTTATTTATTTTTCCTAATTGCCTCTTTCTCTTGTTTGGTTAAGCATACATCTCTTATCCATAGCTAGGAGAGGTATATCATCTGTTTCTCTTCTAATATTATATAGTATGACTTTTAATATTAAGGTCACATCCATTTACAATGTGCTGTGGAATATGGTGTAAGGTGTTGATCTGTGCCTAATTTCTGCCAGATCACTTTCCAATTTTCCCAGAAATTTTTTAAAAATCAAGAGTTTTTTTCCTAAGTAATTTCTGTTTTCCACTTAATCAAACACTGGATTATTAAGTTCTACTTTTTCCTGATTCTCCTCTCTCTAGTCTGTTCCATTGATCTTTATTTTTTTTAACCAATTCTAGATGGTTTTGATGACCAATGCTTTATAATAAAGTCTGAGGTCTGTAAGTGCTATTCTACCTTTGCCCTTACTTCTTTTAATCATTTCCTTGATATTTGAGATCTTTTATTTTTCCAAATAAAGTTATTATTGTATCAATTTGATGGGTATAGCATTAAAAGTATAAGTTAATTTTGGTAGTATTGTAATTTTTATTATATTGCCAGGGCCTAGCCATGAACACTAAATATTCCTCCAGGTATTTAGATTGTTCTTTATTTCTTTAAAGAACATTTTGTAAATGAGTCTATACAAGTCTTATGTGCATTGGTAAGTTGATCCCCAGATTATTGTTTAGTTCTTTAGTTGTGTCTGACACTTTGTGACCCCGTGGACTACAGCACACCAATACTGTCTATGGGGTTTTCTTGGCAAAGATACTGGAGTGCTTTAACATTCCCAGTGGAATCTAATCCCCACGTACTTTATGCATTTCATAGTTATTTGGAAAAGGAGTCCACTTTCTATTACTGCATCTTGGGTTTTATTGTTATATAAATAAGTTGTTGGTTTTTGAGAATTTATTTTGTGGTCTATAACTTTGCTAATGCTATTAATTGTCTCAATTAGTATCTTTGCTAATTCCCTAGGGTTTTTCAAGGGTAGCCACCCTATTGTCAGCAAATAGGGAAAATTTTATCTCCTCTTTATTGTTATTCCTTTAATTTTTTTTCTCTTCTCTTTTCTTTTTGTCCTCTCAGGTAGTCAGGTGGATCCCTCTTTCTTCTTCTCTGTTTCAACTAGTACTATTCATTAGTTTTCAAAATTCCATTTTCCACTCCTTTCCAAAAAGGATTTGTCTCCCTCTCCTCATTATCCATTTTCTCTTTCTGTTTCTCTCTACTGTTGCAAGTATATCCAGAATAGTATCAAATTATAGTGGAGAAAGTGGGCACCCTTGCTTCATTCCCATATTTACTGGACAAGGTTCTAGTGTATCCCCATTGAATATAATGCTTGCTTTTGGTTTTAATATTTTATGACTATACTTTGTAAGTTTATTTTTTTTAGCATTAAGAATGCTGTACATGGTCAAAGATTTTTTTTTTATCTATTGAGATGATTTTGATTGTTTTGGCTTTCATGGTAGTTAATTATGTTTTTGTTTTCCTAATATTGAACCATCTTTGTGTCCCTGGCATAAATCCCACTTGGTCGTAATGAGCAATTTCTTGGATAAATCACTATAGTTTGTTTGATAAGATTTTGTTTAAAATTTTTGAGTCAATATTGAGTCAATATGTGAGCCTAAGGTTTTCTTTCTGTGTTTTATCTTTTTCTGGTTTAGATATTGGAACTTTTTTCTGGTTTAGGTATTTATCTCATAAAAGGATTCTAGTAGGGTCTTTTCTTTCTCAATTTTTGAGAGTAATTTGTTATGTATGGGCACTAACAGCTCTTTAAAAGCTTGATAGAATTCTCCCATAAATCCTTAAGGACCAGGGTTTGGTTTTGTCCTTTCCTCCCGCTGTGGTAGTTTTTTTTTTTCAAAGCTAGATCTGTTTCTTTTTCTGATACTGATTATTTAAGATCTCTATCTGTTCTTCTGGTGGGTTGGGCATTTTATATATTTGATGGCATTCCTTTATTTCTTTCTTGTTCTCAGTTTTGTTAGCATGTAACTGCATAACTGTTATGTTTTTAGATTCACTTAATGCATAGTAAAAAAAATTCTATCCCCTGTATTATTTTATGTATATATGTTTTTAAACTGTGTTTCTCATAAACAACAGATAGTAGCATTTTGTTTTCTTATGCAATCTGTCATTCTTATTAATTTTTACTGGACTTCTTAATCCATTCAGCTTTAAAGTTATGAGAGTTAAGTTTATATTTTCCTCATTCTCTCTCTAATATTGGAGTTTTCCAAGTTATGAGTTTTTTCTCTCTTCTGCTGGAAACACAGTCCTATGTTCCTTCAGTTACTTTACCTTAATCTTTTTTTTTTTTAAGGTGGCCCATTCCCACGTGTTCTCTTCCCTTCACATTGATCCCATCCTTTTGTTTGTTACCCCTTTCCCTTTGGAGTTTTGATTATTAGTCCCATTTTTCTCTCTTGATTTTATCTGGTTATATAATTCCTCCCTCTTTTTTTTCTCTCTCTCTCAGGTATTCAAGTAGATTCCTCTTTCCTCTTTTCCCCTTCAACTCATACTATTTATTAGTTTTATAAATTTAATTTTTCCCCTCACTCTCATTTTTCTCTCACTCTCTTCATTATCCATCTTCTCTTTCTTCTTCTCTAGACCCTCATTCTTTGATTCGTGGTCCCTATGTTTATTTAGTCTCTTTCTCTTCTCTGGATTCTTCATACAACTCAAACTTCCAAGGGATTCATTTTTGACTCTCCCCCTAGGCAATTTCTACCATTGCCTTGTAGAGCTTGCCCCATAGATTTCCCTTTTCTATTGTACCTTGCTCTCAGCACAATGCCAATTGTTGCAGATGTCAGGGAGGATGCTGCACCTTGGTAGACTCCTGTCCAATCATGTCTCTGATTATGCAGCCCATCACTGATCTCTACCCTCCCCCATTGCCTCCCCCTCCCACCACCATTTGCCTCAAAATCTCCCTCACGTCCTTCCATTCCCCAAAGTACTCCTAGAGGTTCCAACCCCCTCTCCATTTTGCACAGGTGGAGCTTTGCAAGCTCTAAATCACCCAGACCACATTCAGTGCTAAGTCCACATCTTCCTTCACAGACCATTTCTCTTCATAATAGGAGCATTGATCAGTGAGAACCCCCTACTGTTACCAAGGCAAGATCTCTTTCTTTTCCCCCTCTTTTCAATTCTGCTCTCCTCTTCACCTATTCCCCCTATAGGCTCATCTCTCACCAAGGCCACAAGGGTCACTTTCTTCTCATAGCTAGCCTTCAGATTTCTCCAGGCACACCAGTCATTCCTCTCTATCCTATTCGCCTTCCCTTTTTCATGTGTACTACCATGTTGTAATGTAGACCCTCCAAAAACATTGATTTGCCTCTAGGCAGGGTGTTGTCAGATTCTGTCCATAAGGTCCCAGGCCCACCTCTTTACTGTTACCTCCACCTGAGTTCCACTTTCTCCCTTGTCTCCTTGTACATGTTTAGAAAAAAACTCATGAGGCAGCTAGATGGTACAATGGGTATAGCACCAGCCCTGCAGTCAGGAGGACCTGAGTTCAAATCTGGCCTCAGACACTTGACACTTACTAGCTATGTGACGCTGGGCAAGTCACTTAATCCCAATTGCTAGCAAAAGAAAAAAAGAAAAAGATCTCTTTCTGGTCTGTCTGCTCTTACTCTGTTGCTATTGTTATTCTTGGTAGCTGCCTTTATTCATTCCTCCTACATTTCTCTTATTTGGGGTGCTTGAGGAGCAAATAATGTCTTAACATCTGGTTTTCTTTCTGAAAATGTTTCAAATGACTATTATTGAATGTCCATTGTTTTTCATTTATTGTTAAGCTTAACTTTGCAGGATAGGTCACCCTGGATTCTATCCTGAGCTCTGTTGATCTTTGAAACACATTATTCCATTCTCTCTTATGTTTTCTTGTAGGTGCAGAATAGTCTTGTGTTATTTGAATTTCTTTTCCCTTGAATTTGAAGGGTTTTCTTCATGATGGCTTGAAGAATTTGCTTTGGAATTCAATAATTATATTTAACTACAATGTGTCTTGGAGTTTGTAGCCTTGAGTTTTTTCCCCTGGAAGTGATCTACTAATTCTTTATGCTAGTGTAATATTTTCTATATTCAGAAATTCTGGGCAGCTCTCATTTTATAATTTTCTTCATTGTGGTGTTAAGACTTTTTGTCCTGTTGTAGGCTTTTATGATCCTTAGTCTGCATCTATGTATTCTGTCTTTTAGATCACTATGTTTGCTTGCATAATCAGCATATTTTCTTTTTTTTGCTTCTCTTCTAAATTGTCCTTCACTTATGAATAATTCCATTCCCAATCTATTGTTCTCTTTTTTGTTCTTTGCTGAAACTTGCCATCACAGAATTCTAATCTTTTCTATTCAGTCCAATCATTTTGCTGTGTAGGCCATGAATTCTGCTCTCATAATCCTCATTTCTCTTTTGAACTACCCAGGAGCAGCAGGTTGTGATTTCACGTTCTCACAGTCCACAGGATCTTTTGTCTCTTCACATGTTGAATCAAGTTCCTTTGTTTTATTGTATTTATTCACAGATTCCTGAACTTTATTTACTAGATCTGGAGGCCACATTTCTTCTGCTATTGATGAACCCCTTGCTGACTCAGCTGCTTGTGTTCAAGATCCTTGAATTTTTTTCCTCTTGTAATCTTTGGTAACTTTGGTCTTCTCCTCCTTATGTTACAAGAGCTGTCCCTCACATATAGTGGGGATGGGGCGGTGGCATTGTGCACCTTGAAGAAAGGTGGAGGATACATACTTTAATTCCTGCCAGGAGGGGAAGTAAGAGGTTGAGGCCAGAGGCTGCCACTCTGCTCTCCTCAGGAAGGAAAAGTTCCCTGAAGTCTCTAGTCCAGCAAGCTGAGGGAGATTGCCAGATCCTCTCATATTTCCTTCTTCCTTGAATATTTTCTTTTAGCAACCCAAAGCAGAATTGCCTGGGGCACTTCCATAGCCTGGAGCACTGCAGAGGCTGCTGGCTCTCTGTCCCGCTCTGAGCAGACTTCCGCAGCCTAGAACAGGATCTTCACTCTCCAGGGCACCAGAGAGAGAGGAGACCAACGTGTGGGCAGCTTTTGTTACATGCTAGTGTTTGTCACCTGGTGCAGCCTTGCTGCCGGTAGTGTGGGGTGTAGCAGAGGTGCTGAGTGAGCTCGGAATGTAGAAGGCAGTTCATGGCTTGTTGTGTTTTGTTTTTTTACCTCCTTTTGGATTCTGGGTATCCTAAATCCTGAAAACAACTGAAGTTTCTTTATCTTTGGCACATAGTTTCTGTTTTGTAGAGGTTTGAGAGATTAGAGGGATCAGAGAAAATGTCTAATCAAAACTTTGTTCATGTGACCCAAAAGTTGATTTCTATTTCTTAATGGGAAAAGGAGGACCCCTAACTTGATGTCCAAGACTTGACCCCTTTCCCACCAAATGCTCTGATTTCAGTTTTGCTATTGATTTGAATAAATGGATTTCTTTGCTATTTGTTATGTATGGTTATGGTGGAACTGATATTTGTGCTACTACTTTTCATTGAGAAATCTATCTGCCTCTGTCGCTCTCCAAGAGTGCCTGTCTCTCCCTCGCTAGAGGAGAGAGGAGAGGAGAAGGCCTTGAAGTGGCCATAGAACTAGACCTAGTTGACATAGACATTAGAAGCCACCTAGTCAAATCTCTCATTTTACAGATGAGGAAACAAAGGTACCAGGAGTTAAAGTGATTTGTCCAAGGTCACTGAGGTAGTAAGCATAATCAATCAAACACTTACTAAATGAGCACTGTGTGCCAGGCCCTGTGCTAACTGCTGGGGATACAAAAAGAGGGAAAAGACAGTCCCTGCCTTCAAGGAACTACCCTTCAACTCTCATTCCTTGCCTTTGTTCTTTCCACTGCGTGGCTCCCCTGGCATTTGACTGAAAGGAACCTGTCGATGAGCACTCAGCCAAGTGCACATGCGTCAGACAAGAACATAGACCAATAGCATACAAGCCAAATAGACGCTCACCTGAAATGCTTCCTGAAACATCGAAAGGCCCCAGCTGGCACTGGTGATCTCGTCTGGCTGCTAACCATGTTTCAGCAGGGTGGATGGTGAGGAACTGGGTTTTCTGCTCAGAATTTTCCAGAGAGCATGTGACCTGGGGATAGCTCATCATTGGTATTGAAATACTGCTACCTTTTCTCTGTTTGTGTGAATTGGTGTGTCTCTCTTGATGCTGCTCACTTGGGTTAAGCAGGAGAGCCCTGCCTTGTTTTTGTCTTTCTAGAATGAGGACACTAGGAAAACAAGTATTTGAGAGGCAGTCAGGCAGAAGTGGGCTGATTCCTTTTGGCCTCTGGGGATAGGACTAGGAGCAGTGAATGGAAATCACTAACATAATTTTAGGCTTTGTGTGAGAACAACTTTCCTAACACTAAGAGCTCTTGTTTGTGTTAGTTTTCTTCCCATAACGCAGTATAATAAAAAAAAAATGATAGTATATGAAACCACAAATCCATTATGTACAACTTGCTATTCCTTTTAAATATATATTAAAGTTATCAAGTAAATTTCATTTTTTCCCTTTATTCTTCCCTCCCCCCCAAGAGATGGCTACCATAAGACACAAATGTGTGTGTGTATGTATATATATATAGATGTATATGTATAACCATTCTATATATACTTCCATTCATCAGTTCTTTCTCTGGTTACAGATAGCATCTTCCTTCATATGTCCTTTGTAGTTAATTTGGATATTTATAAGTCATAATGACTTATTCACTCAAAGTTATTCTTAAAACAATATTTCTGTTATATACAACGTTCTGTTGGTTCTGCTCATTTTGCTCTTCGTTATTTCATGCAAGTTTATCCATGTTTTTCTAAAAATCATTGAGCTTATCATTTATTTTTAAAATAAAAAATTGTTTCATTATTTTTAGTTTTCAACATTCACCTTCCGTAAGATTTTGAGTTCCAAATTTTCTCCCCGTTCCTCCCCTCCCCCACCCCAAGATGGTGTGCAATCTGATATAGGCACTACATATCCATTCATATGAAACATATTTTCACATTAGTCAAGTTGTAAAGAAGAATTAGAACCAATGGGAGGAACCACAAGAAAGAAGAAACAAAGCAAAACAACAAAAGAAGGAGAGCAAATAGTGTGCTTCCATCTGTATTCAGACTCCAAAATTCTTTCTCTGGGTGTGGATAGCATGTTCAATCATGAGTCTTTTGGAGTTGTCTTAGATCCTTGCGTGGCTAAGAAGAGGTAAGTCTATCTAAGTTAGTCATTACACAATGTTGCTGTTCCTGTATACAATGTTCTGGTTTTGCTTACTTCACTCAGCATCAGTTCATGTAAGTCTTTCCAGGTTTTCCTGAAGTCTGCCTGCTCATCATTTCTTATAGCACCATAATATTCCATTACATTCATATACCACGACTTGTTTAGCCATTCCTCAATTGATGGGCGTCCCCTCAATTTCCAATTCTTTGCCACCACAAAAAGAGCTGCTATAAATATTTTTGTACATGTGGGTCCTTTTCCCTTTTCTATGATCTCTTTGGGATATAGCCCTAGAAGTGCTATTGCTGGGTCAAAGGGTATGCACAGTTTTATAGCTCTTTGGGCATAGTTCCAAATTGCTCTCCAGAATGGTTGGATCAGTTCACAACTTCACCAACAATGCGTTAGTGTTCCAATGTTTCTACATCTTGTCCAGCATTTATCATTTTCCTGTTTTGTCATGTTAGCCAATCTGACAGGTGTGATGGAATACTTCAGAGTTGTTTTGATTTTCATTTCTCTAATCAATAGTGATTTAGAGCATTTTTTCATGTGACTATAGATGGCTTTGATGTCTTCCTCAGAAAACTGCCTGTTAATATCCTTTGACTATTTATCAATTGGAAAGTGACTTGTATTCTTATGAATTTGACCCAATTCTTTATATATTTTAGAAATGAGGCCTTTATCAGAGATACTTGCTCTAAAGATCATTTCCCAGCTTTCTGCTTCCCTTTTAATCTTGGTGGTGCTGGCTTTGTTCGTGCAAAACCTTTTCAATCTAATGTAATCAAAATTATGCAATTTGCATTACATAATGTTCTCTATCTCTTGTTTGGTTATAAATTCTTCCATTCTTCGTAGATCTGACAGGTAAACTATTCCTAATTTGTTTATGGTATCACCCTTTATGCCTAAATCATGTGCCCATTTTGACTTTATCTTGATATACAGTGTAAGATGTTGGTCTATGCCTAGTTTCTGCCATACTCTTTTCCAGTTTTCCCAGCACTTTTTGGTAAATAGTGAGTTCTTATCCCAGAAGCCAGGGTCTTTGGGTTTCGCAAACAGTAGATTGTTATAGTCATTGACTGTTGTGTCTTGCATACCTAACTTATTCCATTGATCCACTTCTATTTCTTAGCCAGTACCAAGTAGTTTTGATGATCACTGCTTTATAATACAAGATCTGGTATGGTTAGACCACCTTCCCTTGCATTTCTTTTCATTAATTCCCTTGACATTCTGGACCTTTTGTTTTTCCAGATGAATTTTATTATTTTTTCTATCTCTATAAAATAATTTTTGGTAGTTTGATTGGTATAGCACTGAATAAGTAAATTAATTTAGGTAGAATTGTCATTTTTATTATATTAGCTTGGCCTACCCATGAGCAGCTGATATTTTCCCAAGTATTTTGGTCTGACTTTATTTGTGTGAAAGGTGTTTTATAATTGTGTTCATATAGTTCCTGGCTTTGTTTTGGCAGGTTGACTCCCAAATATTTTGTAATGTCTACAGTAACTTTAAATGGAATTTCTCTTTCTATCTCTTGATGTTGGGCTTCATTAATAATAGAAATGTTGATGATTTATGCGAGTTTATTTTGTATCCTGCAACTTTGCTAAATTTATTATTCCAAGTAGTTTTTTTACTTGATTCTCTAAGCATACTATCATATCATCTGCAAAGAGTGAGCACTTTGTTTCTTCTTTGTCTATTTTAATTCTTTTTCCTATTGCCAAAGCTACCATTTCTTATACAATGTTGAATAACAGTGGTGATAATGGACATCCTTGTTTCACTCCCAATCTTATTGGAAATGCTTCTAGCTTATCCCCATTACATATAATGCTTGCTGATGGTTTTAGATAGGTACTACCTATCATATTAAGGAAGGCTTCATTTATTCCTATGCTCTCTAGTGTTTTTAATAGGAGCGGGTGTTGTATTTTGTCAAATGCTTTTTCTGCATCTATTGAGGTAATCATATGATTTCAGTTAGTTTTGTTGTTGATATGGTCAATTATGCTGATGGTTTTCCTAATATTGAATTAGCCCTGCATTCCTCATATAAATCCTACCTGGTCATAGTGTATTATCCTCAATATAAGTTGCTGGAATCTTTTTGCTCATATCTTCTTTAAATTTTTGCATCTATATTCATTAGGGAAATTGGTCTGTTATTTTCTTTCTCTGTTTTGGGTCTTCCCAGTTTAGTTATCAGCACCATATTTGTATCATAAAAAGAATTTGGCAGGACTCTTTCTTAGCCTATTTTCCCAAATAGTTTATATTGTATTGGGATTAATTGTTCTTTAAATGTTTGATAGAATTCACTTGTAAATCCATCTGGCCCTGGAGTTTTTTTCCTTGGGAGTTCATTGATGGCTTGTTCAATTTCTTTTTCTGAAATGGGGTTATTTTAGTATTTTATTTCATCTTCTGTTAATCTGGGCAATTTTGTAAATATTCATCCATTTCACTAAGCTCATCAAATTTATTGGCATACAGTTGAAGCAAAATAGTTTCTAATTATTGTTTTAATTCATTTTTGATACTGGTAACTGTATTTTTGATACTGGTTTTCTTCTTTTTTTTTTAAATTAAATTAACCAAAGATTTATCTATTTTATTGTTTTTTTCCATAAAACCACCACTTAGTTTTATTTATTATTCAATAGTTTTCTTAATTTCAATTTTATTAATCTATCCTTTGGTTTTCAGAATTTCTAATTTGGTATTTAATTGGGAATTTTTAATTTGTTCTTTTTCTAGCTTTTTTAGTTGCATGCACAATTCATTGATCTCTTCTTTCTCTATTTTATTCATGTAAGCATGAATAATAAGAACTGCTTTCACTGAATCCTATAAGTTTTTGTATGTTGTCTCATTCTCTTGTATGAAGTTATTGATAGTTTCTATGATTTGTTGTTTGACCCACTCATTCTTTAGAATTAGATTATTTGTTTCCAATTAATGTTTAGTCTACCTTTCCATGGCCCTTTATTGCATGTAATTTTTATTGCATCATGATCTGAAAAGGATGCATTTAATATTTCTGCCTTTCTGCATGGAATTGTGAGGTTTTTATGCCCTAATACATGGTCAATTTTTGTGTAGGTGCCATGAACCACCAAGAAAAAGGTATATTCCTTTCTATCGCCATGCAATTTTCTCCAGAGGTCTACTGTATCTAACTTTTCTAAAATTCTATTCACCTCTTTCACTTCTTTCTTGTTTATTTTGTGGTTAGATTTATCTAGTACAGAGAGGGGGAGGTTGAGTTTCCCCACTAGTATAGTTTTGCTGTCTATTTCTTCCTGTAACTCCACTCTAAGAATCTGGATGCTATACCATTTGATGCATATATGTTTAGTAATGATATTACATCATTGTCTATGGTACCTTTTAGCAGTATATAGTTTCCTTCCTTATCTCTTTTAATTATATGTATTTTTTCTCTTGCTTTGTCTGAGATCAGGATTGCTACTCCTGCTTTTTTTTTTTACTTCAGCTGAAGCATAATATAATCTACTCCAGCCTTTTACCTTTACTCTGTGTGTATCCTTCTGCTTCAAATGTATTTCTTGTAAACAACATATTGTAGGATTATGTTTTTTAATCCACTCTGCTATCCACTTCCATTTTATAGGAGAGTTCATCTCACTCTGTGGGATGATTACTATCTGTATCTTTCTCTCCATCCTATTTCCCCCCCTCTATTTATTTTTTTTTCTCTCTTCTCCCTTTCCCTCCTCACTGGAGTTTTACTTTTGACCACCACCTCCCTCAATCTGCCCTCTTTCCATTCTATCAGCCCCCTCTCTTTTCTTTCCCTTTCCTTCTACTACTTCTTCCCTTTCTTTTATCCCCCCCTTCCCTCTTCTTTCCCCTTTTCCCTCCTACTCCCTATAGGGTAAGTTAGATTTCTATGCTTAAATATGTTATTTCCTCTTTGAGCCAAATCTGATAAGACTAAGGTTCAAACAATGCTTATCTCCCTCTCTTCTTTCCCTCTACTGTAATAAGTCTTTGCACCTCTTTATGTGATATAATTTACCCTTTTCTGCCTTCTACTTTCCTCTTCTTCACAACTTAAATAGATTTTTTATCGTCACATCAAACTCAACTTATACCACGCCCTCTGTCTACGTATACCCCTTCTAAATGTCATAATGAAGATACAATTATCAAGAGTTACAAGTATCATCTTCCCAAGTAGGGCTGTAAACAGCTTGCCCTTATTGAATAGCATGCTTTTTTCCTTTCCTGTTTACCTTTTTATGTTTCTCTTGAGTCTTGTATTTGAAGATCAAATTTTCTGTTGAGCTCTGGTCTTTTCATCAGGAAAGTTTGGAGGTCCCCTATTTCATTGAATGTCCATCTCCTCCCTGAAAGACTATGCTCAGTTTTGCTAGTTAGTTGATCATTAGTGGTAATACAAGCTCCTTTGCCTTATGAAATATCATATTCCAAGTACTCTGATCTTTTAATGTAGAAGCTGCAAGGTCCTGCATAATCTTAACTGTAGTTCAGTGATATTTAAATTGTTTCTTTCTGGCTGCTTGCAGTGTTTTCTCCTTGACCTGATAATTCTGGGATTTGGCTACAATATTCCTTGATGTTTTCAACTTGGGTTCTCTTTCAGGAGGTGATTGGTGGATTCTTTCAAGGATTATTTTACCTTCTTGTTCTAGGACCTCAGGGCAGTTTTCCTTGATGATTTCTTGAAAGATGCTGTCCAGGCTCTTTTTTTTTTTCTGATGATGGCTTTCAGATAGACCAATTATTCTTAAAATATCTCTCCTGGATGCATTTCCCAGGTCAGTTGTTTTTCCAATGAGATATTTTACATTTTCTTCTATTTTTTCATTTTTAAAAAATTTTGTTTGACTGATTCTTGATATCTCATAGAGTCATTAGCTTCCACTTCCCCAATTCTAATTTTTAACAAATTGTTTTCTTTGGTTAGCTTTTGTACCTCCTTTTCCATTGGGCCAATTCTACTTTTTAAGGAGTTGTTTTCTTCAGTGTACTTTTTTTTTTCCTATTTGGCCAATTGTGTTTTTTAAGGAATTGTTTTCTACAGTTAATTTTTGTCCTTCCTTTTCCAAGCTGTTGATTCTCTTTGCATACCTCTCATTTCTTTCCCCAATTTTTCTTCTACCTCTCTCATTTGACTTTAAAAAGCCTTCTTGAGCTTTTCCAAGAAGGCTTTTTGGTCTTGAGACCAGTTCATATTCCCCTTTGAGGTTTTGGATGTGGTTATATTGACAATGTTGTCCTCTTTTGAATTTGTGTTTTGGTTATCCCTTTTCTGAATAGAAGGAATCTATGGTCATTGTACTTTTCTGCTTTTTGTTCATGATGTTTGCCTTATTTCCTGGCTTTTAAGGTTAAGCTCTCCTGCTGGAACACAGGGGGCACAGTTTCAGGCTTCCTGTGCTGGGATTCAGGGGCCTCATCACTGGCTTTGTGTGCTGGGGCCTCAGGTGCTGGCAGCTGGAGTCTGTAGGCTCTGGTAGCTTACATGTTGCTAAGCTGGGGTCCTAGGGTGGTGGCTGATGTGTACTGAGGCCAGGTGGGGTTTTTCTGCATTTCCCAGAGCTACACTGAAGCTCTTGGGGGAGGGGAGGGTGTGGGCCATGGAGGATGCTTGTTTACCTGGGCTGTGCTGAAGCATGGGGAGGTTTGACTTCTGGAGAATGCCAGACTGCTGTATTTCATCACAATTATATACTACAACTTGTTCAGCCATTCCTCAATTGATGGGCATCCCTGCAAATTCTTTGCTACTACAAAGAGAGCTGCTGTAAATATTTTAGAACATATAGATCCTTTTCCTTTTCCCCTAATCATCTTGGAAATAGACCTAGTAGTGGTATTGCTGGGTCAAAGGGTATGAGCAGTTTAATAACTTTTTGGGCATAATTCCAAATTGCTCTCCAAAATGGTTGAATCAGTTCATAATTCCACCAACAATGAATTAGTGTCCCAATTTTTCCACATTCCCTCCAAAATTTGTTTCCTTCCCCTTCAATCTGATAGGTGAAAAATTATATTTCAAGGTTGTTGTAATTTGCATTTCTCTAATAAATGATTTAGAGTATTTTTTATATGACTAAGTTGTTTTGATTTCTTTACTTAAAAATTACCTGTTCATATCTTTTGACCATTTGTCAATTAGGGAATGACTCATATTCTTATAGATTTGACAAGGTTCTTTACATATTTGAGATATCAGACCTTTATCTGAGAAACTGTCTATAAATATTTTCCCCCCAATTTTTTGCTTTCCTTCTGATCTTGGTTACATTTGTTTTATTTGTACAAAACCTTTTTACTTTAATGGAATCAAAATTATCCATTTTACACCTCACTCTGCTCTCTATCTCTTGTTTATTCATAAATCTGATAATATATTCCATGTTATTCTAATTTTCTTGTGACATCTTTCTTTGTATCTAGTTCATGTATCCATTTTGACCTTATCTCATATGTTGTAAGATATTGGTCTATGCCCAATTTTTGTTATACTGCTTTCCAGTTTTCCTAACATTTATTTTTATCAAATAATGAATGCTTATCTCAAAATCTTAAGTCTTTACATTTGTCAAATACAAGGTTACTATATTTATTTGCTGCTGTAAATTCTACTCCATTCTACTGATCTGCTATTTCTTTCCCCCCCTCTTTTGTATTCTTTATTTTTAAAAATTTATTTGTTTTTAGTTTTCAACATTCATTTCCACAAGATTTTGAGTTCCAAATTTTCTCCCCATCTCATCCCTCCCCCCACCCCAAGATGGCATGCATTCTGTATACCACTTCCCCTAATCTGCCCTCCCTTCTATCTCTCCCCCCTTCTCTTATCCCCTTCCCCTTCTATTTTCCCATAGGGCAGGATAGATTTATATACTTCATTTCCTATATTTCTTATTTCCCAGTTGCATGTGAAAACAATTTTTTTAAACATGTGTTTTTAAAACTTTGGGTTCTAAATTTTCTCCCTTCCTCCTTCCCCACCCACCCTCACTGAAGAGGCAAGCAACTCGATGCAGGTTATACATGTGTAGTCATGTAAAACACTTCCATAGCAGTCATGTTGTGAAAAACTAAGTATTTTTCCCTTCATCCTATCCTGCCCCCCCATTTATTCTATTCTCTCATTTGATTCTGTCCCTCCTCAGAGGTGTTTGCTTCTGATTACCCATCCCTCAATCTGCCCTCCCCTCTATCATCCCCCTGCTGTCTTGTCCCCTTTCCCCCGTGTTTTCCTGTATGGTAATATAGATTTCCATACCCAATTGAGTGTGTATGTTATTCCCTCCTTAAGCCAAATCTGATGAGAATAAGATTCACTCATTCCCTCTCACCTTCCCCCATTTCCCTTCCACTATGAAAGCTTTTCCTTATCTGTTTTATGTGGGATAATTTACCTCATTCTACCTCTTCATTTCTCCTCCCAGTATAATCCTCTCTCACTCCTTAATTTTATTCTCCAGATATCACCCCTTCATCTTCAACTCACCCTGTGCCATCTATCTAGCTATCTACCTACCTATCTATCTATCTATCTATCTATCTATCTATCTACATACATACATATAATATTTTCCCTTCAACTACCCTAATACTGACAAAGGTCTCATGAGTTACAAATATCATATTTCCATTCAGGAATGTAAACAATTCAGCCTTAATAAGTCTCTTATGATTTCTGTTTCCTGTTTACCTGTTCATGTTTCTCTTGAGTCTTGTATTTGAAAGTCAAATTTTCTATTCAGCTCTGGTCTTTTCATCAAGAATGCTTGAAAGTCCTCTATTTCACTGAATGACTATTTCCCTCCCAAAGGATTACACTCAGTTGTGCTAGGTAGGTGATTTTTGGTTGTAATCCTATCTCCTTTGCCCTCTGGAATATTATATTCCATGCCCTCCGGTCCCTTAATGTAGAAGCTGCTAAATCTTGTGTTATCCTGATTTTGTTTCCACAATGCTTGAACTGTTTCTTTCTGGCTGCTTGCAATATTTTCTCCTTGACCTGAGAAATCTGGAATTTGGCTACAATATTCCTAGGAATTTTCTTTGGGGATCTCTTTCAGGAGGAGATTCGTGGATTCTTTAATTTCTGTTTTGCCCTCTGGTTCTAAAATGTCAGGGCAGTTTTCCTTGATAATTTCTTGAAAGATGATGTCTAGGCTTTTTTTTATTTTTAATCATGGCTTTCAGATAGTCCAACAATTTTTTAAATTGTCTCTCCTGGATCTATTTTCCAGGTCAATTGTTTTTCCAATGAGACATTTCATATTGTTTTCTATTTTTTCATTCTTTTGGATTTGTTTCACAGTGTTTTGATTCCTCATAAAATCACTAGCTTCTGATTGCTCCATTCTAATTTTTAAGGAAGTATTTTCTTCAGTAAACTTTTGGACTTCCTTTTCCATTTGGCCAATTTTGCTTTTTAGGGCATTGTTCTCCTCACTGGCTTTTTGAACCTCTTTTGCATTTGGGTTAGGCTATTTTTCAAGGTGTTATTTTCTTCAGCATTTTGTTGGGTCTCCTTTAGCAAGCTGTTGACTTGTTTTCATGATCTTCTCGCATCACTCTCATTTCTCTTCACAGTTTTTCCTCTACTTCTTTTACTTGTTTCTCAAACTCCTTTTTGAGCTCTTCCATGGCCTGGGACTGATTCACATTTTCTTGGAGGCTTTGGATGTAGGAGCTTTGACTTTGGTATCTTCTTCTGGCTGTATGTTTTGATTTCTTTGTTACCAAAGAAAGATTCTATGGTCTGACTTTTTTTTTTTGGACCTTTGTTTATTCATGATCCCAGCCATTACTTGGGTTTTAAATGCTTTGTTAAGGTAGGGGCCTGTTCCAGTGTGGAGAATGTACTGTCCCAAGCTTCAGGGGTTTTGTGCAGCTGTTTTCAGAGATACTTGTAGGGACCTGTAAATTTTCAGTTCTTCCAAGGTGCTATGATCAAAGGAGAGGTGTTTACTCCTTTCCTGGACTGTGCTCTGGTCTATGAGTGACCACAAGCACTCTTTTCTGCTTTGGAACTGTGAGGAGGATTTTCTCTTCACCACCACTACAAGCTCTACCATGCCAGCGCTCCTCCTCACCCCAGGACCACCACCCAGAACTGTGACCCAGATCCAAGCACGGGCAAAGCAAGAGAATCCTGCACCAGCCGAGGGGTCCCTAAAATCCCCCTCTAATCAGCCACTCATTCCCCCTCAGTCTGTGGGTCAGAAGCTCCAGAAGCAGCCACTGCCCCAGGGCCACTCTTGAGGACTGGGGCTGGGACTGAGCTTCTCTCTCTCTCACCGCAGACACAGACTCTTCCCACTGACCTTCTAAGTTGTCTTTGACACTTGTGGTTTGAGAAGTCTGGAAAGTGCCACAGCTGCCTGTGATTAAGTCCCCTGAGTCCTGCTCCAGGTTCAGTGAGGCCTGTTTTGCCTACACACCCAGCAGAACTGAGCTCCTCTCCCTGCCCAGTGCGATATATGTTTCTGATCAACCATCCTGGCTGTCTTGGGCTATAAATTTGTTTCACTCTCTTTTTGTGGGTTCTGCTGCTTTAGAATTTGTTTAGAGCCATTTTTTATAGGGATTTGGAGGGATTTAGGGGAGAGCTTAAGCAAGTCACTGCTTTTATTCCACCATCTTGGCTCCACCCCTGCCTTTCTATTTCTTAACCAGTTCCAGATAGTTCTGATAATTACAGCCTTCTAATATAATTTAAGGTCTAGTATTGCTAAATCTCTTTACTTTATATTTTCCCTCCATTAGTACCTTTGATATTCTTGGCTTTTTATTCTTCCAAATGAATTATTTTTTCTAATTTAGTAAAATAAGTATTTGATAATTTAATTGCAATGGCATTGAATATATAAATTAGTTTAGGTTAAATTGTCATTTTATTTTATTGCCCTTGCCTACCTATGAACAATAAATATTTCTCAAATTATTTAAATCTGGATTTATTTTTATTAAAACAGTTTTTTTAAAAAATAATTTTGTTTATATATTTCCTGGGTTTGTTTTGATAGGTATACTTCCAGGTATTTATATTTGTTATCTCTTCTTACAGGATTTTGTTTGTGATATATGGGAATGCTGATGATTTATATGAACTTACTTTATATCCTGATACTTTGCTAAAATTATTATTTCAATTAACTTTTTAACTGAGTCTTTGGGATTTTCTAAGTATATTATTATATCATATGCAAAAAGAGATAGTTTTATTGTCTCATTCCCTATTCTGATTCCTTCTATTTCTTTTTCTTCTCAATGCTATTGCTAGGATTTCCAATACAATGTTGAGCAATATTGGTGATAGTGGGCAATCTTGTTTCACACCTGAGCTTACTGGGAAGACTGCTAGCTTAACCCCATTACAAATAATGCTTGTTGATGGTTTTAGATAAATTCTTTTTATTGATTTAAGGAAAAATTCATTCCTACCTGTACTTTCACATGTTTTTAATAGAAATGAGTGTTATATTTTACCAAAAGCTTTTTTTGCATCTCTTGATATAATATGATTTAATTTTTTATTATTGATATAATCAATTATATTAATAGTTTTCCTTATGTTAAACCATCTCTACATTCCTTGTATAAATCCCACTTGGTCATAATGTATAATCTTTGTAATATGTTGTTGTAATCTTTTAGCTAATATTTTACATTCATATTCATTAATGAAATTGGTCTATAATTTTCTTTCTCTGTTTTTACTCTTCCTGGTTTAGGTATCAGCCTCATAAAAGGAGTTTGGTAGGATCCCTTCTTTGTCTGTTATTCCAAGTAACTTATTTAATATTTAAATGAGTTGATCTTTAAATATTTGATAAAATTCACTTGTAAATCCATCTGGTCCTGGTGCTTTTTCTTAGGAAGCTCATTTGTGGCCTGTTCAATTTCTTTTTCTAAAATGGGTCTATTTAGATATTTTATTTCCTCTTGTTGCTGATCTAAGCAAGTTGTATTTTTGTAAATATTCTTTCATTTCACTTAAATTGTTAAATTTGTTGGCATATAACTGAGCAAAATAGCTCCTTATAATTGCTTTAATTTCATCTTAATTAATGGTATATTCACCCTTTTCATTTTTAATATTAGTGATTTGGTTTTCTTCTAATTAAAAAATCAAATTAACCAATGGTTTATATATTTTTTTCATAAAACCAACTCCTAGTTTTATTCATTAATTAATGGGTTTTTTACACTCAATTTTATTAATCTCACCTTTAATTTTTAGTATTTCCAATTTAGTGTTTAACTATGATTTTGCTTCCCTTTTTTTCTAGTTTTTTAAATTGCATACCCTATTCATTGGTCAGCTCTTTTTTAATTTCATTGGTGTAAGCATTTGGAGATACAAATTTTCCTGTGATCATTGCTTTTGATGTATCACATAAGTTTTGATATGTTGTCTCTTTATTGTTATTTTCTTTAATGAAATTATCTATTTTTTCTATCATTTATTCTTTAACCCACTTATTCTTTAAGATCAGATTGTTTATTCTCCAATGAGTTTTTAATCTATGTTTCCTTGGCCCCTTATTAAATATAATTTTTATTGCATCATGATCTGAAATGGATACTTTAATATTTCTGCTTTTAACTCTAAAATTTTTATGTGCTAACATATGGTCAGTCTTTGTAAAGGAAACATGAACTGCTGAGAAAAAGGTGTATTCTTTTCTATTTCCATTCAGTTCTCTCCATATATCTATCATATCTAGCTTACCTAAAATTCTATTCACTTCCTTGAATTCTTTTTTTATTTGTTTTTTGGTTGGATTTATCTAGTTCTGAAAGAGGAAGATTAAAACCCTCCACTAGTAGAGTACTACTGTCTATCTCCATCTGTAATTCATTTAACTTTTCTTTTAAAAATTTAGATGCTATAGTATTTGATGCATATAAGTTTAACATTGATATTGCTTCATTGTCTCTGGTAGCTTTTATCAAAATGTTGTTATCCTGTTTATCTCTTTCAATTAAATTTATTTTAGCCATTACTTTTTCTGAGATAAAAATGGCTACCCTTGCCTTTTTTTTTGCATCAGCTGAGGCATAATAAATTCCACTCCAACCCTCCATTTCAACTCTGTGTTTATCTCTCATTCTTAAATGTGTTACTTGTAAACAACATAGTGTTGGATTCTGATTTTTAATCCTTTCTGCCATCCACTTCTGTTTTATGGGTGACTCCATCTCATTCACATTCAAAGTTATAATTATAACTTTTTGAATTTCCTTCTATCATAGTTTTATTCTCCATTGTCCTCAGCCTCTCTTTTTACCCTATAGCAGATGTTTGTATTGTTTCCTCTTCAACAAAGATCTGATGAGAGTAAGGTTCCAACATTACCAGCCTTCCATCTCCACCTGTTTCCTCTTTATTGGTTTTCCTCTCATGCCTCATTTTATGAGAGAATGGTTCACCTTTTCCTATCTAATTTTGTTTTTTTAGAACTAACCCCAACTTTTCTTTACCCTAGTAAAGAAGGTAGTTTTAAAAATACTGATAACACTTTCATATATAAGAAGTAAACAATTTGACCTTAATGAGTCTCATAATTAGTCTTCAGTGTTTTCCTTATATTTCTTCTGGATCTTTTAAAATGATTTTTTTGGTTGAGTTCTGGTCTCTTTGTCACAAATGGTTGGAAGTCTTTCAGTTTATCAAATGGCCATTTTTAAAATTTGGGATTATATATAATTTTATATATCATTGTCATATCATTATATTATATATAATTTTGGAATTGTACTCAATTTTGCTGGGTCAATTATTCTTGGTCACAACCTACCTCTTTTGCTCTTTGAAATATAATTTTAAATGCTTATGGTCTTTTAGTGTAGAAGCTTCTAGGTTTTGTGAAATCCTGATTGTATCTCCACAGTATTAAAAATTTTTTTACTTGTTGCTTGCAATGTTTTCTCTTTAACCTGGGAGTTTTGAAACTTGGCCATGACATTCCTGTACATTTTCCTCCTGGGATCTCTTTCAGGTGGTGAATGGTAGATTTTTTTTTCTATTTCTACTTTACCTTCTTGTTCTAGAACTTCAGGGCAATTTTCTTAAATGATTTCTTGTAATATTGTATCAAGATTCTTTTTTTGATCATAACTTTCTGGTAGTCCAATAATTCTTATATTGTCTCTCCTTGATCTGTTCTCCAGATTGGTTGTTTTTTAAATAACAGTGTTTCAGATTGTAGTTTTTTTTGTAGTTTTATTATTTCTTGGTGTTTTATAACATTATTTGATTCCTCTTGTCCAATTTTAGTTTTCAAGGAGTTATTTTCTTCTTAGGATTTTGGACCTCTTTTTTCCAATTGGGTTAACTTTCTTTCCATAGTTTTCTTGGATCACTTCAATTTTTTCCTCTACTTTTTCCTCAGTCTCTCTTATTTTATTTTTTAATTCCTTTTTAAGATCTTCTAAGACCTCTTTTTGGGACTGTGACCATTTGACATTACTCTTTGGGGAAGGAGTAACTTTTTTTATATCACTATTTTTCTCTGAATATGAACCCAAATCTTTCTTTATAGCATAGTAGCTATCTGTGGTCAAGTTCTTTCTCCTTTGCTTGTTAATTTTTATCTTTAGCAGCTTTTTATTATAATCAGGTTTTAACCCTCAGTTATGGATAATGATGCCCTAGGCCTCAGGCCCCCCCTACTGTTATTTTCTGAATTCTTTCTGGAGGCCCAACTTCACTGGGAGTTTTCAAAAATGAAATGGTTTGACTCTGGAAGTGATGAGTTCCACCTCTCAGGAGATCTTCAAGGAAAGACTAGATAAGTACTTGGGTATATAGAAGAGATTTCTCTTTTGGGTAAGGCTTAAACTATAGGGCTGCTAAAGACCTTTGGCATTCTGAAATTCTTCAGTTCTGTAAAGAAGGGTCTATTGGTTTGTATATGTGAGTGCACAAGAAAAATGTAGGAAGCTGGCCTGAGGTGGTCAGGGTTTTTTTTTTTTTGTAGGTAGCATTAATAAAAATTGATTTTCTTTTTGATGTAAAATATAGTCAATAACTTTGCCATGCAGTCAGTCATTTGAGGGCATTTGATATCTTCATGCGTTGGCCCATTCTCTAGGAATTTCAGACTATAAGTCTAGTCTAGTCTAGTCTATCAGACAGTATTTGCCATCTAGATTGCTTGTAAATAGAATATTATGATACATTTACATGTATTTAGTTATCAGGATTTGACAAAGGCAGAGTTAAGAGGTGAACTTATATTTTCATTTCATTGAAAATGCTCATTTCTGTCCTAAATTCTTAATTCTATAGGCATGTTTTTACTGCCATCTATATTTTTGAAGCATTGATTAAAATATTAGCAAGAGGACTTTTTCTGGATGAATTCACTTACCTTCGAGATCCATGGAACTGGTTGGATTTCATTGTCATCATGCTGGCGTAAGCATACTTCTCATGTTATAAGAGTAGGACAGTTCAGTTACACAGCACAGTCCAAACTGGAGGGAGTTAGGTTAGTCTCGTGAGCTTAGAATTGGATGTGGATCTGAGAAAATTGGTTGACTCTGCCCAGAGTGTTATGTAGCTCTGTTGTGCTCATGCTGGGGCCAGAGCCACAATCCAGAAGTGTATCCATTTGTATGTCCACACTGTCCAGAAGGTGCAATTTATGAAAATCCAGATGGTAATATAATTGGCTTCAGCCCAGCAAATATCTTTAGATTACTTTTTCTAAACAATAGAGTTTTAAAAAATGTTGATATAGATTTGAATGTTTCCCAAAAGCTTAATGTTGTTTGAATTGAATGGAGAATTCCCAATGTTATGAGTAACATGAGTGTTATAGGTTCAAGTTAGCCCTTGAACACTGAGCCCAAAGGAAAAAAAAAACAAGATTTAAATGAGATTGTAGATCAAAATCTCATGATGTGGGGTGGCAGATATCTTTCTGATCATTTCACCTAAGCCTTTTACTTTAGAGATAAGGAAAAGGGTGTTAGTGAGGGGTGATTTGTCCACACAAGTTATTAAAGTCATAAATAGCACAGTAGGTATTTGAACCTAGGTTTGCTGAGTCCAAATCCAGGACTTTCCTCCAGTTACCATGCACATCATAGAAACAGATCATAAGATTTAAAGGGACCCTAGAGATCAATGGACATGTGAATGATTTACTCCAGCAAGTTAATGGCAGACCAATGCTGATAGGGAATTACTTAGTGATTGTAATGAGCCCTCAGGAAATTCTGTCTCTAGTGTTTGGCTTTGGGAAACTATGGGATGTGGCCTCCAGGGACGCTTCTGCTAAAGCATATTATCCTTGTTCTTGCCTTGGCAGATTTCTATCGTATGGGATTTCTACACTAGACAGTGTGTCAGCTCTAAGAACATTTCGTGTCCTCAGAGCTTTAAAAGCCATCTCAGTCATTTCAGGTCAGTAACCTCAGCTTTCCTTGATTAGCTCTTAAATATATAGAATTGGCTGCTTTTCTCTTTAACGCTTATGTGTTATGTGGTAGATACAGTGCTCACTAGCAGTCTACCAAAGTATGCCTTATGGCTACTTTCTTACTTAGATCCGCTGAGATTAAACTGACGTTCTGTTAGGTATCTTGGCATTTGCTAAAGAGGTCACTGTTATTAGCATTTCTTTCAATAACCTCTTATTCAATCCACGGGGGGCTGTGGGTGTTCAAGAAGGACTAGCACCTCTGGTGTGAGAGCTTGCTCGGCCCTTTTCAGGGCTGCTGAGCCACCTTTGATGTCTACCAGGCACTCAACTCTCACCTGTGGCTCAAAGAAGCTGTAGCAAGCACAGTGACCACACCTTGGTAAACCTTCTTGGCAGATGGGCTAAACCAAGTTGAAGGTAACCAAGAGGCCTCAAACCCATCATGAGTTAGGATTATGTCTACCCCAAGCATGTGAAGACTCCTCTGGTAGAATGGGGCAGATGAGAGCAGTTTGTTCCACTGGCCATGAAAATGGATGAAGCAGGTGCTGCGGATAGCTTAGATCTTGGTCAGACATCAGAAATGCTAAGGTCATCTACCACATCCTGGACCATCAGCAATCCTGATTTTTGTCTTGCCGCTGGATTTTGATGACTCTGGAAGAGAGAATGAGGCTGATGACTTTGTGCAATTCCATTTCACTTAAATCCAATTCAAGCAAGAGTCGAGACATCACCCTGTGATGTCATGGGTCCTCTCTGAAAACAAAGAACAAAAAACAATATCCAATCCACAACAGAGTAAAGATAACCCACTTAATGGTGGCTGTTTCCATGTGAATAAAGTGAACATTTTCATGCCTGAGAAGGACCTTAGCAATTTTCTAGGATCAAATGAGTTATCATATCATATCATATTATATCCTATCATGTCATATTGATCACATATCTTCTTAAGCTTAATATAAATGCTAGCTTCTTCTTCTTCCTCTTCTCTCCTCCTCCTCCTCTTCATCTTCCTCTTCCTTTTCCTTTTCTTCTTCCTCTTCGTCCTCTTCCTCTTCTTCTTCTTCTTCTTCTTCTTCTTCTTCTTCTTCTTCTTCTTCTTCTTCGTCTTCTTCTTCTTCTTCTTCTTCTTCTCTTCTTCTTCTTCTTCTTCTTCTTCTTCTTCTTCTTCTCCTTCCCTCCTCCTCCTCTCCCTCTCAATTTAAAGTTGGGCAAACTATACCCTCAGTAACAAAATGGAGACTCAAACCCAAGTCTACTTACTTCTATTAGAGACCATGATGCAGCTAAGTTGCCCAGAGGATAAAGCACTAGACCTGTTAGGTCTAGTTAGGAAGTTAGGAAGATCTGTGTTCAATTCTCATCTCGCACACTTGCTAACTGTGTGACCCTGGATTAGTCACTTAACTTCTGTCTGCCTCAGTTTCTTCATCTATAAAATGGGGATAATAATAATAATAACTACCTCCCAGGGTTGTGAGAATATGAGATAATATTTGTTAATCATGTTGCATACCTTAAAGTACTATATAAATGCTAGTTATTATTGTATATAATAATTATGTATCATATGATACATGATATATAATATATTTCAATGTTATTACTATTCAATCAATCAATAAACATTTATTAAGCACCTACCATATGCATGCACTGTACTAAGTCCTGGGCATGCAAAAAGAGGCAAAAGATAGTCCCTAACCTCAAGGAGCTTACAATCTAATTGGGGGGGAGGACAACATGCAAACAATAGGGTACCTTTGCAGATTTACAAGAGAGGTGAGCAAGACCTGAGCTAGGAAGAGTGAGTTGTGTGAGTGGAGTAAAGAGGATAGATATGAGAAATGAATGAATGAAAAAGTGCTTAAGGACTTGCTATGTGTAAAGGTTAGGGATACAGATACTAAAGCAAGATGCTCTGCTCTGAAGGAGCTTATATACAAATAGAGGAGATACCATATATAGAGCCTAGGTGGCTTGGGAGGAATATTTTGGTCTGGGGAGTCACTGGGATGTGAAAAGAGCAATAAGGGAGTAGATAGACACTATTTCCAGTAGCAATAGTGGTATTCATTTGATCATAGTTACAAAGCTGGAAAAGTGGAGGGCAGGTAGGAGGAGGGAGGATATGTGCCTAGTGGCAGTCAAGAAGATGGCTGGGGTATAAAGTAAAGCATGGCTTGGGCTGGATGAGGCACTTACCATTCAGGGGAGCATGGGCCCCAGGGAGGGAGCTCCAGAACTAAAAGACATTATGGAGATAGAATTGACAAGGTTTGGAAACTATTTGGAAATGGGGGACTTGGAAGAGTAAATGAATAGTCAAGGATGGCTCTAAAGTTGATAACCTGGGTCCTTGATAGAAATAGGGAAGTGGGGGGCAGCTAGGTGGTACAGTGGATAGAACACCAGCCCTGGATTCAGGAGGACCTGAGTTCAAATCTGGCCCCAGACACATAACGCTTACTAGCTGTGTGTCCCTGGGCAAGTCACTTAACCCCACTGCCTAGCCAAAAAAAAGTTAATTGACTTGTCCAGGATCATCCAGGGTACATCAATGGCAATAGCTGCTGGGGATCTGCCTGCCTTGAGTCTCTCCCCACTCCAGTTCTTCTGCCATTCCACCACTAATGTGATTTTTCCTAAAACACAAGTCTGATCATGTCTTCTCCCCACTCAATAAATTCCAGTGGTTCCCTATCACCCCAGGATCAAATACAAATGCTTTGTTTGGCATTCAAATCACTCCATAACCTGTCCCCCTCTTACCTCTCCAGTCTGCTTACACCTTTCTCCCCAACACAAACTCTGATCCAGAGACGTTGGCCTCCTGGCTGTTCCAGGAACAAGACTCCATCTTTAGGCTCCAGGCAGTTTCTCTGGTTGTCCCCCATGCCTGGAATGTTGTCCCTCTTCAGCTCTGCCTACTGACATCTGTGACTTCCTTTAAGTCCCAACTAATATTCTATGTTTGCTGATTGCTTTTGCAGAAATCCTTTCCCAACTCTTCTTAATTCTAGTGCCTTCCCTCTGTTAATTATTTCCTATTTATCCTCTATATAGCTTGCTTTGAATATAGATGTTTATTGGTTGACTGATTATTTGTATCCCAAGGGGTAGGGACAACTTTAATTTGTTTTACACAACACTGTGGATGCTATTGATATTTTATCATCAAAGCATGCATAAGCTGAATAGAGCTGTGTAAAATGTCTCTGAAAGCACCCACAGCCACTTTTTATCAAAATGTTTTCTGTCATGTTGTGTAGCTCCATAGCATCCCACTTGGATCCCTCTTTATGGTATGGAGTTGATCCTGGTTACTCAAAGGTTGTATTCGGTAGGCTTTGTCATGCTGCAAAGGCTTTGAGCATGGTCCCATCAATAAGCTATATCTGGATCTGGACACTTAGCCTCATTCAGTCTGCAGTCTCATCACTGAGATGGTGATGGGTTTTGTTGGGAAGAATTCTTTGGCTGTGTCAACTGATGAAGGGGGAAGGGAATGAACACTTATTAAATGCCTACTGTGTTCCTGGCACTGTGCTAAGGGGTTTACAAATATTAATTCATTTGATCCTCATAACAAACCTGGGAGATAGGTGCTATTATGACCTTCATTTTACAGAAGGGGAAACTGAGACAAACAGAAGTTAAATGACTTGTCTAGGATCACACGGCTAGTAAGTATGTGAGTTGAGATTTGAACCCAGGTCTTCCCAATTCTAGGCCCAGTGCTCTATGCATGCACCACTGCCTATGATGCACCACTATCTGTTGCAGAGGCCGAGGGGATAAGGCAATGTTAGAGAGAAATTGATAAAACCTCTAGATTACATCAATGTCTAATCTGCTGCTCAATGACCTTACTGTAATGATGGGCATAGGTGAAGACATAGGAAAAATATGAGGGTAAATTTGGCTCAGGAGATGGAAATGGAAGCAGCCAGAGGCTTGGAATTTATACAGGTGCCTGATGCTTGTAAATTATGAAGGCTCACTTGAGATAAAAGACCTTGAATGCCCTAAACATGGGGAACAATGAAGATCATCACAGCCTATGAAACTGACTATCATTTAAGACAGAAGCTGACTTCTGTCGTAGCACCTCAGATCCAATCAATCTCCAAGTCTGGTTGACTGGGCCTCCATACCATTTTTATTATTATTTTTTTACATTTTCACCCCATTTTCTCTACTCGCAGAGTCACCCTCTGCCCCAAATCAGAGCCGTATCACCTCTTGCTCAGACAATAGCCTCCCTGTTGTTCTCACTTCTTGAAGTCTTTCCCTTATGCAATCCATAGCTGACAAAGTGATTTCTCCTAAACTACAAGTCTGACAACATCATTCCCTGATCAGTGAACTCCAGTGCTAACCTTTTTCTTTTAATTTCTTGGATCAAATACAAACCCTCCTGTTAGCCCTTCAAATGCTTTAAGAGTGGTAACATACCACTCCACCATTTCTTCTCCAGAATCAGCATCCCTAGGTCCTTCTCTTAAGCCTTTTTAGTCTCCCCACCATCCTGACTGTTCTCATCAATACATGCTCTAGCTTGCCAGCTTCCTTCCTAAAGTGTATATGAGAAAATATTTCAGATGTGTCCTGACTAGGGCAGAGTGCAGTGGGCAATTATCACTGCCTTGGAAGGTGAGGTGGCTTGGCTGTGGTCATATAATTCTTGTGTTGTTGCAGAGATTCAAAACTAGCTTTATTTCTACTACACCATGCTGCCTCAAAGAAGAAGAGGATATGAGAATCTGAAGCAATATGAAAAACACTAGAGCACTGAGATTGTCTCAGAGGCTGAGTATTGGTTAGCTAAGGAGTAGGAAGCCTAGCAGCTCCATCTACTAGGTGTATTAGGTGTGCCACTGTAGGTATGAATGTTGCCTATTGGCTCCTGGAAATAGGATACTTGATACCATGCTGCACGAGGACAAGAGGAGGAGTTGGAAATGTTTATCCTGTGGATGATGCCTGCTTACCTCTTTCTTCCAAATGGAAATCAGCTATATCTGCACTGTCTTTGGACACATTGCTACAGTTTCTCCTTCATCAGCTTTTAATGGTGCAATGAACACTGATGTCTCATTGGCTGTGCACATTTGTAGCCCTGTGTTCCTTGTTGTGAATCCTGTCTATGTCTCCATCTATATGCTGAGTAGGCTGCCCTATGTTACATGATGTCCCACGGAGATACCTCTTCTTGTGGAAATGTGTTTAAGATTTACAAAACCCTCTGTGTGCCAGGCATTATACCAAGAACTTGGGGGGTAGGGAAATCATGAAGTACCATCTCATGATTTGTCTCCTCTTTGTCCAGGTTTGAAGGTCATTGTTGGGGCCTTGCTGCGCTCAGTGAAGAAACTGGTGGATGTGATGATTCTGACCATCTTTTGCTTGAGCATTTTTGCCTTGGTGGGGCAGCAGTTCTTCATGGGAAGTCTGAGGTATAGATGTATCAGCAGGTCCTGTTTGAGTATTGTGAATGGTAAATATCTTCCTTTTAAATACTTTATTTCTTTCCCCTGTTGGTCAATAAAGAGTTATTAAGTGCCTACTCAGTTCCAGGCACTGTCCTATGTGCTGAAGTGACAAAAAAGTTAAAAGAAGATCCCTGCTCTATAGAAGCTTAGGAGAAACAATAAGCAAGCAGTTATGCTCGTACATGCAAGTATGCTGTAGACAGGATAAATTGGAGACGATTAAAAGAGGGAAAGCACTAGAATTAAGGATTGGAAAGAGCTTCCTGTAGAAGGTGGGATTTGAGCTGGAACTTTTAAGTATTTGCTGGTATGTATTGCACATTCTGGTTATATGTGTATATACCTAATACATACACACATACACATACACACATATTGCAGAAAGGAAAGGTTTTTTGGTTGGTCTAGAGTTCTCATGAAGCTAAAGTTTATAAGTGAGTTTCCAGAAAGAAGTGTCTTATGTCTACGTGTGCATATGTGTGTGTGCTTTTGTGTTCACAGACTTCCACAAAAATAGAATTCCAAGGCCATGCTCATGGAACATCATTTTTTCCCACTTATTTCGTGACTTTTCTCCCTTGTCACTTCTCTTTCATCTCTTTGATGAATCTTCCCTGGAGTTCCTTCAGGGCACCGTGGGTGGGTCACAACAGCTGGTCTGGACTGGCTTTTATCATCGGCTCTTCAACAAAGCCTTTCTCTGTATCACGCCTCTACTTTCCCACCACAGACACCACTGATGCCCAACATCAATCCCCTTAGAATACTTGACTATTAAATCGAAGACCAAGTTTTGCTTGTATCCTCTTATATGTATTTCTTTCTTTTCCAGAGCCTTTTGAAGCTGAAAACTGTACATTTCTCAAGGATGATGCTGATTTTCTAGGTACAGAAGCAGAGACTTATGTTTAGTTGATCTTTCTTGTTTCGTTTTGTTTTCAGTGAGGCAGTTGGGGTTAAGTGACTTGTCCAGGGTCACGCAGCTAGTAAGTATCAATTGTCTGGTCTGAAACCAGATTTGAAATCAGGTCCTCCTGACTCCAGGGCCAGTGCTCTATCCACTGTGCCATCTAGCTGCCCCTAGTTGATCTTTCTTGCAAGGTTTGTTGAGAATTTTCTAGCCAATTGAATGGACAAAAGACACTGAGAATTTATGTGCCCAACCATCCCCTCACCACTGGTGTCGTGAATCAGCCCACATAGCAGTCCTGCCCAGAGATTTAGAGGCCACTTTTGGTTGGGGAAGTTGGGTTTGGTTGGGGTCTGTGGAGTTTTATTCAAAGGATAATGAATAGAGTCGGAATTTTTTCTGTACATACCAATCTAGGATCAACAGACCCCAGCCACTTTTCAATAAACCAGTCATGAGTAGGCTAGATCAGGAGGCATGCAGGGGAGAGATGATTCCTTTGGCATTAGAGGCGGTACCTGGTGCTCACCTCAGTCATTCCAGTTGCTTCTGTCTACACGTCTGCTTCCTCCCCTCCTCTAAGGGAAGGGCTCCAGGCTAACTGTACATCCTTATCATCCGCAGGCCCCAGCCTAAGACTGTGTCTGCATATAGGGCCTGACCTAACACAGGTGGCTTTGGAAATGATGCCATCTTCTCTGTACCTCTCTGTACTCCCTCCCACGTCCTTCCACTTCATCCTCTTTCTTATGATAACTTTTATTCCTTACCCTGTGTTTGACACCTGGCAATCAGACCTAGTTGGGGCACACGTTCTCTTCAGACAATTTTCTTGATTTCTGTATTTTTCCATGCCCTTCCTTTTTACAGAAAACTGCACTGAAAATAAAAATGAAGGCTCAACTGAAAAAAGATTATGTGGCACCTGGATGGGTAACAGGTAAGTCATCATTCTGCAGCCAGTGGGAATTCTGTGTTTGGTTGTTTTGTCTTTTTCCAAGTGAACTCTTTTGTTCTCATCTAAATGGAGCTATCACCTGCTGTTTGGCTCCTAATGCTATGTATGTCAGAGAAGAGGGGTGACATTACAAGGTATTAGGCTATGTCTGTGAGCCCCTTGGGTTTCATTGTTCGTAATCAAACCTTTGCTCCAGAATTGTTAGCTCTCCCCTTCTCCCTGCCCTCTTTTTGCTCCCTCTCCCTTTTTCTCTCTCTTTCCTCTCCTCTCCCTCCCTCCCTCTTTCTTTCTCTTTCTGTTCCTTCCCCCCTCTCTGCCCCACCTCCCCTTCCATTGCCATGTGTTGTAATCTCTAAGCACGTTGCAGCTCACATTAGAATGTCAGCCATTTCTGAGTGGGGTCGGTTCTGTTGTAGTTCTTGTCTCATCACCCTCACATGTGGGTGGTGCTTGATAGGTATTTATGAAATGGAATTAATACCCTTTCTGGCAAGACATTCCACAACCTTAGCCTGTTAACCTGAGGTTATTTAGTTGTTTCAGGTGTGTCTGATTATCTGTGACCCCATTTGGGGTTTTCATGGCAAAGATACTGAAGTGATTTACCGTTTCCTTTTCTAGCTCCTTTTACAGATGAGGACATTGAGGCAAACAGAGTTAAGTGACTTGCCCAGGGTCACACAGATAGTGTCTGAGGCCAGATTTGAACTCTGGACGATGAGTCTTCTTAGTTCCAAGTTCAGTGCTCTATCCACTATGGCCCCACCTAGCTGCCCACTCTATTAATCTAAATGTGACTTATTTGCAGAGTTCAAAATTATTTTGAGGATCCAAGTCATAGCATTCTTTGTTAACACTGGTCTTCCATACTTAAGAGAAACACTCAAAACTTGATAACACTTTTAATTAATAGAGACATATTCAAGTGCTCTGGAGATACAAAAATACATTAGTTATGTCATGCCCATTTTTCTGACATCTTTGGGTGCATAACAGCAGGGGAGCTCTGATCAACTCAAATCTATGACCTTTGACATGGAATCTAATCTTCTCTTCAGCCATCCAGATATTCGGATATTTTAATTATCTGCTGTCTCAGTGACTTCATTAACTCCCTTGGGTTTCCTTATCTCCCTGTTGTTGGATTTCACACATATCTACCCATCTCTGGTCTCTCTCTTGAGCTCAAGGGTTCCATCACCAACTGCCTGCTGGACCTGTAGAACTAGAATCCTTGTTTTTCTGCAAAGTTCTGCTTAGGATACTTCCTACAGGAGGCATTTCTTGTCTTCTCCAGCTGCTGTGGTCTTCACCCCCAAGTTACCATTTATATATTTTGTATGTATATATGTATGTATGTATGTGTATGTATATACACACACACTTATAATATGTATATGAATCAATAAAGCATTGGAGGAGACAACACACAGGGAAGGTTTCAACTGAGGTCAGATGGAAAGGTCTCCAGATCCTTAGGATACAGTGGAAAAGCAGAGGTGAATGGCCCTTCTTTATTACCGTCTCCCCTGGTAAGTTGATATCAGTTTCTGCTGTCAAGCCATTTGACGCAGCCTAGAACTTTGGGGGTAGTGTTCCTGAGTCTTCAGTAACTGTGGCTGCAGATCCTGCAGAAACATGCTGCATTCTCATTGAGTTTGCCCCCCAGGATTGTGGCTGGAGGGCTGAGGGCATTTTATGTGTATGGACACACACATTTAGACACATTCACACACATATGCATATGGACATGTATGTATAAGTGTCTACTTATGAAGGCATATTATTTATCCTGATAGAATAAACACTTCTCAAGGACAGGGAATCTTTAGAATAAAGGACAAACTTATGACACTCACAGACATAAAAACGGGTGGCCGTTTCATTATCTTCCCTTCTCTTTCTTTTAATTTTTTTGTATTGACGGCTTTTAAAATTTCACTATAAATTCCCCCAGGCTGAGTAGAGTCCAAGCAAGACATGGAGGGGAAAGGTTAGGAGAGAACAGGTGTTCTCTCAGGTTGGGGTTGGGGGGGTCGTTGTCTTCAGGGCAATTTGGAGTTAAATAACAGGGATAGTGAGAGTAACAAGTAGGGGTAGCAGAAGATGGTAACTGAATAGCACACTCAGTCAGTCAACATTTATTAAGCACCTACTATGTGCCAGGCACTGTGCTGAGTTCTGGGGATACAGAAAGAGGCAAAAGACAACCCTTGATCTCCAGGAGCACATAATCTCATGGCTCTGCCACAGGGATTTTGTTTCTTTGCTCAGTGAAAGGGGTGAGAGTGTGGGCAAGGCATAAGGTGAGGGTGCTAGGCTTGGCTTGCCTGCTCCCTGCCTGGTAAGAGGGTGAGGGTGATGCATGACATGGTAGCATGCTCATCAAGGCAGTGGTCAGTGGGTCTCCCTGTTTGGGCCCCAGACCCTGCTTGTCACCTGTCTGGCCTCTAGGCTTGGTGCAAGGAGGGAGGAGGTGCCAAAGGCAGGACACTCACCTTCCCCCTTAAGGAATGTACATTCTATCAGATTCTTGGCATTTCTTTTCCCTGGCAAAATGTCCCTGCTCTTGGTGCCATCCATGAGTTGCCCTTTATCTAGGCAGTCAGGTGGCATAGGGCACAGCATCAGACTTGGAGTCAGGCAACAGGAGTGTGAATCCTCAGCTCCTCAATACCTGCATAAATTCTGAGCACGTCCTCTCACTTCCTGGGCCTCAGTTTCTTCAACTATAAATTAGATAACAACACCTACCTCTCAGGGTTGTCATGATGATTAAATGAAATAATATATGCAAAGTGCTTTGGCAAACTTAAAGCCACATAAATGCTAGTTGTTATTATCATGATCATCATTATCGTTATGCTCCCGTGGAGCATAAGCGGCTCACTGCTTTTTCCTCAGAAGGTTCAGACAGTTAGAAAGGCCCATTTGATAACTCAGACAATCTGCTGCCTCGGGGTTGTGATCTCTTCTCTCTCTTTGGAGTAATTTTCTCTCATTTGCTCCATGGACCTTCTCCCCAATCCTGGGGAGGAACTCCAGCTCTTAAACTAGAGAGAAAGGAGGTGGGCTGCACCGCTGCCCATCCCACCTTCTCTTCTAGCAGGGAGACGCACTTGCAAATTGATGTACCCTGGATCATGATTCATCTGTGTTAGAGACATAAACATGACGATCTCTTTAAGTCCCTAAAACAGTTCCCTCATCCTTTCCCTCTGCTGAAACAGAAACCTACAGTTGTGGCTCTCCCTAGTGACTCAGACTGCTAACTGTCTCAGCCAACTGCTCTTACGTTCACTGATTGCATTGCAAGAGGACTGTGTGGGACCATGGGAGGAACCCTAGGAAACTTGTGTTCTCTCTCCTTCATGCTGAACTCTTGGCAAGGTTGGCCTATGGCTTAAAATTTAAGGTCCTGCTTCCCCCCAAATACTGTGCCCTTCTGGCAAGGTGCTGTTGTCCTATGCAGCCTGTCATGGAAATCCCAACATTAGAGTTCTCTCCTGGTTTTGATGGCAGAGGTGGAGCATTGACTCAAGAAAACTGTAATGTAGATTCCAAGGAGAGAGAAGGATGTCCTTTAGCCATATTCCACTAGGGGTTCTTCTGCTGAAGGGCTGACAAAACCAAGGGGATTTTAGGGAAATTCATCTGCTTGTGGTGTGCAGGTTAGTCTGAATGTCAGAGACCCTGGAGGTGAGGAGATGAAGAACACAAGGAGAAGTCCAGGCACGAAGGATGAGGACTTACTGAAAGAGCAGGGCTTACCTAGGACCCTCAGGGAGTTGGGCACACTGGAACAATGGGGGCTAGAAGGACCCACCATCACTCTGGGATTTTCATGACCAGATTTATTCACTGCTCACGTAAGCCAGTATGATGATGAAAAAACCCAACTGTTGTCCAGGAACACTGTGCTGTGAGCTACATAATGTTTTCTCTCTTTTTTGTTTCCTCTCTAGATCATGTTGCCCTGAGTTTATATGCTGTAAAACTAAGATCAGTCCAGATTTTAATTTTACAAACTTTGACCATTTTGGTTGGGCCTTTCTCAGCATGTTCCGAGTGATGACTCAGGATTCCTGGGAACGTCTTTATCAGCAGGTATTCCAACTTGGGTTGGAAATCTTTGGGCTTAACCTAGCTTCTTCATGCCAAGTTTAAAGTGACATTTCTATGTACATGAATTGGCTTTAAATTTGTTATTTAGGATTGCCCCCTAGAGCTGAGCAGACAAGGGGTGGCTACTTAGGATGAGTGGCTTTCTTGGAGGGTGTCAAAGTTCCCCTTGGCCTCAAACATCTGTCTCTCTCTACTCCCCCCCCCCAAACCTCTCCTCCCTTCAAAAAACAAAAAAGCCACAGTACCTGGAGGTTAAGAAGTACCTAATTTATTCAATTTTTCAGGTTAAAGATTTGGAAATCTCCATTGTTGTTTTAAAATCCAAATTACCCTTAGGAAGGGCTAGTAAATTGTTAATAACCAATCTTAGATTTTATCTGAGGCATTTCACAACACTGGGAATCTCGTACTCCTGGATAATTTCTACTTTCTTATCTACAGACACCACATTTAGTCAATCAACCAACAAGTATTTATTAAATACCTACTATGTGCAGGACACTGAGATGGTTTGAAAGTGTGATATTCTGTAGTAAGGTTTGTTTTTTAAGGCTAGGAGGGCTTAAGCATGTTTGAGAGCAGTAAGGAGGGGAGCTCATGGATAAGGGAGCTTGGAGATTAAGAATCCCTCTTTTAGATTGAGAGTGGGAGGGCTCCAGTTGAAAGGATGGCTAGATCAGAGGGGAAGGGCTCAGCTAAAAGAGTACTTAGCAGAAAGGCTGAGGATGTTGCCTAGAAGGGAAAAGAAAGGAGGACAAACAGAAGTAGCATCAACTAGGTCAGGAGAAGAAAATTGAAGAAGACAATGGGAAGGAGTAGAAAAGACTAGATAATGAGGTGAAAGATAAGGAAAAGGAGAAAAAATGCAAGGAAGAGAAGAAATCCTAATAAAAGGAGGGCCAGTATACCAAACTGTATCAATTTATTTCCTTTTCATTGGTCACCTCACCTATGGCCTGTCATAAAATGGTCCATCCACATATTCTTTAAGAAAGAACCAGTCATTTTCCAAAGATTTCCAAGTCCTTTCAGAAGAATTTTGTTTTTGTCTCTTGACATCCTAATCAAGACCCTTGTAGTTGTAGGATTTCTGGCCATTTTTAGTTTTTACTCCAAGCTGAGCAGCTTGGACCAAGTTTTGATGATGTCACAGACTGCATCACTATACTTTAGCTCCCTCCTCCCTTGATTTCTATGGGCCCCTTCTCCCATTGTTGAGTTCTTCCCACAGCTCCACTTTAAGGAAGGACCTAGAGCTGCTGTCTCGAATTCTCTAGACTTTACCATGTCCCCCAGATAGGTACCCTGGCCTTTTGTGTATTCTATTAGAAGGTAAGTGCTTTGAAGATTGTCTTTCTGTTTGCTTGTATCGCTTAGCACAGTGCCTGGCACATAATAAGCACTTAATAAAAATGCTTATTAATTGACTAGGCTGGTTTTAAACTTCTCCTGTAGCAAGCAGCAAGAAGGTAGCTAGATCAGCTGCCATCATCTCACCTGAAGAGAGACTTAGCTCAACCTTTGGGAAGCAAAGGAGAGATTTCTTTTTTTAATCTTGCTCCCTGTAAATTCCCAGAAGATAGACTTGAGGTTTACTATAAGAAGCTGTTGAAAATGATTTTTCAAGGGGTGAATGGGAGGGAGAGAAAATGGATTTTTGTGAATTGCAAAAAAATTTTTTTAAAAGAAAATAATGTGTGGAGTAAAGTTGTATGAAATGATGATTCAGAGTTTCACATGTATTTCACTTTTTGTGTTCTGTTATGTATCTGCAGATATCACTTTCTTGGTGTTTAAATTCAAAATTAAATTTAAAAATGAAAGTCTATATTTTTTTTTGCTGGAAGAGAAAAAATTCTTGTATTCTGCCTTAATAATGCCTATTAAAATGTTACAACATGAAACAATATCATCATCTTTTTCACCCTAGTGCCCTGCATGTTTTAGGTGCTTAGTAAATATTTGTTTGATTGAATTAAATTCCTTCAGAGGTTGGATATCTACTTGTCCGTGAGGACCTGGGTTCAGATTCTGCCTCTGATGCTTCACTACTTTGGGGACCTTGGACAAGTCACTTGCCCTCTACAACCCCTAATTTTCTGTAAAACTGCCTCTAATGTCCCTTCTCTCAATAAATTTGACCAACTGACTTTAATGGCCTGCATCAAGTCCCTGCTTACCTCCAGCCTCCATTAGAGAGAAATGGGAAGGTTCTTTTGGAGTGCCATTGATAGAAAAGGACTTCTAAATGGGGAGGAGCTGCTTAGTGCCCACACACAGTTTGGTATACTAGCCCTCCTTTTATTAGGATTTCTTCTTCTCTTCTTTGCATTTTGTCTTCTTTTCCTTATCTTTTTTCTCCGTTTCCTTATCTTTCACTTCATTATCTAGTCTTTTCTACTCCTTCCCATTGTCTTCTTCAGTTTTCTTCTCCTGACCTAGTTGCTGCTACTTCTATTTGTCCTCCTCCTGTCTTTTAGGCAACATCCTCAGATCTTTCTGCTAAGTACTCTTTTAACTGAGCCCTTCCCCTCTGATCTAGCCGTCCTTTCAACTGGAGCCCTCCCACTCTCAGTGGCTAGTCTGAAGAATTCCCAAGCCTTCCTAATTAGACCTTTGCAATTCCTCCTCCTCCTCCTTCTCCTCCTCCTTCTTCTTTGTCTCCTCCTCCTTCACCTCCTTCTTTGCCTCCTCCTCCATCTGCCCTTTTGGAAGTCAGAATTACAATGATTCCTGTATGCCTGCATTAGATCATTCAATCTAACCTGTTCCAAAATGAACTTATTCTTTCCTATCTTAAATCTCCTTTTATTCCTTCTCACTTTACTGTTTCTGTCATGAGCACCATCACTCAGCCATTTGCCTGTGTTTCAAACTTTGGTGTTAACTTTAACTCTACTGCCCTTCATTTCCCTTACCGCATTCACTTAATAAGCCCCCTGACTCTCCCTTCAGAATGGCTTTTGTCCATCTACTTTTCTCTATTCCCATTACCCCAGTAATATCCCTGGTATATTCCCCTCCCATTACTACCTGCCTAGACTATTTAAGCAACTTTGTATGAGTTTTCAGGTCTCTATCACATTGCTATTAGATGAATTTTCCTTATTCACATATTTGGTCAACCTTTTTTTGTCCAGAATCTTTAAATGGCTCCCTCTTGCCAACTCTATAAAGTCTAAATTGCACTGCTTGGCAATCAGCCCCCCCCCCATGCCATTTCATACCATTCCCCTGCATGTACCATGTGCTTCTAGTCTCTCTGGCCAAACTGCTTGTTATAGCATGTGATATGAGCCCCCAAGTTTTCTTGCCTTTGCATATCCTTCTGCCTGTACTTAGAATACCCTTCTTCTTCCCCATCGGTTGTTGAAATAGATTATTCTTTCAGCCCCTAGTCAGCAACTGCCTCTACCATGAAGACTTCCCTCACTCATCCAGTCAGTAATGACCTCTCTCTGTTTTTTTTTAAATCTCTATAAGCACATAGTAGGCACTCTAAATGTTGGCCCTCCTCATCATCTTTGTTATTATTATCTCTCTGATGGATTTCGATGTCCTTTAGCTGGCACTAATTACTCTGTGCAAGTGAAAGCAACAGACAATAGATGATATGCTCACCAAACAAGAGCCAGTGTTAGCACCAAGCTCAGTGCTCTGTCCAGAGCAGGCACTTTGTGAGTCGCTGTATCGACTGGACCTCCCTTAAGGATCACTCCAAAGACTTTGCTTTCCTGTGCTCCATGCAGACCCTTCGAGCCGTCGGGCCATTTGCTGTGGTCTTTTTTGTGGTAGTCATCTTCCTGGGCTCTTTTTACCTGATTAACCTGACCTTGGCTGTCGTCACCATGTCATACGAGGAGCAGAATAAAAATGTGGCAGCTGAGACAGAAGCAAAAGAGAAAATGTTCAGAGAAGCTCTGCAGCTGCTAAAGCAGGAGCAGGAGGTGGGTACCCGTGGGGTATGGGTGAGCAAGGCACAGGCAGACCCCGGGAATACTGTCCACATCGGGGAGGTCTGCGTCGCAGGGAGACGCCAGGGGCCAGGGTAGGGCTCAGGGCCACAGTAAGAAAGGGCTTTACATGCTTCCTTTTACTATTGCCTACCTAGTTCTCACCCCCCTATAGACCATTTCTGTGGATGTTGTCAATCGATAAGTAAGGATTTAGTGCTGAAAGTAGGTCAGGCGCTGTGCTAGGCATTGGGGATTCAAGAACAAAAAAGAAAGAATGCCCCTCACCCATCCTGAAGGAGTTTACAGCCTTTTGAGGGGAACCACAGATCCACATACAAAGAAATACAAAATGTATTCAAAACCCGCAGTCATGGGGGTGGAGGGTGACGCTAACTGAGAGAGTCGAGAGGCTTCCTGTAGGAGGTAGTGGTAAAGCCAAGCTGTGAGGGAAGCTCTGGGATTCTAATGGTAGATGTGAGAAAGAAGTGGGCTGGAATTTCTTCTCTGAAAAATGAGGAGAACCAAAGCTCTGCTACTTGCCTCAGAGGAAAGTGAGGGGACTTAATAAATTATAGTTTTAAAACCCTGTGTGAAAATACTCCCGGCAAGTCATTGCAAAGTGGAACTCACCATTTTCTCATGCCACTATGGATGAAGGTGCCCGGGGAGCAGGGCAGGGCCCATGTGCAATTGGGGAGCCCACCAGGGATGTGACCTCTGGGCACATTTCTGCCTTCTCCAAGGAAGAAACAAAGTCCTGAGGAGTTTTGTCTTTCAGGACAAGGGTCATGTGACTTGGTTTTATCTTCTCTCCCTCGGGGAGAAGAATGAGACTTAGCTTCTCTGTGGTCAGTGGCCATCAAACCCGGATTTCGATCGGCAGCCTGGTGTCCAAGAGACTTGTGTGAGGGGGTTCGGTGGAGAGAACCAGTGGTGCCACTCTCTCTGCCCCTTCTTGGACTGCCGCTGTGTTGTTAGAGGGAGTATGTGCCCTTCTTGCCCATACAGGTGGTATTATATAAGGAGCTCCAGCAATCAATTCCTTTTTGAAAAACAAGTTTCATGTCATTAGGACTTCTCTCTGCAATGATTTTGTGGTCTTTTAGGGCCAGGAACATACCTTGTCCTTTGGTGTGTTCCCCAAAGCTCCTGGCACCGTTTCAGTTCTCTGTAATCATCAGGGCCGCTGTGCACAATTACTGTGCTGACTAAGGGGGCATGAGCCCTGCCTAGCTGGAGGCAGGGCCTGGGAGAGCTGCAGGACCTCTCCCTTTGATATTTGAAAGGTATCTTGTTTCATTTGTGCAAATAACTCCTCTGCTAAGGCAAATCCAAATGCATCCACATTCTAGTAGCTGTTTCTGTGAGTCTTGTGGCCTAAAGAGTTGCTCACATGTCGGTCAACCCTCTGGGAATGAGCCTCTCCTCACTGACCAAGGTGGACCTTGGCTGGCATAATCAGCCTTTATGGGCCCAGTCCTTGAAACCTTTTCCAGTTTTGGGGGGGCCTTTAAGAGCTTATTCTCACTCAGCATAGCCTCTGAATGTGCAGAGTCACCTTTACACACTGCAGTGAGGTACATTTTACATAAAAATGTATAGAAAATTAACTCATGCACTTAATGAACAAAAGACTAGGCATAGAAAATGGACAAGCATGGCTAGGTTGTGATCTGCATTATTGAAGAGAACATCTAATTCATTGAGATCGCAGATTCATTTCATTGTGAGAAAAGGAAATAAATCACACTACCAGGTGACATTAGGACAGGTGCTCACAGAGGGGAAAAATGGCACAGGTAGGCCCACGCTCCTCATAGAATTCAGAGGAAGGTGAGATCACTGGGAGTCAGCTGGTTAGTGGTACGGTGGAAGGAGTGGGTTGTGCCTGATCAATAGATGCTCCGTGTTTTCAGACTCTGGTTGCTATGGGAATCGATAGGAGCTCACTTAATTCCCTTGAAACATCATCCATTTCTTGTCAAAAGAGAAGCCTGTTCAGCAACAAGAGGAGATCCTTCCTTGTGGGAAATTCTGAGCAAGAGCAAGCCGCACTCTCAGATCCTGATGACGGTGTCCAAACAAAGGTAAGGCCACGTCCACGAAACTGGGGACACTGGACCAGCTGCAATCCAGCCCCAGTTAGAGGACTTCTCATGGAGGGGAAGGGGAGGATGGTGCTATGTGCCAGGCACTGTGCTAAGCACCGGGGATACAGAGAAAGCAAAAACATGGTCCCTGCCCTCAAGGAACTCCCATTCTAATGGGAGCAGACAGCGTACAAATTGTCATGTATGTGATAGTGATACATACAGTGTGAATGGAAGGTAACCACAGAGGCAAGGCGCTAGAAGGGCCGAGCTGGGTGCAGAGAACGGCGGACAGAGAATGGGCTTATGTAGAAGGTGAGATTTGAGCGGTGTCTTGACGGAGTCTAAAGATGCCAGGAGGCAGAAATGAGGAGGAAGAACAGTCGAGGGATGAAGGACAGCCAGTGTAAAGTCATGGAGCTCCTACACAGAAAGCCGCATGTGAGGACCAGCAAAAATATCAGTGTGTCTCAATCATGGAACATGTATAGGAAGTGAAATATAGGAAGACAGGAAAGGTAGGAAGAGACCAGGTTATGAAGGGTTTTAAAAGCCAAAGGATTTTAGATTTGATCCTGGAAGTACTAGGGAATCCTTGGAGTACATTGAGTTGATGGGGTAGGGAACAGCTGGGTGGTGCACTGGATAGGGCTGTGGGCCTTGGGTCAGGAAGATTTATTTTCCTATCTGACCTCAGATACTTACTAGCTGTGTGACCCTGGGCAAGTCACTTCACCCTCTTTGCCTCAGTTTCCTCATCTGTAAAATGAGCTGGAGAAGGAAATGGCAAACCACTGTAGTATCTTTGCCAAGAAAACTCCAAATTGGGTCATGAAGAGTCAGACATGACTGAAACGATTGAACAGCAACTGGGATGGGTGGGGGGGACATGGTCAGTGTTCAGTCGGTGCAGGTCAGACCTGCACTTTAGGAAAATCACTTTGGCAACTGAGTGAAGAATGAAGGAAGAATGGACTGGAGCTCCGTAGAGAAACTGAGGATCTGTATTTAAACACACATATACCATTTATGCATTTATATATACACACATAGATGTGCACATGTATAATACTCACATACATATGTGTATATCTACACAACAGACGTACCTATCCACCTCCACATACGTTTACATATACGTGAGTTTGGGGTATCTTTGGGACTTCCAGTTTGGTGTATCCAAATGGCATTCTCAAACTTAATATGTCTAAAACAGAACTTACTATCTTGTATGTGTATACATACATACATACACACATATATATGCACATATACACATATATGTACATATGTGTGTATCCGTATGCATATCTATATCTATATATGTATATACATATCAATTATTTGCATTTGGATCATAACTGAATTCCACAGGAGCTGAGAGAGGCCCTGTCTTCAGTTTGGGCTATACCTTCACTTTTTGTGGAAGGTGAATTTTTTTTTTTTTTGCTGTTGAATCATTGTTTCAGTTGGCTCTGAATTTCTCAAATCCTCAAGGTATCGCTTGAAAGGCATTCAAAAAGGCCCAGAAGTCTAATAGAAAATTCCCTTTCCTTAGTATCTGGTCAGGTGGGCCAGGTCATGACCTTTTGACCTTCAGTTTCTTCATCTGTAAAATGGGGATGATCATATCTTTAGTATCTACTTCACCAGGTTATAATTAGGATTGAATGAGGTAATGAATATGAAGTGCTCTGCAAGCATTAAAGGGCTACATAAATGTCATTATCATAACTTTCTCTTTCTATAATGAATCACAAAAGGAGCCATCCCTCATGGACAGATTATAGGTATGGCAAAAGTACAGTCTTTCAGATCTTCAAGGGGAATCAGTCATCCTGTGTAGCTGAGTGTTTTGGGACCATATATAAAATGTCTCAAGTATTTTAAGCTATTGAAGTTATATGTACGTGCACGTATATATACCTACCTACCTACATGCACACTTATGCACACATATACATATATTCACACATGCATATATATTGTTGTTCAGTCATTCAGCCACGTCCAAGTCTTTGCAGCTCCATGGACTGTACTGTCCATGGTTTTCTTGGCAAAGATACTAGAGTGGTTTGCCTTTCCTTCTCCAGTGGATTGAGGAAAACAGAAGTCAAGTGACTTGCCCAAAGCGCGTGAGTGTCTGAAGCTGGATTTGAACTCAGGTCTTCCTGACTCTAGGCCCAGATCTCTATCCACTGAGCTATCTAGCTGTTGTTCTATGTATACATGTGCATATACGCATACATATACATGCCTGTATAATACACACATTATATATGTGTATGTGTGTGTGTGGATAGATAAATAGGTTTAGACATCTGGGTGTCTTATATCTCTCTCCTCTTCCTCTTTCCCTACCTCCTCTTCCTCTCCTTTTAGTGAAATAGATATGTGAGACACCAAGCTGCCTAAACCCAATCCCTCATCTAATTCATTAAATATCTGAAGGCCAAACTGTCACAAATGGTTATTTGCCTTATGACATGATTGACCTGCAGGACAGACTGAGCACCTCAGTATGTCTCAGGAGGTCTCTGTAGATCAGGTGTGCAATTTTGACTGGGCGGGACCTATTCTCAGCGAGCTCATGGTTTTGTGTCATTGCGATACAGCAGCAGTTATTGAACCAAACCAAGCGTCTGTCCCAGAACTTGTCCGTGGATTACTGGGATGACCGCGGCAACACCTTCCAGAGGCAGCGAGCCCTGAGTGCAGTCAGCATCGTCACCATCACTATGCAGGGTGAGTGGGAGTGGTTTTTCTATGTCTTTCTGTCCCCTTTCATATCAAGCAACAGTGGAGATCCTCCATACTTTCGACTTGTCTTCTTTCTGTTTCTGCCAGGTACCCCCTTCTCCCCCCATCTCTTAGATTGTCTTGAAAGCCTGGAACCATGTTCCAAATGGACCCCAGCCTGACTTCCTGTTTAGTTCTGTTGTCAGTTATCTAACTGATATTTCCCCCCTCTTTTTAGAGTATGAAAAGTCACAGCAGAAATGCCTTCCTTGTCAGAAAAACTTTGTCTCCAAATACTGCATTTGGGAGTGTTGTCCCCTGTGGCTACACATTAAAAGGACTGTGGAGCTAATTATCATGGATCCCTTTGCTGACCTGGCTATCACCATTTGTATCATCGTCAACACTGTATTCATGGCAATGGAGCACTGTGGAAAGGGGAAAGACTTCGAGAAAATGCTCAATATAGGAAATTATGTGAGTGTGTGTGGACATGGTCTTTTTATGGCTTCTAGTCACCTGGCCCTTTGAGGTATACAGAGTACTTTGTTGACGATGACCCTGCAATACAGATAGTGTAGGGCTTGTGATCTTCATTTTATAGATGAGGAAACTAAGGATGAGAGTTGTGTACAAGGCGATGTGTCGGAAAAAGTGAAGCTGAGGCAAACTGAGGCATGTTTTCTTTCTAGGCGACTTAACTGTTTATTAACCATGATACGTATAGCTGTTAACAAAATGGGTCATTGGAAACCTCAGCAAAGGCAGGGACCCAGGGAGAAACTACATTTTGAGCTAAATTGAGAAATGGGGTTTGACAAAATGAGGAATAGGATCAATTACAGAGTAGAATTTTTTTTTCAGTGATACAGCACCATTTTAATTTTCCTCAACTAGGAAGTGGCAGAGGTGACATTAAAGTCCTCTGGTCATTCCACATTTCTACATTGCCTTAGAAGTACTGGGAGATATCATCTGAAACCTAGAATGGTGTTCCTTTTATGGGTAAACCATAAAAAAAGATAGCTACAGCTAGGTTTGCAGTTGCTGGGAATAGTTTTAGATGTCTGGGCCCCAGAAGAAATAGAGATAGTAAAGGAGATTTAATACTGGAAGGCTAAGGAGTCATAAAGTATGTCCCAAGATAAGCTACATCTATTTGTACTAAGCTATAGCTGATAAGGAGAACAGACTCAATTTTGTTTGCCTTATGTACTTCAATAGTCTCAGGTCCCATGATTCTTTCCACTGATAATAATAAAGATAAGAATGACAATTACAGTAACAATAGCAAGCATTTTATAGTGCTTTAAGGTTTGCCAAGCACTTTACATGTCTCATTTCATTTGATCTTCACAGTAACCCTGGAAGTGGGTGCTATTATTATTTTCATGAGGAAACTGAGCCAGAGATGTGTGGTCCAGGGTCACATAGCTAGTACACCTCAGGAGCAGGATTTGACTCTGGTTTTCCTGACTACAACATTCTCTCCATTGTACTACTTTGCAATCTTTCTATACCCTAGCAGTATTTGTGAATTAATCTGGAAAATAAAAATAAGAACATCATTTGGTAACTAACTCTCTGTTGATAAGGTTCTCTGAGCTTGGAGAGGCTTGTCTTTTTTTTTTTAATTTAAATTTTTTTATTTTTTCCATACGCTTTTGAGTTGAAAATTTTTCTCCCTTTTCCTCCCCCCCACCCTCCCCAAGATGGCGCACAATCTGACATAGGCTTTACATTTACATACCCATTAAACATATTTTCACATTAGTGAAGTTGTAAGTAAAAATTAAAACCAATATGAGGAACCATCAGAAAGATGAAACAAAACTCAACAGAAGGTAAAAATAAGTGATAGCGATTCGACTTCCATAGTTCTTTCTTTGGATGTGAACAGCATTATCCATCCCGAGGCCTCTGGAAATGTCTTAGATCCTCATAATGCTGAGAAAGGTTCAGTTTAACAATCTTAGTCATTGCATAACGTGGCTGTTATTGTGTACAAAGTCCTCTTGGTTCTGCTCACTTCACTCAGCATCAGACCATATAAGTCTTTCCAGGTTTTTCTGAAGTCAGCCTGTTCATCATTTCTTATAGCACAATAGTATTCCATTACATTCATATACCACAACTTGCTCAGCCATTCCCCAATTGATGGGCATCCTCTCAATTTCCAATTCTTTGCCACCACAAAAAGAGCTGCTATATATTTTTGTACATGTGGGTCCTTTTCCCATTTGTTTGATCTCTTTGGGATATAGCCCTAGAAGTGCTATTGCTGGATCAAAGGGTATGCACATTTTTGTAGCCCTTTGGGCATAGTTCCAAATTGTTCTCCAAAATGGTTGGATCATTTCACAACTCCACCAACAATGTATTAGCATTCCAATTTTCCCACATCCTCTCCAACATTTATCATTTTCCTGTTTTGTCATGTTGGCCAATCTGATAGGTGTGATGTGGTACCTCAGAGTTGTTTTGATTTGCATTTCTCTAATCAATAACGATTTAGAGCATTTTTTCATATGACTATAGATGGCTTTAATTTCTTCATCTGAGAACTGTCTGTTCATATCCTTTGACCATTTATCAATTGGGGAATGGCTTGTGTTCTTATAAATTTGTCTTAATTCTCTATATATTTTAGAAATGAGGCCTTTATCAGAAAGACTGGTTGTAAAAATTCTTTCCCAATTTTCTACCTTCCTTCTAATCTTAGTTGCATTGGCTTTGTTTGTGCAAAAACTTTTCAATTTAATGTAATCAAAATGATCCATTTTGCTTTTCATAATGTTCTCTATCTCCTGTTTGGTCATGAATTCTTCTGTTCTCCATAGATCTGATAGGTAAACTATTCCTTGTTCTCCCAGTTTACTTATGGTATCAGCCTTTATATCTAAGTCCTGAACCCATTTTGACTTTATTTTGGAATATGGTGTGAGTTTTGGGTCTATGCCTAGTTTCTGCCATACTCTTTTCCAGTTTTCCAAGCAGTTTTTTTTCAAAGAGTGGGTTCTTATCCCAGAAGCTGGGGTCTTTGGGTTTATCAGATAATAGATTACTATAGTCATTGACTACTGTGTCTTGCATATTTAACCTATTCCACTGATCCACCTCCCTATTTCTTATCCAGTACCAAGCAGTTTTGATGATTGCTGCTTTATAATACAATTTAAGATCTGGAATGGCTAGGCCACCTTTGGACAGGCTTGTCTTCAGAAAATTGATATATAGCCCATGACCGGGCCTGAGCTCAAAAGCCTTCCAGCTTAGCTCTGCTGGCATTCTCTTTGAAAACCTAGACTATCATAGTCGTTAATGAGTCCATACTATTTGGGGAGCAGAGTCTTGTTAACTGCTTTGGCTCCCCCTCCCTGCCAAGTTCTGTTTTTGTTTCTGTGCTGTTCAAATGTCTTATTAATGACTTGAATGATAGTATAGAATTTGTTTGTCAGATTTGCCGATGACATGAAGGGAGGGATTGGGAACTTCCTAGGTGACAGTCAGCATCTGAAAAGAGCACAATAGGGCAGAACGATGGGTCCCCTCTAGTAAAATGAGATGCAGTGAGCACAAATGTAAAATTGGACACCAGTTCAAGAAAGAAACTTCAGAACTGGAGGAAGGGGATGTAGTCCCTGGGGCGCAGCTCTTCTCCATATCATGCCAAATAACAAATAAAAAGTCCCCAAGTGCAGCAAAATCAGCAATGATGGATAGAAAAATGGAAAGAAACCCCCACAAATTAATTTGCAGGAAAAAAAGTAACTGAAGACCAGTACTAATTAGCCTGCTGTTTCCCCCTGGTATCACCCTACCTTTCCCATAGTCTGAGGCCATCTTGGTGAGGGAAATCTCTCAATTTCTTGTAGATATTCCAGTTTTAAGCATATTTTAAAAAAATTTCAAAGCTGTTACTCTTTTACAGAGTGTTGGCAGGAAGTGGAAAGAACCCAGTTCCAACCTTGGTGGTCTGAGATAACAGAGTATGGTCAGCAAAGGTTAAGGGAAGGACACAGCAGATAGGAATCTTCATGGAAAAGATTGGTAGTAAGAAGCAAGTTTATAGCAAGAATGTTATAGAAAATTAGAAGACTTGTTGATAAACAGACAAAATCACACAGCTAGTAAGTGTCTGAGGCCAGATTTGAATTCAGGTCTTCCTGACTCTGGGCCCAGCACTTTATCCACTGAGGCAAGAATGATATTGCATTTTGTACATCAGACCATCTACTTTAATGAAGACTATCCCTGTCTTTGGACTTTGAGGGTTTCACATCAACTTTAGCATTGGTTTTGTCAAGCTGTGCACTGATTCCAATTTCCTCAGGTCATTCTATGGTTGTCAAAATAGAGGCTACACTCATGCCTTTCCTTCTCCTCTCTTTCTGTAGGTTTTTACTGGAATTTTTGTTGCAGAAATGTTCTTCAAAATTATTGCCCTGGATCCATACTATTATTTTCTCCGTCCCTGGAACATTTTTGACGGCATCATTGTTGTTCTGAGTCTTGTGGAAATAATCATTTCAAGTTCTATTACATCAAATTTGTCAATATTACGTTCCTTAAGACTGGTAAGATGCCATTTGGTTTTGTTGCATTAATATCAATCTGTTATTTGAAAGTCGAAATCAGTGTGACCCGTGTATCGGAGAAGTCACGAGACCCTTCGCCTTAGACTGATGGACTGGGTTCAAACATGAGGGATTCTCTCCAAAGAATCATCTCTATGGCTTCCCTACCCAGAATTCTACCCAGGGAATATTAGAATCTGGCTCCCATCTCCTCAGATGGACCCCCCACACCCATTATAAAGCTTTACACTGTCAGAGTAAGAAACATAGAAGTTTTCTAATGACATGCAAGCAAAAGAGAAATGTGACAGTAATTGCTGGCACTTGCATAGTGTTTTGTATACCTAATTTCATTTGATTTTCACAACAGCAGATATTATGATCCTTATTTTACGGATAAGAAAGCTGTGGTTCAGGGATACTAAATTATTTGCTCATGGTCACACAACTATGTGCGGGAGGAAAGATTTGATCCCGGGCCCTCCCGAGCCCCAAGTTCAGCACCCCACCCACCATGCCATAACTCCAGTCCCTCACCACCGATGACCTATTGGACTCTTCAAGCCAGACTGTAGATACCCCTGACTCAATACATCCAAGATGGAACTCATTGCCTTTCCCCTACAACCATCCCTTCTTCTGAACTTCCTTATTGATGCCAAGGGAACTGCCATCTTCTCAGTCACATATGCTCAAAATGTCAGTGTTATTCAAGTTTTCCTCTCTTGCTCTCCCCATGATCTACTCCATGGCCATATCTTGTTTCTACCTTAATTGGGGTGGGCCCAACAGTCCATCAGGGGCCCAATTTCATCAGAAAACAGGGCCATGGCTCTTCCACTTATCCTTAGGGCTGATGACTTGCGTGATTATAAAGATACAGTCTGCTCTGGAACATCACCTGCCCATCTTTCCAGTGGCCCAGTGAAACAAGCACTGGCTCTGGAGTCAGAGAGTCTGGGTTCGAATCCTGCCACTTGATGCCATGGTGACATTGGCAAATCACTTAATTTGCCAAGATGAAGCTAGGTGACAGAGTGGGGAAAATGTTGCACTTGGAGTAAGGAAGAACTGAGTTCAATCTCACCTCAAACATTTACTAGGTTAAATATTTAACCTCTTTCTGCATCAGTTTCCTCATCTATAAAAATGAGGATAATAATAGCACTTATCTCACAGTGTTGTTGTAAGGATCAAATGAGATGATATTTGTTAAGTGCCTTGTAAATCTTAAGGCATTATATAAATGGTAGCTATTGTTATTAACCTCTCTGGTCCTCAGTTTCTTCATCTGTAAAATGATATGGTTGGACCATATGGCACCAAAATACCTTTTCATTCTAGATCTGTGACCCTATGTCCTTTATGCATGGATAGATTTGTTCCTCTAAATATTTTTTATGGATGGTAAAGTTGGCATTAAGGCTGCTAATATATTCTCATCTACCTTTTTTAAAAATAATAATCAATTCCAAGCTACTTCCTCATGATTTTGTATCTTCCCCTTTTTAGCTCCCTCCATGTCATCTCTAGCCCTGACCTCCTCTCTGGACCATGGACTCATTTTGGTCCAGCTGCCTTTTTCTTCTTGTTTCTCTTCAGTCCGTTTCTACTTCCTCAGGCAACATGTTCAGAACTCCACTGTTGCAGCCTCCCACTCAATTAAGTATTTAATATCTCAGCATTCAAAGTACTACATACTTCATAAAGGCATAAAGTCAATAGAATATGTTGGAAAAATAAACAAGGGAAAATATCAAGGGCCGCACGGGGGGAAAGAGCTGGGGTCATACTACCAGACAACTCAACCAAGTCTTTCTCACAAAGTGGTTATCATCCGAACCGTCCTGGCTAAAGACGGAGTAGATAGACAAGCAACACCAGAATCTCTCTGATTACCTTCACAGATAAAATTGGGAATAATAAGAGTGAGGAAAATTCCTTATTTTATCTCATGAATAGCTTTATGATTTGTAAAGTACATGCCAATTGCCTCTTGGATATCTTACACTGGACGTTCTACAGGCCTCTCAAATACACGACTCATTGTCTTTCCCTCCAAACCCTCCCCATTTCAGAATTCCTTATTTATTATCAAGGGCACCACTGTCCTCCCAGGCCCCCAGGCCTTCAAGCTCGGTGTCTTCCTTTATTCCTCCCTGGAAGTCACCCCATATATCCCATCTGTGGCCAAGTCTTATTATTTGGATCATCACAGCTGCCTTCATATACACTCCCTTCTCTCCACTTACAGAGCCATCACCCTCATTCTGGCCCTTACAATCCCTTCACTGGATGATCACTATAGCTTTCTAATTAACCTCCTAGCCTCCAGGCTCTCTCCACTATAATCCATCCTCCAGTCAGCTGTCAAGGAGACGTTTCTGAAGATTGGTATGACTGTGGCACGCTTCCCCTCTTTGATCTCAATGACTTTCACTAGCTCCCTATTACTAATAGGATCAAGCAAAAAGCCCTCTGTTTGGCTTTGAATGCCCTTGATATTGGCCCCTTCTTACTTTTCTAGTCTCCATCAATATTATAGATCCACTCACTCTACAATCCAGCAGCAACCATCCTACTTGCTTGTCCTTGCACGTAGAGTTTTATTTCCCATATCCATGCCTTTGCCCTGACTGTCCCCTCTGCCTGACATTCTCTGCCCCCTTACATCTGCCTCTTAGTTTCTCTGATTTCTTCCAACACTCAGCTCAGTGGTCTGCAGGAGGGGTGTCTTACTCCCTGGGGCTACTTCTGCTTTGCCCTCTGAGATTGCCTCATCTACTCTGTATATGTTTGATGTGTCCCCAGGTATTTACATATTGTTTCCTCCTATAGGATGTGAACTTCTCGATAGCAGGGATTGTGTTTTTGTCCATCATTGTATCCCTAACACTTAGTATGGTGCCTGGCACATAGTAAACACTTAAATGCTTATTGACTCACTAATTACATTTTCATACATGATCTCGTTTGACCCTAATACCAAACCTGTGAGGTAGGTGTCATTATTATCCTCATTTTAAACGTGAGGAATCAATCTGGAACTCCGAGAAGCTAAATAACTTACCCAGGGTCCCTCAGCTAGTTAGTGATAGAGTGAGGATTTAAATTCAGGTCTTCCTGATTCTGAGTCCAATGCTTTGCACCCAACACCATGCTGCCTTTCATTTATCTACAAATATGCCAGGCAAAATTGGCTAGCAGTTTGGACGGAAATGGATTTAGGTGCATTTTATGCCATGTATCTTAATGAATTTCAGCTACAATGATACAAGTCACAGAATTTATTGTTCCTTATTTGCATTTTTTTTTGTTTTCCTATTCCATTTTCAGCTTAGAGTTTTCAAGTTAGCCAAATCCTGGCCAACATTGAATACTCTTATTAAGATTATTGGCCACTCAGTTGGTGCCCTGGGTAACCTCACTCTGGTCCTGGCCATCATTGTCTTCATCTTCTCAGTCGTTGGCATGCAGCTTTTTGGGACTACGTTCAATGACACTGTTTCACGCTCTAACTCCACGGGATTGCAACGACGGCGTTGGCATATGGGAGACTTCTTCCACTCCTTCCTGGTGGTTTTCCGCATTCTCTGTGGTGAATGGATTGACAACATGTGGGAGTGTATGCGTGAGTCACCCCATATGCTGTGCATTCTGGTTTTCTTGCTGATCTTGGTGATAGGAAACTTGGTGGTAAGTTTGTTCAGTTTTTCTACTTACTATCAAGTGGGCAATGGCTGACTCATACTCATGGTTTTTTGGAATATTAGGTTAGTCAAATGAGTATATAGAAGTTGGAATTAATTTCAACTCCAAAATGTTGACTCTCTGGTCAAATCCAAGTGCTACAAATCTGATTAATTTTACTAATGAATTTGTTTTTCAATCGTGTTTCAACATCGGAAAAGTGATAACTGAAATGTATGGGACTTTATAGCTCACAAAACACAGTTGATCCTTGTGCCTGTACTGTGGGGTAAGTACTATGGATAAGGAAACTGAGACTATGGGAGGCTAAGGGAATTGACTGCATTCACACAGTTAATAGGTATAGGAGCTGGTATTCTGACCTTGGTATCAATGATACTATATCATATTGCTGCTTATCAAAATTGTTTCTCTAATAGTAAGAGAAAGTGGATAAAAGTTATAGCTACATTTTGCTTGGAAATTCTTTATGTAAAGAAATCATTACTTTCTTTTTTCAATAATAAAGCGTTCATTGTTTTCTCCCAACACAGTCAAAAATAGAACTTATTTGGATTAGAACTCATTTTTGTGTATTACTTTAAAGTTATAGAGTACTTTGCTTCTACAGTATTGAGGCTGATTGAGTAAATTCATCATCACCCTACCCCACTTCTTCCTTAATCAGCTTAGAAGCAATTGGTGGTGTAGTTTAGACTAAGTATGAAGAACCTTGAGCAATTAAGAATCATGTTTCCCAGGAAGAGTGCTTGGATTGACTGAGGAACTTTGATTATGTCCTGTAGGGCTTATATAAAATGAGGGAGAATTCATGAGGGATTCTAGCAAGTGGTGAAGAGAAAGAATTCTAGCTAACCCCAGTAGGAGCTGATTGGGGGTGGGGGTAAAGAGGCTCTAAATCCCAGGCCTTGATCTGACATCATCTCTGTCCCTCTCCCCAACTCTCACTCCCTTTTACTGGAGAAGGACCTCAAAAATTACAGAGACCTGGAGGACTTCCTGTCCTCCCACTGGTACTCTAGCAGGGTTACTGGAAAAGCTAATTATTTTTTATGCATCAGAGCCAAGGACAGTCTAAACATAGGCTCCCAGTTTTACAAAGAGCCCCAAAGAAAAAGACTACTCCATACTCAAAGGGAACATCTTTAAGACTCACAAAAAGACTTCCAAGAACTGGGACTTACCCATTTGCCCCAAGAGCCCTCTAAGCTTGAACCCACTGTCCTTAGGACTCAGTATACATTAGTGGGAGAATATGTATTAGACTTTCGGAATAATTTTTTTTTTTAACCAACTGCTTCACTTGTGCTGCCATAATAAAATGCCCCTTTGTAAAGGAGAATTAAATCTGACTAACTGAGAACTGATAAGCATGTCAGCGGTGGTATGGGAATGTGTGCACCAAAGCACCACAAAAGACATATTTTACAGATGAAGAAACTGAGGCAAACAGAGATGAAATGACTTGGTCTGAGGCACACAGCTATTGTGTATCTTTGGATACTTACTTTGTAAGAATTTGAACCCAACTTTTCCTAATTCTGAGCCTAGCCCTCTACCCACTGCACCATCAAGTTACCTAGAGATATTTTGGAAGTGTTTGAGGCAAAGTTTTTTTTCTCCAATTGACTACTTCCTGTCTCATCGTAGTCATATTAATTTTATATATAAGATTTTGAATTTCATGTTATTGAAATGACCTGCTTTATCTTTTGTGGCCATCTCTGTCCCTTGTTTGATCCAGAATCAACCAGCAAAATAAATAAATAAATAAATAAATACATAAAGACAGAACCGAAAAGAGCCAACTAGCTATAGCTGCATAAGGTACCTGATCCCCTTCTCTTGTTTTTGATTTATTATATGACCTTTAATATTTGGGTCAGGGATAGGTTGTGTCATACGGTGGTGTTGGTCAAAATCCAACTTCTGCCAGACTGTTTCATAGTTTTCCCAGCAATTCTTATTCAATAGGGAGGTCTTTCCTAAGATGTGGGTGTTAGTTTATGCGTTCAGTGTTTTTCCTGATTCACTTTTATTTCATCTGTCCCATTGACCTATCTACCTGCATTTTAACGAACAGCAAATAGTTTAGATGGGTACTGCTTTATATTGTAATTTGAGGTCTGAGGCAACATTCCACCCCCTTTCATTCCCACTTTTAAAATTATTTCCCTTGAGATTCTAGACCTTTTGTACTCCAAATGAATTGTATCATTATTTTGCCTAGTGATATAAAATATATGGGCAGGTAGGTAGCACAGTGCAAAGACTGTTGGGCCTGGAGTCAGAAAGACTCCTCTTCCTGAGTTCAAATTTAACCTCAGACGCACTAGCTGTGTGACCCTGGCAAATCATTTAACCCTATTTGCCTCAGTTTCCTCATCTGTAAAATGAGCTGGAGAAGGAAATGGCAAACCACTCCAGTATCTTTGCCAAGAAAACCCAAATGGGGTCACGAAGCACCAGACATGACTGAAAAAGGATAAAATATACCCTTGTTAGTTAGATTGGTATAGCATTGAGTCCATAGATTAGTTTGGTAGTATTATTTTTCTTTACTGGCATAGCCGAGCCATGATCATTTAATGTCCTTTTAGATATTCGAGTTCTTTGTTTAAAGAGTATTTTCCAAAGGTGTCTGTATTGATGACGAATACAGCTTGGTGGACTAATTTTGAGATTTTTAATGCATTGTGTGTGTTTATTTTGGATACGTTTTAAATTTGTATTGTTTCCTTTTTATTATTTCCACCTCCATTTTATGACAGCTGTGGAGAAATGTAGGGTTGTGTGGGCTTATTTTGTATACTGTTACTTTGCTGAAGCTATTGTCTCAGTTTCTTTGCTGATTCTGTAAGATTTTCTAGTAAACCATCATATAATCAGCAAATGGGGATAGTTTTGTCTCTTCTTTGTCTATCTATTTTCATACATTCATTTTTATTGCTTTTTTCAGTTTACAAACATTTTCTCTCCATTTCACTTCCCTTTTCCCTTACTAAAAAAAAGGAAGAACACCTTTGTGACAGATATTCATAGTCAAGCAAAATGATTCTCACCTTGGTCATGTCCAAAAAATGTAGGTCTTATGTTGTACCCTGAGTCCATCACCTCTCTATAAGGAGGTGAGGAGCATGATACATCTTTAATCCTCTGAGAGTGTGATCTATCATTGCATTGATCTGACTTGTCGATATTTCAAATTTGTTTTTTACTTTTAATGTTGTTGTTCTTCTGGTTCAGCCCACTTCATTCTGTGTCAGTTCATGGACACTGCACCCCTTTTCTTGGAACTGTCAATTTCATCATTTATGATGGCACAATAATATTAAATCACATGACTATGCCGTAATGTGTTCAGTCATTACCCAAATAATGAGCATCCTTTTAGAGTCCAGTTCTTCACCATCACAAAAAGACTTGCTGTGAATATTGTTGTACATAGGGACCCTTTTCCTCTTTGATCCCATTGGAGAATAGTTTGCCAGTCTTTATGCCTTTAACTTCTTTCTCAGCTTTTATTGATCTCACTAGCATTTCCTTAATTACAATTTCTATTCAATAATGCTGGTCTATAGTTCTCTTCTTTTTTTATTTTTCTGTGTTTTGAGTATTAAAATGATATTTTCCCCAAAGGAGTTCAGTAGAATGCTTTCTTTTTCATTTTTGAGAATACTTTGTATAATAGTATTGGTAATCTTCTTTAAAATTTGATAAAAATTTCCAGTAAATCTATCCAGATCAAGGTACAAGGGGTTACTATACCTCTGTTGAATAGATAGTGGAGTATAGCAAATGCAGTGGGTTTCCCACTGAGTTGAGAATTTGTCTGTAACTACAGAATAGTAGATCGACATCTTGGCCGGGAACGAAATTGACGACACCTCCTGCTTTTCTTTGGATGTGACACCAGAAACATTATTCGTGGAGCAGTGGAAAGAACACTAAGAGTTAGGAAGCCTGGCTGCAAGGTTTCCCTCTATCGTTTACTGTGTGACCTTTCTAGGCCTCTGTTTTCTCACCTCTTTGATATGAGGCTTAGAAGAATTGACCTAATTTCTCTGATTTTTATTGTGACCCTGCTTATTTTCCCCATAGGGTATAAATGGATATATATTACATAAATGGATATATATTATATAAATGGATATATATGCATATAAATGGATATATGAATGGTATAAATACGTTTAGAGAAAAGAAAAGAATGCTTAGGAAGGGATAGAGGGCCATCTGTTTGCTGCCTTCGTGACCCTTGGAGAAGATTGCCCTGGAAAGCCCTTCAGGGTCGTCCCTCAGCCACGTGGAGCCCCATCCAGGTGAACTTTCTCTCACTATTCCCCAGGTCCTCAATCTTTTCATCGCCCTGCTGCTCAACTCCTTCAGCAGAGAGGAAAGAGGAGGGAATGGGGCAGGAGAGGTGAGGAAGACCAAGCTGCAGCTTGCTTTTGATAGGTTCCACCGGGCATTTCATTTTGTGAAACGTGCCATCTGGCAGTTTTGTAGCAGTTCTTTCAAGAAGCAAAGGTTTAGAAAGCCAAAGGACGTGTCCAAAAAGCAAAAGGCTCAGAATAAAGACATTATTCCACTGGAGTCGGGAATAAACCGAGAGCAAGCAAACCATGAAAAATTTTGCCCTCAGGATGAGACCAGTCCCCCTGGGTTCACAGGCCTGGGCTGTATACAGGAGAATTTGAATGCTAGGCATCCTTCACTTGTTAAAGCCCCACTTGCTGAAGGAGAAGAAGATGAAGATAGTGAATCTCTAGATGAAGATGAGCCCCAGGATTTCATGGAAACAGAGTTTTGTAAACAGGTATGAAAGCTTAAATTTGGTATAATGACAATAAAAAGTTGTTGATCTAATCAATTTTTTATAATTTTATTTTTTAATTAATAAACATTTTTCTTTTCTTCCCATACCCCAATTAAAAAAAAGAAAAACAAAAGTCTGATAAATTTTTTTTTACAAATAATTAAAAATATAATTCTACACCTCGGATCCATCACCTCTCTGTCATGAGTTAGGTAGCATAGATCGTCACTAGTTTTCTGGAATCATGGCTGGTCATCCCAGTGATCAGATACCTCACATAAAAAAGTCAGCTATTAACCACGTGTCCAGCTCTGTGATTGTGGGGCTAGGTGTGGGTGGGATGAAAAGAGTATATTACATGATCCCTTCCCTTCAAAGAGCTCATGACTCAGCTGTCAGTACACAAGATACCTGTGAAGTCTGAAATTTTGGGAATGCTACCAAATATATAAGAGTAGGGGATCCTAGAATCTCAGAATTTGAAGGGGCTTCAGGTCATGTGACAAATGATAAGGCCTCTTTTTTTTTTTGCTGGATGGTGGTGACCATGGTCACTGCCCAATAGTCCCATAGAAAACACAACCAAACATTTGACCCTAGAAACTTCTTATTCATCTTAGTGATATTTGCATTCTTTGTGTATATTATTCTCTTAATTCTGATTATTTTGCTGTTAGTTAATATAAATCTTTCAAGATTTCTCATATTAATAATTTCTTACTAAACAATAACATTCCATCATATTCTTATATCATAGTCCTTTCAGCTTTTCCCCTATTGATGAACACCCACCTTATTTTCAGTTTTTTGCTTCCCAAAGATGGTTGCTATAAATATTCAGGCATCTAGTAGACCTTTGTTCTTGTGTTTGAATGCCAGATAGTGGAATCATTGGGTAAAGGGTGTATGACTAACAGCTTAGTCACTTTTCTTGCATAATTCCAAACTGATGTCCAAAGCGGTCCAGCTCCATAAAAAGTCTGTTGAGGTGCCCGCCTTCCCACAGCCTCCTTAACATTGAGTGCTTTTATTTTTGTCATCTTTGCCAATTTCCAGGGTATGAGATTCAATCTCAGAACGTTTTAAATTTAAGTTTCTTCTGTTATTAGTGATCTGGAGGGGAGTGTGTCTGTAGAGTTTTGAGACCAAAAAAAGGAAGTAGAGGGATACCAAGTTATTAAAAAATGAGAATTCATTATAAAGGGTTTAACAGAGGAGCTCAGGGATGAAGTATAAATACCCAGAAGTAGTCAAACAAAAATAAGATTGAAAATTTCAACCAGGATAGAGAACAGGAGGAATTCTGCTATGGCTTGCATTGAGTGCAATATCACATGCAAGGCTTGTTTTTCTGGCAGTTAAATGTCTGCTATCACTATGTTAGACAAATTCAGAACTGGTTGGATGTCTGCACCCAAAAAGTGGGTACTAGTGGTTCAATGTCAGCTTGGCAGGACATGTCCAAGAGATTACCCGTGCTTGGCTCTGGTCTATTTAATAGGTTTTTTTTTTTTTTAGAAATCAGTGATTTGAATTAAAGCATAGAAAAAATGCTTGTTAAATTGCATGTGACACAAAGTTGGGAGGGCTGGCTAACACACAAGATGACAAAGCCAAGATCCTGAAAGGTCTTAACAGGCTAGAACCTTGGGCTGAATCTAATAAGGTGAAATTCAGGAGGGATAAATGTAAATTTCTACACATAGGTCCAAAAAATCATCTTCACAAGTATAAGACAAAGAAGACATGAAAAAGATCTGTAAACTAAATAGGAATGAGCAGAGTGATGCAGCAACCAAAAAAGCCAACATGAGCCTGACCTCTATTTAGAGAAGCATGAAGAAGAGAATGATCTTACTGCATTCTGCGTGGTCTGACCTCACTTGGAGATTTGTATGCAATTCTGGGTGTAAAGACTTTGATAAACTATAGTGCCCAGAAGAAGGCATCCAGATGGGAAAAGGACCTTGAATCCATGAAATATGAGGAATGATTGGAGGAACTAGGGATGGACAGTCTAGAAAAGAGAAGGCTCCAGGGGCATATGTTGCTGGAGGGCTGCCATGTGTAATCAATTGATTAACAAGAATTCATTAAGCATTTAATATTCAATGGGCATTGTGCTAAGTCCCAAGGATACAAAAAAAAGGCAAAAAAGTCCTTGTTTTTAAGGAACTTATATTCTAATTAGGGGAGCCAACATATAAATAAATAGGTACATACAGGGTGCATCTAGAGTAGATAGATGGACAGTAACTTTAGAGGGGAATACTATAGCACAGAGGTTCTTAACTTGGCATCCATGAACCTGGGTCCAGGGTCCAGGATGCTGGGATTGTATGCTTATTAATATTTTTGTAACCATATGTCAATATAATTGGTTTCCCATCTTCATCAGATGCCAAAGGTGTCCATGACCCCCTCAAAGGTTAAGAAACCCTATTCTAGCAGCTGGGGCACCAGGAAAGGTCTGAAGAAGGTAGGGTTGGAGCTGGGGCTTAAAGGTAGCCAGGGATTTGGAGAGGCTAAGGGGAGGAGTGAGAGCATCTGGGAATTTCCTTCTCTTTGCACTCTGAGTTTTGCACTGGAAATGACAGAACAAAAAGGATGAATGAAAACACATTGAAGTGCCTACTGTGTGCCAGGCACTAGGTTAGGTGGTACGGATCCAAATTCAAACGTAAGACCAGCCCTGCCTTCAATGAGCCCTCAATGAGTGGGGACAGACAACACAGGAGTAGTGGCCAGGGAAGGGAATTTGGGCTGGAGGAGTCACAACAATGGTGAGTGCAGGGAGCTGATCGCCATGTCTTTCCAGAAGCAATGTTAGCATGGAGTTGATTGCTGACCCCAGAGCAGGAGGTGGAAGCTGGGTGTGGGGTTGGAAAGGAAAGGGTTACACAGCTGGTAGCAGGGCTGATGGCTAACTGTCCATGGTGGGTGAATGTGAAGCATGGTCAAGGGCCAGCTCCATATAGCGAATCATGTGAGTTTGCAATCATTCATCAATCAGGACAGCTCAGAGCTGGTATCAGAGTTTCAAGCTGAGGGAGGGGAGTGTGGTCTTTGCAGGTATGGTATGGAGGCTGCTGTTACAGAGGGGGAAATTAAGGCAGAGACAAAGAAAAATAGCAGGGAGTTGATACCCAAGATAAGTAAAGGACACATAGACAGCCTTGGGCAGAGGGACCTCCAAGGAACTAGAAAGAGGGAGGAGGTAACAGGGTGTGGGTTTGGTTTTCTGGCAAGCTCAGCATCAGGTCCTTGGTATAGCCTTGTTGCCCATGGTGCAATGGGCTTTGGGGGAAGAATACTGAGTGAACTCAGGATGGGCATCAATTTGGTTTTTTTTCACCAGTGTTTTCTTGGATTCTGGTTGTCGTGGACCATGGAGAAAACTGGAGTTGCTTTATCTTTGGCACATAAATTCTACTATGGAGTGGTTCAAGAGATCATGGGGATCAGAGAAAATGTCTAGTCTTCCATCTTGTTGGTTACATGACTCAGACATTCACTCCTTTAGTTATAATGCTTTTTTTCCAGTTACTGATTTAGATTACAGACAGAAAGATTTTTTGAAGTTATAGAATCCAATTTTGGACAGAACAAATACATCTAACAGGATTATAGGGCTCAAAGATTTATTTGTGGGAGGGGATTTAGACTAGTCTAAGCCTCTCCTTTTACAGATGAGCAAACTGACACTCAAGGAGGGAAAACTCACTCTCTCTCTCTCTCTCTCTCTCTCTCTCTCTCACACACACACACACACACACACACACACACACACACACACACCACAGGGTAACAAATCCTGGATTCACTCCTAAGTTCTTTGACTCTTAAAGTGAGTTCTTTTTCCTCTTCATCTCATCTTCTCTCTTCTGTTCCACATTGACTCTTAACTTGTTTCATGATAAATAAGATGTCCAAAGAAAAATGTGACTTGTCTGGAAATTTTTGTGGCAGGAAGAAAAGGAGTGTATGAGCCCGGGAGCTGTGAGTGGAGAGGTTGATGTATTTTCTGAAGATGGCACTGAATGGACAGCACAAAAATTGAAAGAGGTAATTCTGTCAGATGAGCATCCCAAAGGTTAAGTCTGTGGACAACCCCCATGTACTGACTTTGCTCAGATGGTCTCCTGAGAAGCCAGAATGGGAACACTTTGGGGGTAATGCAGGCCAGCTGGGACAACAGGAAGAGGAAGACCTTTTGAAGAATCTCAATTTCTATTTCTTTTATGACTGAAGCACCCAGCCTTTGGTGGCTGACCTTTCTCTGCCTTGGCCATCAGAGTAGCTTTCTTTCCATGTTCTCAAGAGGCAGTAGCAATACTCTCTAACATATAGCTCTGTTATTCAGAAGTAGCATGATACATTGAAAAGAGTATTGGGTTTGGATTCTGAGCACATGAGTTCAATTCTGCCATTTACTAGCTATGTGACCTTGGATGAGTCAGTCACTTTCTCAGGGTTTCAATTTCTTTATCTGTCAAATGAGGATATGGATTAAATCATCCCTAAGGTCCCTTCCAATCTGAATAGTCTATGAGTTTATGGGAAGAGGACCTCTCCCTCTAATGCCTGACCTAGAACATAAGGAGGTGAAGAGGACAGGTGAAAAAGAGGCATAGCATTGAAACTTGTATGGTTTATGGTGATCTGGGCCCTTTGTTGGAGATGAAGAGACTAGGTTCACATACTTTCTACAGTATGTGACAATAATAAGGGACATTTATATTGTATTGCAACATTTGCCAAAGTGCTTTCCATTTATTAGCTCCTTTGGGTCTTAAAAAACTCCTGATCCCATTAGTGTGCAGAGATTCAGTTACTGTCCTTATTCTGATGTTTCCCAGATCTCTTATCTGGCCCCAACCTCTCTCTTAACCTCAAGACTCACATCACCAGCTTCCTATTAGACATCTCAAGCTGGATGTTCTCTAGATACCTTAAACTCAACAAATGCCAATCTGAATTCTTTACCTTTCCCCACTCCCCAATTCCCCCTGTATTGTTTTAACATTTTTATTTTGTTTTTTATTTGTGGAATAAAACGTGCATTGCCATCTTCCCAGGCACCCAGGGTCACAACCCAGGTGCCATCCTTGATTCTACTCTCTCTCCTTCCTCATATCCCCTGCATGCTTTCTTCTCTCTTCTGATATTGCCACCACCCTGACATGGTCCCCCTTCAGCTAATGCCTGGACTATTGCAATACCTGATGGTTGGTTTGCCTGCCTCAAAAATCTCCCCACTGCTCAGTCTATCCTCCATTCAGCTTCTAAATTCATCTTCCTAAACTGAAGATATGATCATGTAACCCATCAATCTACTGTATTCAGTCAGTCTCCCATTCAATACATTCCTCTTACCTCTAGGATCAAATCCCAAATCCTCTAGCATTCAAATCCCTTCATAACCTGCCCCTCCCCTTTCCAATCTTTTTACACCTTACACCCCACCACGTATTCTCCAATCCAATGATACTGGCCTCTTTGTGTTCCTTGAGCAAGAACCTCCATCTCCAGACTCTGGGTATTTTTTTTCTGGTTGTCCCCCATGCCTGGAAGGCTGTCTCTTTTTCTCTCCATATCCTGGCTACCCTCTTCCTTTTTCCCAGCTAAAATCCTACCTTCCATAGGAAGCCTTTCCCAATGCTTCTTAACTCTAGTGCCTTCCCTCTTTGGCTTATTTTCACTTTGTCCTGTATATAGCTTGTTTCTGCAGTTATTTGGACAAAACTGGTGGCTCAGTGGATAAAGCACTGGGCCTGGGGTAAGAAAGACTAAAGTGGAGGGAGAGTTGGTGAGTGACTTTTTGTTCACAGATGACTGTGCATTCAATACAGCCTCAGAGGCTGAGATGCAACAGAGTACGGATCAATTCTCTGCTGCTTGTATTGGCCTGACAATTAGCACCAGGAAAATGGATGTTCTCCCCCAGCCAGCTCTGCACAATAGCAAATGGAGACATTTTGAACACTGTGGACAAGTTCATTTACCTTGGCAGTATACTTTCCAGGGATGTACACATTGGTGATGAGGTTGATGCATTCATTGCCAGAGCTAGCTCAGTGTTTGGGAGGCTCTGAAGGAAAGTGTGAGAAAAGAGGCTGCCTACCAAACTGAAGGTCTACAGAGCCATTGTGCTGGCTGATCTCATTGTTGTATGCCTGTGAAACCTGGACAGTAGACCGGCCCCTTGCCAGAAAATGGAATCACTTCCATTCGAATTGTCTTAGGAAGATTCTGAACATCATCTGGCAAGATAAAGTACCAGACACTGAGGTCCTTTCTGAAGCTGAACTGCCAAGCATTCACACTCTACTGCAGAGAGCCCACCTCCAATGGCAGTCTTGTGTCAATGCCAAATGTATGCTTGCCTAAAAGACAGTTTTACAGAGAACTTGCACAAGGCCAGTGCTCACGTGGTAGTCAGAAGAAATGACACAAGGATGATCTTGAGGTCTCTCTGAAGAACTTTAGAATCCATTTGTGACATGGGAGATCCTAACAAAGGACAGATTAGTGTGGCATGCCTGCATCAAAGAAGTACTGTGCTCTATGAGCAAAGTGGAAGTACAGCAGCTCAAATTTAGAGACATCTCCGCTCCAAATGTTCATATGGATTATTGGTGCCCCACCTGTGGTTGTATTGGTCTGATCAGCTATAGTCGGACACACTGTGCATTCACCCCAACATAGTGATGCCATTTTGGTCCTCTTCTAGCACAAAGGACAACAGCCCACCAACAGATATTATTTATTCCTGTTTACAGATGAGGAAGCTGGGCTCAGAAAGGCTAAAAGACTTGTTCATGGTCTCATAGCTAGTAAGAGTTCGAAGGAGAATTTGAACTCAGGTTATCCTGGCTTCAGTCAACCATTTTATTCATTTGATCACACTTTCTCATCAAGTCCTTTCAGGGTATATAGCTCATGGTGGTGGGGATGACAGGAGGGAGAATTATATTTTTAAAAGACTTGTATCTTTTATTCCCAGAGAGAAGCTAATGTATTCTTTCTGGGAGTTAGGGCTGTTCTTGGCCCTGGGCAAGAATTACAAGCTACTTGGTTCTTGCCTGGTACTTCTAGGCCCTCAGAAGGCCTTCTAGGAAGCTAAACATTTGTCTTGCCTCGTATCTGACCATTGGAGCCAGCTGGTTATCTAATCAGCTGCAGCTGGGAGGAGGCTGTTACTTAATGATTTTTTCCCTTCTTTTGTGCTTCTCCTTTGTAGAAGTTTGACACGATCAGCTATCTATCTAACTGCAGCACCATTGATCTGAAGGATCTCAATTTGTTGATTCCTGAAATGATTCCTGAAAAGGGGCCTGAGAGATGTTTGCCCAAAGGTAAAGGGTAGCTTTATGGAGTTTGGGTTACATGAAACTTCCTCCTGAAGTCTGTATGTGAGCCCCCTAAGTGAGGGAGTTCCTCAGTTTTGTTCTAGCTCCTCCTCTTCCTCCCCTCTTCCTCCCCTCCTCCTCCTTCTCCTCCTCCTCCTCCTTCTTCTCCTTCTCTCTCTTTCTTTCTTTCCCTTTCTCACTCTCTTCTTCTCTCTCTCTTTCTCTCTCTGTCTCCCTATCTCTCCAATCTCATCAACTCCCATGGGTTTAACTATCATCTCTATGCAGATGACTCCCAGACTTCTATATATACCTCCAATCTCCCCTTTGAGCTGTGGCCTTATGCCTATTGGACATTTCAAATTGGATATCCAAGGAACATCTTAAACTCAAATTCAAAACAAAACTTAGTATCTTTTCTCCAAACCCTCCCCTCTTTCAAGCTTCCCTATTTCTGTTGAAGGTCTCACCATCCTTCTAGTCTCCAAGGTTTTCAACTTTGATGTTATCCTTGGTTCATCTGCTCTCTAGCATGTCCAGTCAGTTGTCAAAGCATAGCATTTCTATCTCCACAACCCCTACAACATCTCCCATGTCTGACCTATTTTTTCCACTCACATGAGTATCATCTTAGTTCAGGCCTTCATCACCTTTCGCCTACCTTTTTTTAGACTTTTATTATTTTTTTTTTTGGTTAACAAAAATCTATTTTCTCTCCCTTCTACCTCCTGCTTCCTTCATTGGAAGAAAAAACAAAAACTTTTAAAACAAACATACATAATCTTACAAAACTAATTCCTACATTGCTTGAGTTCAAAAACTTCATGTCTCAGATGCTTAATATTGGATCTGTCGCCTCTCTGTCAGGAGTTGAGTAGAATGCTTCATTGGTCCACTGGAATCCTGGTTCATCATTACATTGATCAAAGTTCTTATGTCTTTCAAAAATGTTTGCCTTTATAGAGTTATTGTTTTCTTAATTCTGTTCATTTCTTTCTGCACCAGTTCACGTCTCCCTTGGTATCTCTGAAACTTACCCATTTCATAATGTAATCCATTTTTCTAAAATATTAATATTTCATAGTTTCTTTAGCCATCCCCCCAGTTGATGGGCATCCCCTTAATTATCAGTTATTTGCTACTACAAAAAGAGCTCCTATGAATATTTTTAACGTATGGGTCTTTTCACCTTTCCTTTTATTTCTTAGGAATATAGGCCTAGTAATGGTATTGCTGAATCAAAGTAGTTTTGGGATATAGTTCCAAATCATTTTCCAGATTGGCTGGACCAGTTTGCAGTTCCATTGACAATGTGTTAACATTTCTGTCACTCATTCAACATTTGTCATTTTCCTTTTTTGTCAACTTTGCCAATATAATGGGGGTGAGGTAGAAACTTAGAGTTGTTTTAATTTGCCTTTCTATAATTATTAGTGATTTAGAGCATTTCCCCCCATATGGTTATCAATAGCTTGTGTTTCTTCCACTGAAAATGGCCTTTTCTTATCCCTAGCTCATTTATTGATTGGTTATAGGCTCTTGTTTTTACAAATCTGAATAAATTTCTTATGTATCTTGGAAATTAGACCCTTAACAGAGAAACTGCTTCAAAGATTTTTCTCTCCAATTACCTGCTTTCCTTTTAATTTTATTGGTTTTATTTATGCAAAAGCTTTTTAAATTTTAATAATCAAAATTATCAATTGTATCATCTACATCTATTCCTTGTTTGGTCATGAATTCTTCTTCTGTCCATAGATCTAAAAGGCCACTTCATTTATGTTGTCACCCATTATGTCTCAGTCATGTCCTTTTTGAAATTATCTTAATATACTGTATATGTAGGCCTACATCTAATTTCTGCCAGACTGAATTCTAGTTTTTCCAGAAGTTTTTGTCAAATGAGTCCTTACCCTAGTTGCTAAAGTCTTTAAAAAAAATGATGTTTTATTTTTTCCCCAATTACATGTAAAAACAATTTTTAACATTTGCTTTTTAAAATTTTGAATTTCAAATTCTCTCCTTCCATCCCTTCCCTCTCCCTTCAGCAAGAAGGTGAACAATTTAATAGAGGTTATACATGTGCAGTCATGCAAAGTATATTTCCATATTAGTCATGTTGTGAAAAAAAACATAGATGAAAATACCTAAGAAAAATAAAGTTATTTAAAAGTATTTTTTTGATTTGCATTCAGACTCCACCAGTTCTTTCTCTGGAGATGGATAGCATTTTTCATCATAAGTCCTTCAGAATTGTCTTGGATCATTGTATTGCTAATACTACTGTTACTGTGTACACAATTTTTCCTGTTCTGCTAACTTCATTTTGCATCAGTTCATGTAAGTCTTTTCAGGTTTTTCTGAGAGCATCCTGCTCATCATTTCTTATAATAGCACAGAAGTATTCCACGACAATCATATGCTAAAACTTGGTCAGCCATTCCCCAAATGATGGGCCTCCCTTCAATTTCCGATTCTTTGCCACCACTAAAGGACCTACTATAAATATTATTCTATATATAGGTCATTTACCTTTTTCTTTAATCTCTTTAGAATACAGACCTAGTAGGATATGCATGGTTTTATAACCCTTTAGGCATAGTTCCAAATTGCTCTACAGAATGGTTGAATCAGTTCACAACTCCACCAACAGTGAATTAGTGTCTCAATTTCCCCATATCCCTTCCAACATTTGTCATTTTCATTTTCTATCATATTAGCCAATCTGATAGATGAGGTATTGTACCTAGGAGTTTTAATTTTCATTTCTCTAATCAATAGTGATTTAGAACAATTTTTATATGACTATAGATAGCTTTGATTACTTTGTCTGAAAACTGTCTTTTCACATCCTTTGACCATTTATCAATTGGGAAATAGCTCTTATTTTTATAAATTTGACTAAGTTCTGTATATATTTGAGAAATGATATCTTTATCAGATACTAGCTGTAATTTTTCCCACAATTATGATTACTAACTATATTTCCCTCCATCCTATTTTCCCCCTGTTTATTCTATTCTCTTTCTCTCCTTTCAACCTGTCCATCCTCAAAAGTGTTTTTCTTTTGACTACTGCCTCCCCCAATCTACCATCTCTTCTATCAGCTTCCCCCTTTCTCTTATCCCTTTCCCCTCCTACTTTCCTGTAGGATAAGATAGATTTCTGTACCCAACTGAGTGTATATGTTATTCCTTCTTTGAACCAATTCTGAGAAGAGTAAAGTTCAAGCCCTCCTGTCCACCCCCATTTTCCCTTCCACCATAAAAGCTCTTTCATGCCTCCTTTCATGTGAGATAATTTCATCCATTCTATTGTTCCCTTCCACCTTCTCCCAATGCATTCTTCTTTCTCACCCCTTAATTTAATTTTTTTTAGAAATCATCCCATCATATTCAACTCACATCCACGCCCTATGTCTTTATATGTTCCTTCTAACTGTTCTAAAAATGATAAAGTCTATTAGGAGTTACAAATATCATCTTCCCATGTAGGAATGTAAGCAGTTTAACCTTACTGAATTCTTTATGATTTCTCTTTCCTGTTTATCTTTATATGCTTCTCTTGTGTCTTATATTTGAAAGTCAAATGTTCTATTTAGCTCTGGTCTTTTCATCTGCAATGCTTGAAAGTCTTCTGTTTCATTGAATGTCCATTTTTCCTCCTGAAGGATTATGCTCAGTTTTGCTGGATAGGTGATTCTTGGTTGTAATCCTATATCCTTTGCTCTCCAAAATAACATATTCCAAGCCCTGCTGTCCTTTAATGTAGGATTTTAATGCTAAATCTTATGTTATCATGACTATGGATCCATGATATTTGAATTGTTTCTTTCTGGCTACCTCCAATATTTTCTCCTTGACCTGAAGTTCTGGAATTTGGCTATAATATTCCTGGGAGTTTTCATTTTGGGATCTCTTTCAGGAGGTGATTGGTGGATTTGCTCAATTTCTATTTTACCCACTGGTCCCAGACTATCATGGCAGTTTTCCTTGATAATTTCTTGAAAAATGATGTCTAAGAACTTTTAAAAAAAAATGTCTTCAGTAATCCAATAATTTTTAAATTATCTCTCCTTGATCTGTTTTCCAGATCAGTTGCTTTTCCAATGAGATATTTCATGCTGTCCTCTATTTTTTAATTCTTTTAATTTTGTTTTATTGTTTCTTGATGTCTCATAGAGTCATTAGCTTCCACTTCTCCAAATCTAATTTTCAAAGAATTATTTTCTTCCCTGAGCATTTGTACCTCATTTTTCATTTGACCAATTCTACTTTTAAAGGGGTTCTTTTCTTCAGTGAATTTTTCCATTTGGTCAATTCCACTTTTTAAGATGTTGTTCTCTTCATTGGATTTTTTGTACCTCTTTTACCATTTGGCCTATTCTGTTTTTAAGGTGTTATTTTCTTCAATATATCTTTGTGTCTCCTTTACCATGCTGTTGATTATTACATGATCACTGTCATTTTTTCCCCATTTTTTCCCTCTACTTCTCTTATTTGATTTTTAAAAATCCTTTTTGAGCTCTTCCAGGAATTCTTTTTTGGACCTGAGACCAATTCACATTTTTCTTTGAGGCTTTGGCTATATTTTGACTTTGTCGTTGTCTTCTGAGTTTGTGTTTTGATATTCTGTGTCACCATAGCAACTTTCAATGGTCAGGTTCTTTTTGTTGTTGTTGTTTGCCCATTTTCCCCCCCAGCTTATATCTTGACTTCTAACCTTATGTTAAAGTTGGGCTCTACTCCTGCAGTGGAGTGGGCACTGTTCTCAACTTCAGTTTTTTTTTTTGTCTGTGGTCTGAGAGTTCCAGAAGCAGCTACTGTCACCACTGAGTCAGTTGTCCCTAAGGCTTGCTGTTGTTTTCTGGGTAGTGGCCTGTACTGGCACAGCCTACACTAGAGTACACTCTACTCTCTCCCTGGTGTGATAGACTTTTCCTGCCAACCTTCTAAGCTGTCTTGGGCTGGAATATTGTCTCACTCTGTCCTTTTGTGGTTCTGCTGCTCCAGAATTTGTTTTGATGCATTATTTAAAGTTGTTTGGAGATGAATTTGGAAGAGCTCAGGTGAGTCCCTGCCTTTTCTTGACCATCTTGGCTTTGCCCCCTCCATTCTCTTAGTTTTTGATTCTAGAGTCTTTGAGTTTATCTAACACTAAACTACTATGTTCACTTACTCCTATCTGTTGTTTATCTAATAGGTTTCACTGATAAATCTCTCTGTTTCTTAACTAGTACTAAATCATTCTGATAATTACTGCTCTGTACTATAGTTTGAAATTTGGTGCTGTCAGGTCCTCTTTCTTCCCACTCTTTTCCCCTTGAGATATTTGAGATATTGAGATATTTCCCTTGAGAAGTTTCACCTTTGGTTCTTCCAGATGTATTTTGTTATTGTTATTTTCCAACACTATAAAGTAATCCTTTGGCAGTACAATTAATTAATTTAGACAGTTTTTTTAAAGGAAAGGTCCATTTGTTAATTAAAATCTTTAGGAATATTAATTTCCCTCTAACTATTGCTTTGATTGCATCCCCAGAATTTTAGTGTGTTGTCTCATTGTCATTATCTTTACTGAAATCATCTATTGTTTTTAGGATTTGCTTTTTTTTTTTTTACTCACCCATTCTTTAGCATTGTTATTTTGCCTTCAGTTAATTTTTAATCATTTCTCCAGTGTCCCTTGGTTGAATTTTTTTTTGCATTGTGACTAATGAAACATATGTTTAATATTTCTGTTTCTTTACACTTGTTTGCCAGGGTTTTATGCCATAATACATGGTCAGTTTCTGGAAAGGTGCCAAAGCACAGCTTCTTGAAGCCATAGGTGAGAGTTGGTGATAGGTGGGCACCAAAGGCGCATGAGCAACCCTGAATAGGGCTCAGCAAGCCCTCACATCAGAGCTGCTAGTCCTCCCTAAACACCCCATATTGCTTTCTATTCTTGTTCAATAATTGCCAGAGGTCTATTATATTCAGGCCCTTATCTACTTTCATTATTTTTTGGGGGAGGGCTTAGAATTGTGTAGATACAGAAAGGGGGAGGACATCGAGGTCTTCCATAATTATAGTTTTACTGTCAATTTCTCCTTGTAAACTATAGCTTTATTTTAAGCATTTAGATGTTACGATATTTGATGCACATATATTAAGTATTGGTATTGATTCATTGTTAATGGAATATTTCAGCATACATAATCTTTTCATCTCATTAATTATATTTTTATTGCCTTGTCTGAGATCATGATTACTGAGTGTGATATGATGTGTAAAGGGCAGAATTGGTACAAAAACTTTGGGAGAGAAGAGACATTCTTTTTTATTTCTTCTTTAAGAGAGACACACATGATTCCAGGCTCTCTTCAGGGAGAGACATGTGGAGAAAGAAAAAGATTTTGGAAGTAGTAAACATGTAGGGGAATTTGACTCTTCAACCAACGCTATTCCTTATATATCATGTTACCCTCAGGATTCTCTCCACCACTCTGAAGTCATGCATGTACACAAAAGATATTTTGATGTCCAGAAAGCCAGGAATGAGGCTAGGAAAGGAATGAAGGCAGGATGCCATGGGCTGTTTTATAAAAATGGAGACTCTAAGATGAGCTCATCATGAGAAGAAGGTGAAATATTCCACAGTGAGCGGGGATGCTAAGATGTCTCACAGTGAGGAGAGCCATACCCCTCTCCCCTACCCCCACAAAGTAGCACAGTAGAAAGAGCACTGGATTTGGAGTCAGCAATCTCATTTCAAATTTTGCTTTTGCCACATCATGCCTGTGTGACTGGGGGCCTCTTCCAGATGTAATTTAATAATTTGATTCTTCTTCTGTGTCCTCTATCCAGATCTGGGGAAGTTGGGAGGATTATCTGTATAGAGATAATCATTTAAACTGAGGGACGTTATGTGAAGTGATGTCAAACGTTCAGATGTATAGACATGTGGAGCTGATTGACTGAATGTTTTTATCTTTAGCCTAGATGATTGGCACAATTGGACACGACTTCTTCCCCTTAGGCTCACGAGGGCCATGGGCACCACTGCTTGGAACTGAGAGTCATACTTCCTTTTCTTTTCAGTCTGCAACAAATGCTTCCCCTGCTTTGCACTGAATGTAAGAAAGTCTCCTGGAATCCTTTGGCTGAAACTGAGGATCACCTGCTACAGAATCGTCAAGCATAACTGGTTTGAGAGTTTCATTATCTTCATGATTCTTCTGAGCAGTGGAGCTCTGGTAAATGGCTGTTTGAATTGACCTAGCAATTCAGCTCAATGATACAGTGGTTAGAGGACTGTGGCTTGAGACACCAACATGCCATTAGGGAATTTACATTCAAATATGAGAAGATAACATGTATAGAGGAGCTTGAGTTGGGAAGCAAGAAGCAAGTAGGGGTGGGCAGCTTGGTGCTGGGCCAGATAAAGGGTGGGCTCACCAAATTGGAGCTGAGCCACAGCTCCAGGGGCATGGACTATGGAAGTGTCAGCTATTTTTCTTAAATGTTAAAATATTCAAATTTATCTGTGATCTTATCAGTGTGGACATTCTTGTGATCAATGCAGGTCACAACAAATACATGACTGCCCAGGTTTTGATATTATAGTAATTTTTTTATGTGTCATAAAGTCTCTGATATGTTTTAAGTCTCATGAGGCAAAAGCAGTGACATCTCTTCACCACCTTAAAAATGCTCTGTGGGTAATCGTCGGAATGAGTGAAAAAAAATGACACTTTATAACATTAATTCTATAGAAGAATGCATTCCAAGTTCTCAAATTGAAGCCAGGAGTATAGATTCTCCTAACTTTCTCAATGTCTTAAGTGGAGGGATGAAGGAGAAATAAATGAGATTCTTATAGATACCAGCAATATGCTAACACTATACTTGCATGTAGAAATTAAGCTTTCTAGTTAGTTTTCTCCTAATATTCTAAATTGAAAAGCAAAGAGCAGTTGCTTCAATTGTAGAGTAGAAGAGAACTCATGTACTATGTCTACCATATTTTGGGCCTGCAAACCGAGATATAAGATCTAATCAAAGGTACTATCATCTGCAAAGTTCTATTCCCTTAAACTGGGAAGACTTTAACCACAATGATCATGCCTGTCCTGTTGCAGACTATGATAGGTCCCAATCTGGCTCTGAACAGCACAGTAATAAATACATTCAGATGTGAAGTTTTTTAGGTTGACTTGAACTTTAGGGTTGTATAAACACATTTTCTGATAATGAAGTGTGGTGGATGAGCTTCTTTTCAATAGAAGAATTGAATGTTGGCACTACAGACAATATTGTACACTATTTAGTGATCTGCATTTTACAGGTAATGATATTGATGCTTAGGAGGATCAGTGACTTTCTCAAAGTCATTTGGCTATGAAACAGTCAGGGCAGGATCTTCCTTGATCCTGGTCTTTGGGTGAAGACTCCATTGTACAACATTGCTTATGGTAGATGTAGAATAGGGAATGGGGGAGAGGACAAAGAGAGTCTTGTCCATATTCTGTATTGGAGTGATTTTTCATGCATGTACCAGGAGACTCATCCATGAACCATACTTGAACATTGTAAATCTTTTAAGTAAGCCTAGTCCTTATCACGTAGGACTTGTTCACTCCAACTCTGGGATCTATGTGACAATCCTACTCCATTCCTTCATTATGGCTGGAGTTAACCTTGATTTTTGAAGTTTGTATCAAGCTGGAGAAGCTTTAATAATGGTCCCAGGACATACTGAGGTGGCCGCTTGAGTGCCTACCCAGTTAGCTACAGAGATGCTGATCACTGATTGGCTGGCTATTAGAGGATGAATTCTTTGGTTATGGCAAGCCATGAACTGTGTATACTCAAATGGAGTCATGTGTATAAAATGCTCTCTAAAAGCTCAAGTGTGATTTAAATCTCATTATTATCATATTATATTGCAAGTTATTGATATTTAAAGTGGGTAATGGACAGAAGAAATAGCAGAAATGACACCAACATCAATTACGGCAATTTCATGGAAAAATATAACCGATCTAAATCAGTTGCCAAAACAAAGAGACCAAAAGAGCTTAAAAGTTGCCTAAGTCAGAAAACAGATTATTTGCCAATTTGAACTAATGACCAAACACTGGCTTTAAAATATTGACTTATCTGTAAGATATTAGAGAAAGGTGAAAGATAATTACAAACAATATCACCTCATAAGCAAAGAGAAGCCAGGAGAGTAAGCCAGGTTAAATAAAGCTTGTCAAGAAACACAGCTGAGCAAAGTAACTCTGAGGATGTTTAAGCATGAGCATAAAAAGAGGAAAACAAAGAGAAGAAAAATGAAAAAAGCAAAAGCTACAAGGATTTTTGTGACAAATTATTTTCACCGTCAAGGATGGTGGAATTACCAGCCTTGGACTCTAATATCACAGTCCTGTATGAGCTTGTAGAAACATCATGAAAAAGAACAAAGATGACATTGAACCCAGTGTACACAATGGAGATCCACTCAAGACAGTGTTTATGTAGGCAGTGAGGGATCAATTCACAAGGTATCCAAAAGAAAGGGAGATATCAAAGGCACTGAAAAAAATCTCACACCTTATTAATCCCGGAAAAAATATGACCAAGAGATCATCAAGCATTATTGACCTTATTCTTACTTTCCCATCCATGAAAAAACTTTCTCAGACTCATCTACTTGTGTATTAGGGGTATCCTCAATGAGGACGGTATTAGTGAGGTATAGGGAGGCCTTCACAAGTGATAGTCTACAGTGAATGACATCTTCACTTTTATGGAATTGACTGAAAGATATAAGATACCATTGTGCTGTTTGTTGATGATAAAGAGGTATTTGATGCTGTAGAGGTGCTCTTTTCCAATGGATCTCCCGTTTCCCCCACCCGCAATCTATCTCCTTCCAATATAAAAATTGTCCATTCTGTCTTGAAAGACAACAGAGATAACCTTATTCAATAGATATTTGATCATAAACATTAGGTAGATACAAAATAGTGATACAAAGGGATTGCCACTGTCCTGGGTCTTCTAGATGTCTTCTGAACAACATTGCACTGGTTATATCAAGCCCCAGAATGTTGTAGAGCCTTAGAGAGCATTGTAGAGCCATTGTAACCACTCAAAAGAGTTTGGCCTAACCCTCCAAGGAGATAAAGATTGGCTGTTGTTCAGATTATGAGGTGCAGACGGAAGGACAACTTGTCTATCAGTATGCATATCTGTGACAGCAACTTGGACTTAACGCTAAACAAAAAAAGACCCCTGGTGATCATAAGAAATAGATTCTGATGGCTCCAGGTGGTTGCACATGTTGCCAAGAAGTGAGATGTGTGTCTGTTACACACCAAGAAAACTACTACAAGCTCATCCTGAATTTTTGAAGAATGTAAGTATTGGCAAACCTTTGGAGCTTGTCTGCATTAATATTCCACATCTTGAAGAAAGTAACAAGAACATAAGCCATATTTTGTGGTGAAAGACCACTGTTCCAGGAATGTGCACAGAAATACTCAATCAGGAACCAAAAATCTCCTATTGTTGCTAAAGCACTATGGACTAGGACCCTTTCTCTCTGAATTGAATGGAATTAAAATTGGAAAATAAATTATTTAGAAGATTTAGAATATTTTTTAAAAAATCAACCACAAAAGCAATGTGATATATTCATAGAATATTTAACTTGGTTAGTTGTGTGATCATGGGTAGGTCACATGTACTCTCTGAGCCTCAGGCAAACGTCTAAAACTTCACTCCCTAAGTTATAGACAAATTGCATGTTCATTGTTGGAAAGATTTTACAGGTTCACATATCCTTGACATATTGACATAATTTATCCACAGTTACTGACTATGGGAGATTGTACAGGAAGACAAGAGGTCCCTATCTTCTGCTAGGGGCACCACAGTGCATAAAGTGCTGGGGCCAAAGTCATGAAGATCTGAGTTCAAATCCAACCTCAGACACTTCCTAGCTGTGTGACCCTGGGCAGATCATTTAATTTGTCTGAGCCTCAGTCCTTACATGAAAAATGGGAATAATAATAGAACTTACCCCACTCCAGGGTGGTTGTGAGGATAAAATGATTTTGCAAATTTTAAAGTGCTACATAAATGCTAGCTGCTGAAGAAAATTATGATCCACTTGAGTTTAAGAAAATTAACTCACATGAAACAGAATGATACAAAGTAGGTCTGAATGCCAAATAGTATGGCCATACAACTTGATCATTATAGGATTTTGGATAAATAGGAGATTATTGTTGACTGCAATTATAAAGAGAGATTTCATGGAGAAGATAAGATTTTAACTGTATCTTAAAAGATAAGTAGGACAGAAAAGGGGGGAGCCCATTCTAGGCAAGGTGAGTTGCATCTACAGGGACTGAGGCTGGTAAAGACTGGGGCAGGGAAACCATTCAGGATGCTCTTCAAATAGATAATGAGACTTTGCTATGGGGGTCACTAAAGAAGAGGTATATGTTTCCTGTTTCATTTCAATCTAATAAAGTAACCTATTTAGCTAGAAATAGGCAAGTTTTGAGAGTGTTGTGGGATAATGTGACTGTCTTTTGTGTGAAATATTGTCCACAAAATGTCAAGTGTTTTTATAAGCAAGTTAGCATAGGATGAGTCATAAATTGAAAGTTGAAAGGGACTTCGGCTGTCATGTAGTTCAACTAACTTGGTTTTTGGGCAGGGAAACTGAGGGCCAGAGAAGTTAACTGACTGGCCCAAACTCTCACAGCAATAAATCACTGAATCTTGATTTGAACCCAGGTCCTTGGGCTTCAAATCCCCTGCTTTTTTCATAATATCATTATCCATTGACTTCTGTATATGATTAGCAGGAATAAAGATCCATGGATATATTAAATATTACACTTTGTCATTTCAGATATTTGAAGATTGTCACCTCCCGTCAAAACCTACCATTAAGAAATTGCTGGAATTTACTGATAGGGTTTTTACCTACATTTTCATCCTAGAGATGTTTTTAAAATGGGTGGCATATGGATTTAGGAAGTATTTTACGAATGCATGGTGCTTTCTCGACTTCATCATTGTAAATGTGAGTTTAATAATTACATTCTCTCATTTGAGGTGAAAGACTTTGCTGGGGCATGGGTGTGGTAAGGAGCTTGAGTAAGGTAGGTAATGTGTAAGGAGGCTGTCTCAATGTAGGAATCAATTTTGAAAAAAAATCTAGACAACAGTTCTGCTGCTTTTGTTTCTATAGACTGCTTTGGAAAGAGTCAGCCTTGAAGTCAGAAAGACCTGATTTCAAGACTTGCCTCTGCATATACTGGCTGTGTGACCCTAGGCAAGGGTCACTGAACCAGATGACTACGACCACATGTTGTAGAAAAGGGGCCAACCTGTATCGGTAGGTTCAGGAATTCATCAATAAGAATTCCCTATACCAGTGAAATCAGGTCCAGTCTCATCCTATTCAGTGCCATCTTTTGTTTTACATTACCTTAATTTCCAATTATTTTCCCCTCCCCCACCTACAGAGCCATCCTTATAAAAACAAAAGGAACAAGCAATTCAGCAAAATTAATGAATGCTTCAATCGAGTCTGGTGTATTCTATACTTCTAGCCTCCTATCTCTGCAAAGAAGGGAGGGAAATGCATTTATTATCTCTTCTTTTCTGGCCAAGTTTGGTCATTATCATTATGAAATGATCAGGAATGAGTGTATGGGTCGTGATGTCATCTTGAAAGAATTCAGACTCAGACTGTCTCTAAGACAAAGTAGGACATTTATTGGGGTGATGCACCCAGTAGACCCTACTCCTTATGGAATCAGGGCACTTAGTTGGGTTATGTGTCTGGTCTATATACAGACAGAAAGGTGGGAGGAGGGGGCTACTACAGTTTAAGAAAATGGAGGGGGAATGGGAAAAGAGGAGGGGGAGTGCTGCTCTGGAATGTCATGTAGTCGGGGGTATTTTGTAAATGCAAAAGGGCAAAAGGAAAGAGGGAGAGGAAGAACTGCTTCGAAATGTTATATAGTCCAGGGTGTTTGATGAATGCATACAGATAAGTCCATGGTGGGGGGACATCAATGCATAGTCTTATTGAGATCAGATTGTGATCTATGAGCATCTTCTGGTGGTCACATCCTGCATTCTGTCTCATATGTCACATCCTGCATCCTGTTTGCTCCATCTGTCTTGAGCACTCCTATCTGCTTGTCATACAGCATTTAGTTTTTCTTTATTCTTTCCATTTACATCATCTCAGAAATTCTGTGCATTGTTTGCCTTGTTCTGCTTTCTTCACTTATCATTCATTCACATGTCTTTTCATGAGCTTCTGTTTTCTTTGGCTTCACTGTTTCTTAAAGATGCAGTAATGTCACACACATTTGTGGCCTACAGTTTGTTTAGTCCTTCTCTGATCAATAGGCATCTATACCAGGTCAATCATTCCCTCCAAAGCCTTAGTAAATGTTGGGTAGAGAAAGTGTGAGAGGGTCAGGCTTAATGAAGATCAGTCTATCTTCAGATACCGTTTGACTAAGTAGCTTTTTTATTGAGCATCTACGCTGGGCAGGAAGCTTGATTCAAATGCCAAGCTTGGAAACAGGGACCTGATCACAGAGAAATTTTGTATCTGTCCTATTATTAACACAGTACTATGAATACACTGAGTACTAAATCCACATTTGTCAAATACAGCACTATCTATGTATGCTATTTCCTTAAACAGCAAATATACTCTGCTAGTTGATCTTTCTTTTTCCTCCTAGGTCTCTATCATAAGCCTCATTGCTGATAATTCAACAACACCCTTGTCTTTTAATGTTAAATCCCTTCGGACACTGAGAGCCCTGAGGCCCTTGCGAGCACTGTCCCAGTTTGAAGGAATGAGGGTAAGCCATGGGGAACCCAGGGAAGGTTAGCCAGCAAGGAGGTGAGTGGACTACTGACTTGTGGTTTTTTTTTTTCAGCAGAGACAGAAAGTAACTCTGTCCCTTGTGTCTGTTTGATTCATGATGATGTCTCCATCCCTCAGTAAACATGATTGTGCCCCTTCTGTGCCTTTATGCTATGTGAGAGTCTGTTATGGTGCTGAAGGCTTTGAGTCTGGAGCCAGAAGACCTAGGTTGAATCCTAGGGTTACCATGGATTAAGTAACGTGATCAAGACCCTTGAATTCTGAGTCTCGATTTCCTCATTTGTAAAATGAAATCATCCACAAAAGTTATCATTTTAATCAATTAATCAACAATCAGTTCTTAAGTGACCATTTTGTACTGAGAATTGAACTAGATGATGGTGCTAAAAGTACAAAGAATGAAACAATCCCTTCTCCCAAGGAACTTACAGTCTAAAGGGGAGGACGATAAATACATATATGAATATAAAAAGAGTAAATGCAAATATACGTAATGTAGTTAATTACAAAGTAGTTTGGTAAAAGAGCATTAGCAGTTGGGGGTGGGGGTGTGGTGGTTAGGAAAAGCTTCATGCCGAAGATGATGCTTGAGCTGAACAGGGCCTTTGAGGCCAAGGTGAGGAAAGAGTGTGTTCCAGGCATGGGAGATGGCCAGCAGGAAGGCAAGGAGATGAACAGTGGGTGTAATGTGTAAAGAGAAGAGAGAAACCCAGTTTGGCCAGATCATAGAGTGTAGGGGATGGGGAGAATGATGTCTAATGAGGCTGAAAAGACAAGTTGGGGCCAGGCTGTGAAGGAAGAAGGTAACCAGAAGGATTTAAATATTATCCTAGAGGAAATAGGAAGCCACTACATTTGTTTGAGTAGGGGGAATTGCATGATCACATCTGCACATAAAGAAAATGACTTTGGCAAGAATGTGGAAGCTTGTATTGGAGTGGCGAGGGACTTGAGGCAGAGAGAAACCGATTAGGAGACTCTTGTAGTCACTGAGGCCAGAAGCGATAAAGGCCTGAATGAGGGTGGGAGCTGTGTGAATGGAAGCGGAATGGCTGGATTCTAAAGATGTTGGGAGTTAGAAATGACAAGATTGAGCCTGATAATGATTCCCCGTCTTGAAGAATTTCTCTTTTGGGGTCTTCTGACATGCAAAAACTCATATTAGATGACTTATTATTAGAAAGCTGAGTCTCAGACATGAAGTGAATTGCCCAAAGTCATATGACAGAGGTGGGATTCAAGCCTGGGATTCAAACCTGGTATTCTTTTATCCATCCATCCATCCATCCATCCATCCATCCATCCATCCATCCATTTATTTATTTATTTTAAACCTATTTATTTATTTGTTTGTTTATTTATTTCAGCCAAAGACAAGGTTTGTTAAAGATCTGCCATATTAGCCAGATTCCTAAGGAATCTGAACATTTGTGAGTTATTGGCTAGATAATAAAAGTCTGAGCCCTTGGCTAGACTCTTAAAGAATCTGAGCACCTTAATGGAGACAAGATGAATCTTATATACAGAAAGACTGTGGGAGAGATCTGGTGTGGGGGGGAGGTGTGGGCGGGGCGGGGAGAGAATCTTGATGGGAGTGACTTGGAGGTAGAATGGAGTTTAGATAGGATCAAGGGTGGAAAATGCCCATGGGCCATCAACACAAACTTGGTCTTCTAATCATAACTCCAACAGCATGTAGCGTGGGGATTGGGTGACATGGTATAGGATCATAGTTTAGAGGTGGAAGGCATCTCTAGAGGTCATTTAATCTGACCCCTTCCTTTACAGATGAAGAAACAGATTTAGAGTGCTTAAGTGACTGATCCAATTTCACACAGGTAGTAAATGGCAGTTGGGATTTGAATCCATGTCTTTGATGTCAAAGGGCAGCTAGATGGAGTAGCAGATAGAGTGCCAGGCCTAGAGTCAGGAAGACTCCTCTTCCTTTATTCAAATCTGGCCTCAGACACTTACTAGCTGTTTGACCTTGGACAAGTCACTTAACCTTGTTTACCTCATTTTTCTCAGTTTGCCTCAGTTTCATCTGTAAAAGGAAATGGAGAAGCAAACCACTCCAGTATCTTTGCCAAGAAAACCCCAAATTGTATCACAAAGAGTAGGAGGTGACTAAATGACTGAATAGCAACAACTTTGACTTCAGATCTATCCCTTTTTATCCTACACCACACCATCTCAGAAGAGTCTGAGACTGACAACATTGGGGAAGACATCAGGAAGGACCTTCTCTTCCCTAAGACCATTCCTATTGGGTATGAGGGGATGATCTTTACAAAGAGTAAATGTACATCCAAGAGAAATGAAGCATAGTTTGTGCAACAAGGAATGAGCCAGTGGGATTAAGGGAGCGCACACTTACACTAACAAGCTGCCTTTCTCTGGTCCTGTTTTCTGCAGGTTGTGGTCAATGCCCTTGTTGGGGCCATCCCTGCCATCTTAAATGTTCTGCTTGTCTGCCTCATCTTCTGGCTCATCTTCTGTATGCTAGGGGTGAACCTTTTTGCTGGGAAATTTGGAAAGTGCATCAACCAAAACAAAAAAGAAACTATAAACTACACCATCATTAGCAACCTCTCCTTGTGCAGAATTGATATCCACCCTGACGTGTGTTGGACTAACGCTAAAGTCAACTTTGATAACGTTGGGATTGGTTACTTGGCTCTTCTACAGGTGGTAAGTGGCATAACCTCTGCATAACCATTGCTTCCCATCCCCTCTGCCCCCCAGAGCACAGAGGGAAAAGGGCAAAATCATCACGTCAACATTCCATGTTCCAGCTACTTCTCTAAACTTTCCCCTGACTCTTCCTTCATTGTCTGTCCTATATACAAGTTATACTTGGTTCTCCTTGTAACCTTTGCTTATGATGCCTTTTCCCTCCCTTATAATATCCAAACCTTATCCATTTTTGAAGGGCCAGCTCAAGGACCTTCTTCTAAGACAACTGCCCCTCCTTTCTGTAGCTCCTTACTCTGACTATTTAAAACATTGACTTCATGTATTTTGTATGTAATTATGTATTCTCTTATTTGTGAGGATAATGCCATTAGTCATTTTCTTACAGGAGAGCTGAATTTGCCCAGCCAATGGATAGTTCTTATCAGAAAGCTACCATTTCTAACAATCTGATCAATTCAAACCGGCATCAGAGTTCCTTCCCATCACTGGTGGAGAAACACAGACTGAAGGTGGCTCTACTGGCCTGGGAATAAGAGATAGGCCACACATTCCCAGGCTAATCCCAAATGGAGAGGTCTTGAGGGGAAGATATAAATTAGATTGGAAAGGGTTGTGATCCTGAAGCATCATGGACAGAAAGGTTTCTGAAGGAAGAAGAATCACTAGCATTTGGTATAGAGCTTAAGGTTTGCAAAGCATATTGCAAATATCATCTCATCTGGCCTTCACAATGACCCTTTGGGTTAGGTGCTATGATGATCCCCATTTTATAGTTGAGCAAGATGAGGCAGGTGTAGGGGACATGGCTTGCCCAGGATCACACAGTTATTAAGTGTCTGAGGCTGGATTTGAACTCAGGTTTTTGTGACTCCAGCCTCAGTGCTCAGTGCCAGCTAGCTGCCTGGCCCCAGTGTACTGTTTGAGATTTCCACCTGGGAAGGAAGGTCATGTGGTTTCATGCTTTAATGAATTGTCTCAGCCCAAGTTAAACAAGTGGCCAGAATCAGGTCACCAGCATGAGAGATGCCCTTGGCTTTGGCTTTTGTGGGCTAGGCTTCTCTATCGGGGTATCAAGGTGTTTTCTTCCTGGGCATGCCCATGCCTTTGAGCTAGCTCAGCCCTAGTAGGTTTTACAACAAGTTATCATAGTTTATGGCAAGAACTATGGAGTTATTTCTTTCTGTCAAATGTTTGTGTGCTAGAGTAGTGTCCTCATTTTCATTCACAAAGTGCTTGTGTCTCACGTATGGCTTTCCCTTAACAAGTTCACGTCTCTTACAGCTAGGGACCATCTCTCATACTTCTGTATTCTTCACTGTTGTTAGTATGGAATCTACAAATGCTTTCTGCCTTACAGGACTCATTGCTGGGGGCAAAATGTTTAAAAAGAAGTAGCTGTGTGACCCCGGGCAAGTCACTTAATCTTGTTTGCTTCAGTTTCCTCATCTGTAAAATGAGCTGGAGAAGGAAATGGCAGACCACTCCAGTATCTCTGCCAAGAGAACCCCAAATGGGGTCATGAAGAGTTGGACATGACTGAAATGACTGAACAGTAACAAAGGTCTGATTAAGTGCTCCGTCCAGTAAGAGGGCCAGCTTTCTTACTGTGTGTACTCTGGTGGCCAGAGATACACAGACATGCACTATCATCAGTGAGTGATTGACCAGCATATCAGTTCATTAGACTGTGTGTTAGATTTGCCAAGTTACCTGCATATTCTTGTCTGCCAATCACAACACCCCCCACTCTCCTTATATTGAGCCATCTGAGAAGCAGCAGGATGCTGGAACCCGATCCGACTGGCCAAATTTTCATTAGGGGCATTTACAAATCAGGGCTTGATTTATTGTTTGGATGATTGTGTAGGCTTAAGAAAGTAACGCGTTATATGTAATTTTTTTCCTGGAAAGCTGATTGTTAAACATTTACCAGGACACCCCTGCTGAGAGAACCAATAAAATCAATTTGACAAATACTTATGATTTCTATTTACAGTGGTAGACAGTAGTCACAATGAAAAATGATTGGTAGATCTAGTATCTTATCAAAAGGAGTAATCAGATAGTCTTAAGGGATATCCTGGGGAGATATGTGCTCTACTCTGGGGATATACTTTCTAAACTGACCGGATATGCATTCTCCCCTTAATAGAGCTAAAAACACACCAGCAAATTCTTCATAGATACAGAAGAAGGAGCCTCTGAAATGATCTGATCCAACCGAGGCAAGAATTCCCTCTCTAGTATTCTTGGTAAGGGGTCATTCAGCCCCCACTTCTGAGACTCCAATAAAGGGAACTTATTTCCTCCAAAGAAATCCACTTGAAGGCAGTTTTAATTGTCAGGGGGTTACTTAGAGCCACAGGTTAGAACCAGAATGCCTCTCAGAGAGCACTTTGTTCAATCTGCCCATTTTATTTTTTTATTATTAATTTATTTTGATTTATCAACAATCACTTCCATAGGATTTTGAGTTTAAAATTTTTCTTCTTCTTCCTCCCCACCATCCTCCCCAAGATGGCACACAATCTGATATAGGCTATACATTTACATTCCTATTAAACTTATTTTCACATTAGTGAAGTTGTAAGTAAAAATTAAAACCAATAGGAGGAACCATCAGAAAGAGGAAACAAAACTCAACAGAAGAGAAAAAGAAAAAAAAAGCGATTCAACTTCCATAGTTCTTTCTTTGGATGTGGATAGCATTTTCCATCACTAGGCATCACTCTTTTTCAAATGTGTTTCCTGTAAGCAACATATTGTAGGATTATGATTTTTAATCCACTCTGCTATCTGCTTCTGTTTTATGGGAGAGCTCATCCCATTCACATTCACAGTTATGATTACTATCTGTGTTTTTTTCTCCATCCTTTTTCCCCCCCGTTGATGTTTTTCTTTCTCCTTTCTCCTTTCCCCCCCTCACTAGTATTTTGCTTTTGACCACCGCCTCCTTCAGTCTCTCCTCCCTTCTATTATCCCTTTCCCTTTTCTTCCCCTTTGCCCTTACTGCTTCTTCCCTCCCTTCTATGCCCCCTCCCTTTTCTTTCCCCTTTTCCCTTCTACTGCCTATAGGGCAAGTTAGATTTCTATACCTAACTGATTATGTTATTCCCTTCTTGGGCCAAATGTGATGAGTGTAAGGTTCAAACGATGTTCACCCCCCTCCCTTCTTTCCCTCTGCTGTAATAGGATTTTCTGTCTTTTCCCCTAATGTAATTTACCCTTGTCTGCCTCCTCCTTTCTCAGTACATTTTCTAAGATCAGACCAATCCACTTACTTGGATCCATTCAACACACTTGATTAGATTTTTTTTTTATCATTACATCAAAGTCAACTGATATCCACCCCCTTTATGTATACTCCTTTAACACGGTGTAATAACAATACAGTTCTCAAGAGTTGCAAGTGTCATCTTCCCTTGTAGGGATGTAAACAGTTCGCCCTTATTAACAACATTTTGTATCTTTCTGTCCCATTTTCCTTTTTATGTCTTTCTTGAATCTTGTACTTGAAGATTAAATTTTTTGTTGAGCTCTGGTCTTTTTATCAGGAAGGTTTGGAAGTCCCCTATTTCATTGAATATCCAACTCCTCCCTTGAAAAATCATGCTCATTTTTGCAGGGTAGTTGATCCTTGGTTGCAATCCAACCTCCTTTGCCTTAGGGAATATCATGTTCCACATCCTGTGCTCTTTTAATGTACAAGCTGCAAGGTCCTGTATAATCCTGACTGTGGTTCCATGATGTTTAAATTGTTTCTTTCTGGCTGCTTGAAGCACCTTCTCTTTCATCTGGTAATTTTGGAGTTTTGCTATTATGTGTTCCTTGGTGTTGTCAATTTGGGATCTCTTTCAGGTGGTGATCAGCGCATTCTTTCTATGGTTATTTCCCCTTCTGGTTCTAGGACTTCTGGGCAGTTTTTCTTTATGATTTCCTGAAAGATGCTGTCCAGGCTCTTTTTTTTTTTAGCATGATTTTCAGGTAGTCCAATGATTTTTAAATTGTCTCTCCTGGATTGATTTTCCAAGTCGGTTGTTTTACCAATGAGGTATTTTACGTTTTCATCTATTTTTTCATTTTTTTGTTTCTGTTTGACTGATTCTTGCTCTCTCATAGAGTCATTGGTTTCCATTTGTCCAATTTTAGTTTTTAACAGATTGTTTTCTTCTGTTAGTTTTTATATGTCCTTCTCTAATTGGCCAATTGTATTTTTTAAGGACTCTTCTACCTCTCTCATTAGACTTTTAAAATCCTTCTTGAGCTCTTCTAAGAAGGCTTTTTGGGCTTCAGACCAGTTCACATTCCCTTTTGATGTTGCAGATGTGGGTTTGTTGACAATATTGTCCTCTTCAGAATTTCTGTCTTGATCTTCACTCTTCTCGTAATATGAATCTATGGTACATTTCTTTTTTACTCATGGTTTCTTTATTCCCTGGCCTCTAAAGAGATTGAGCTCTCCTGCTGGGGAACAGAGGACACTGACCCAAGCTTCTTGCGTTGGGAGCCTAGGTCTTGGTCACTGGCTTTGTGTGCTGGGGCCACTTATGTTGGCGATTGGAGGCTGTAGGGTTCTGGCAGCTTACCTGGTGTTGGGTTGGAATCAGCAAGACTGGGACTTTAGGAAGACTCCAGGTTGCTTTCTTCAGCTCCTTTCAGATGAATGTTGCAGGGTGCTTATCTGCCTGGGGCCCTTTGTAGTGCTGCTTCCCTTATTTTTGCTGAGGCACTGGGAGACCTGTTTGCTGGGCTGCTGCACTGCTGTTCCCCGTCTTTCTTCTAGTTCAGCTGTTCCAGGGGTTTTTTTTTCCTGGGGTGATATTTTCTAGGTTTTCAGAGGTTGATAGGGAAGGGTGGGAGTGACTACCTTTTTACTCCACCATCTTGGCTCCCGGACCAATCTGCCAATTTTAAGATGAAGAAATCCTGGGTGAAAGCAGCTGAATGACTTGTCTAAGATCACCTATGTAGTGAAGTGGTGGGCCTGTGGCTCC